TAGCGTAAAGCTAGAGTTAGGCTATAGCTAGCTGTAAAGCTAAGAGGTAATTTACGCACAAGATAGAAGTAAGGTAAATCTAACTACACAAGCTGTTGCAACTAAACACTAGATATTTACGCTAGTAGTTATATAACAGCCTAGAGCTAGACTAGCCTACCTCTAAGACAGCAACAGACAACATACTGCGCAGAGATAGGTTGCGTCCCTAGGGAGAGGGGACAATTAAAGGCCAGAGAATATAGCAGGAGAATAAACAGGAGCAGTATAGCCCCAGCATAGAGCTAGAGGTAGACTTAGTTTTTTAGGGGTTATTAGCCCCTCTAGAACACAGCTAGCAAAGCTAGCAATATTTATACACGCGCAGAAGACAGGCAGATCCTAGCTGGCATAGAGCTAGAGCCGCTCTAGGGAGCAAAAACAGAAGCAGGCAGGGTTTTTCTTCCTACTAAAGGGTTTTCTAGGCCTAATATAAGAAGAAGATGTACTAGTTATATAGCTTTATAGCTATCTAGGGTATTTAATATATATATTAATTTACATTACTAACGTAATTATATATTAGCAATTCTATTAATAAGAGTATTTACAAATAGTAAATTAGTTAATATATATTATTATATGTTTTCTACTGTTTTTAAGCTCTTTAAGGAAAAGTTTAATATTTTAATACAATAGAAATACCTTTAATACTAATAAGCTAACTATAATAAAAGTATATTAAGCCTTATTAGCGTAATAATTAATTAACATTAGCAATATATATAAGGTAAGTTATAATATATATATATTACTATAATATTAGTATATACTTATAAAGTTAGGTCTAGAGCTATATCTAAAGAAAGATATTAATTTATTACAATAAGACTAGAAATAGCAAGCATAAAATTATATTTACTTTTGTTATATATACTTTAAAAGAGGCATAGAAAAGTATTACTTACATAATAATAATAGGCCTAATAGCAAGCAAGAACAGCTTTTAACTTTAATAAAAGCTACTTCTTTATCTTAATATAATTAATTATATAATTTAATTAAAGGTTTATAGAATTAATTCTAAATGCATTCTAATTTAATTCTAATACTAATAAGATATAAAGCAATAGCTAGAGTTATCTGCTTAAGTTTAATATAAATATTATTTAGTAATTTGTTCTAGACTCTACTATAATGCATTATTAATACTATCTTAAGATTAGAATTCTCTACTAGCTATAACTAATACTATTAAAATATTATATAAGGCATTATATAGATAGGCTAGCAGATATATCTCTTTATATTATATAATTATAGCTTATTAAATATATAATTAGGATTTATTATAATAAGATACTACTAAGTGTTACTTATAAATTCTATTATTATATTAAGATACTAAGTTATAAGGCAGATTTATAAACTAGGAGGCTACAAAAAGTATAGTATAGTATTTCCTTAGTTTAATAATTATATATCTACTAACTTTATTTTAGAACAAAAACAATAGCAAAATTGTTTAGAGTTTAATAACTTAGAGAATAATTCTAGTTTTAACTTTACTTAAAGTTCTAGCTAGGAAAGATCAGCTAGTCTAGCACCTTCTAAAGCTATCTTTTAAGATTATTCTAAAGATAACTTTAGTTTTCTTAATAATACAAAAAGTATATCTAATTATAGTATTTTAACTAGTAGTATGCCTTAACAATAAAGGCAATCATAATAAAGAAGGTATAAGAATTTATTTATATTAAATTTATTATTAACTTACTAATTATATGCCTACCTTTAAGATAGCAATAAATAATATACTACATAAAGATAAGTTATATCTCTAGAGAGAGAGAACAATTAAAGGCTAGAGAATATAGCAGAAGAATAGACAGAAGCAGTATAGCTTTAGCGTAGAGCTAGAGGTAAACTTAGTTTTTTAGAAGTTATTAGCCCCTCTAGAATATAGCTAGTAAAGCTAGCAATATTTATATATATACAGAAGACAGGCAGATCCTAGCCGGCATAGAGCTAGAGCTGCTCTAGAGAGCAAAAACAAAAGCAGGTAGAGTTTTTCTTTCTACTAAAGAGTTTTCTAGGCTTAATATAAGAAGAAGATATACTAGTTATATAGCTTTATAGCTATCTAGAGTATTTAATATATATGCATTAAACAATAAATTTATTTCACTAAATTTATATATAGTTATATATTAAACAATAAATTTATTTCACTAAATTTAATTATAGTTATAAGAGTTTAATTAAATATTTATACTTTAAATAAAAATTTCATTTTATTCACTAAAAAAAACTAGCAATATTCCTAGAGTATTTATCTATTCTATAATGCTAATTTTTTTTTTTAAAAAAAAATTACTAAGTTATAAGATATTATTATAAGTACTGCTACTAAGCCTTCTATCTATATTACTAGGAGGAGGAGTATATAGATAAGTCTTATTAATAATATTTTTTAGGTTAATCTTACTCTAGGAAGATTTGCATTTAGAGATAGTTAGAATTTAGCAATAATTAATTCTAAATTAGTCCTAAATACTACTTATAATATACTATAGCCTTTTTGCCTGCCTCTAGGTAGTAGTACTAATTCTAAACTTAGCAGCCTTCCTGCTATTTTAGTAGCAAGCAAGAGCCTATTATATATTACAATAGTTATACTTTACGCTTTATATAAAGCAAGCAGCAACCTATATAGTATTAATATTAAACTATTATAAAATTCTATTAAAATCTAGCTAGAATAAATTATAATTTAATTATAAATTACTTACCCTACTATTCTCTTTATAAAGTACTTTAGGCTTAACTAATATCTAGTAATTTTAAGATAACTTTATAGATATATAGAGATTTATATTTTTGCTAAGTGCTAGTTTCTTTAAGTTTTAATAAAACTCTATATATAAGTTAATTAATATAAAGTTAAAATTTAATATAAATTAATTATTAATTAATATATAAATAGCTGCCTAGTTATTAGCAGAAGAGAGAGCACTAGCACTTAACTATAATACCTCTACTTTATATACTATAATAAGATATTTCTTTAATAAATAAGTTAAAGAAAAGTATATATTTTATAGAGTATTAGTATTAAACTTAAATTAAATAATAATTAATTTCAATATTATTTTAATAGTACAGCCTTAGTTTAATAAAAGAGCAAGGCATAAAGAAAAAAAAAAGTTTAGAAGAGAGCTACAGCTAATATATTAAAATTTCTAGACCTACTTTTTATAAATATTCTATATAATTTAATTGCATTCTATAATAATTTTCTGCCTAATTAAAACTTATTTTGCTCTATCTTTCACTCCACTAAGAATAGATTCCTTAAAGAAAATCTAACTAATTGAAATCTATTGTGCCCCCTTGTCCCCCCATAGCAATGGTCAGGTCAGGTCAACTATAGTGGTCAGGTCAGCTCAGGTAGGCGAGCAATGGTCGGGTCATCTACACTCTCAGTTGCCCGACTCGCTTGCTCGCCCACTCATTCTGTGCTGCCAACAGCGCCAGCAGACCACTTGCGAATAGCATAATCGTCACCCAGTCTTTCTACTACCACTATTATTACTTCGATTTTTTTTTTTCAATATTTTTCCAGGGGGGTCGGCTTTACCCTTCGCCGCCCGCTGCGACTCTGATAATTTTCGGTTTGGCGTCGTCTACTTGATCAAACTTGGGACGGACGCCTCGCAAGTCCGGCCCAACCATCCTGCCGCCCATCCATCTTTCCACAAGGACGCCGGCGGAAAAGCTTGACACAAGCCTCAACCATCACTGCAAGTGCTCATCCTCGCCGTCATGGCTCCGGCGCGCCAGCAACAGACGCCGCAATTCAACAAGGACGAAAAGGTCCTTTGCTTCCACATGGACATGCTGTACGAGGCCAAGGTCATGGACGTACAGCCTGGCGAGAAGCCCGGCGACGGATTCCGCTACAAAGTTCACTACAAGGGCTGGAAGAACACATGGGATGACTGGGTTCTCGCCGACAGGATCCGGCCCTTTGACGACGAACACAAGGAGTTGGCTGCCCAGCTTCACGCCAACCTCAAGAGCAGCATGCAGAAACCCCCCAAGCAACCAAAGAAGAACCTCAAGGGTGGCGACTCGGCCAGGGGCAGCGAGGAACGCGGCTCAGGCGCTCCTCAAGGGGGAAGGGGCGCGAGGAGAGGCAAAGACTGGGAACTGGAGCAGGTAAGAGAAGTCATTATTTCGCACAAGCTTGTTGTTGTTTCTCGCGCTGGTCTGGAGCCTGCCTGCCTGCCTGCTGTGTTATGCCTCGGTGGTGCGCCGCAAGTGCTGGCCATGTCCACCGCGAGCACGGCTGAGCAAACATGTCGAGCTGCATCTGCCTCGCTCCGCAGTATCCTTGGAGGTCCTTTGGGTATGCGAGTGTCTCCTCTCCCCCAGGGTCTACCGCTGCTGCCCTCACTCTCGTTGTTCGGGCGTCTTCTGGTCGCGACAAGCTTGGGCTGGACGGCCCTTGGGGTGCCACCAAACGTGTGCTTGCTTCGACCTAAATCCGCGCCCTCGCCCTCTCGCCAGTCGACCGTCGCTGCCGGCTTCGCTGCCGGCTTGAACTCTCTGGCTAGCCGTGCTCCGAAGCGCATTGCCGTCTGAAAGCATGCTTGCCCGCACGCGCGCGTGGGCGTATACACATGATATATTTTAGATGTATGCGTGGATATAAATGGACGAGCAGGCGCCTCTCGTGGACACGGCATTCCGCCCGGCATCCTTCCTCACTTCTCTGAACCATCTGCTTCGGCCCAGCCAACCGGGGCAAACTACATGTCGCCTCCCATGCGGTTTCATTTGCATCAAAAGGGCCCCCTGCAAGGTCTCGCAGAGTCCCAGTGCCCGCGGCCTGCTGCCAGCGGCGTCAACACCACCAAGCCTTCAAATACAGCCAGGACCGCCAAAGTCTCCAAACCCCCCAGGGATGGCAAGGGCTCCAAAAGCGCAAGGGCAAGGCAGCAGCCAGACGATGCTCGCCCCCCAAGGCATCGGGCACACCAGACATTCCCCCTGTCCAACGTGCGTGGGTGCCCACAGACAGACGCCGCGACTATCGCGCCGCCGCCTCGACAGGATCCTCCTGCAACACCTCCCGGGGCGAGGCGGAACCACGTTGCCAGCAGACTCAAGCGTCTCCGCATGGCCCCCGATTATCTTTTGAAATTTCCCCGGGTCAATCATCGCTATCTGAGCTCCCGGGGTCAGATCCTGTTTGACAATCGCTACGAGCCGCGTCCCCAGACAAAAGGGCCGCCTTTGAAGCGCACGCTCTCCGCCGCCCAAGCAGGGGGCATAGGCACCCAACACTTCGAAGCAGGCGACACGAGAAAGGCTTGCCCAGAGTCTCAAGTGCAATAATGAGTCGGCGCCCAGCTCGTCCGGCGGTGTGTTTCCTTCTATCCGCGCTTCAATCAACTTGATCAGGGGGGCTGATCCATGCGGACCAAGTGGTGGCATGTCTTGCAAGCTGTCTTGCGACATTTCCCGCCGTTGCCGCGTCTTGTCCGGCACCGGAAAATTGCCATTTCACGCCCACACGACTAATCGTGGCATAGGAGGATGCCTTTCACAGCAAACCCATGATCAATCTTCCCGTGCCCGATCACATCCAGGCCATGCTTGTCGACGACTGGGAGAACATTACAAAGAACAACCAGCTTGTGCCGCTCCCGCACCCGAAGCCTGTCACCAAAATCCTCGAGGACTACCTCTCATTTGAGCGGCCCCATCGCGAGGCGGCATCTGCTAGCATGGATATATTGGAGGAAGTCGTTGCTGGCTTCCGGGAATATTTCGAAAAGGCACTCAGCAGAATACTACTATATCGGTATGGCCCATGAATCAATCAATCACTTTGCTCATTCAGCTTCATCCACCTGGCAGTCGACGCTCCCAAGATGTGTGCCCTGCCTCCCGCAAATTCCTGCTCCACTCAAAAAATCCACCGTCATCCTTTGACCGCCAAAAAAAAAAAAACACAAAAAAAAAATTAAAAATCCACTAACACTTTCCAAGCTTCGAGCGCCACCAGTACATTGAGCTACGTAAACTGTGGGACAATGTAGAATCCCCCGAGTACAAGAGCGTCTGCGACGTCTACGGCGCCGAGCACCTCGCCCGTCTAATCGGTATGCTTCATGCTTCATCACAGAAACGCTCCTCTCCCCTTCGCCTATCATCCTCCTCCACACCCCCCTCCTCTTCAGATCCCTCATGCTAACAGCACCATGCCATAGTTTCCCTCCCCGAACTTTTAGCCCAGACAAACATGGACCAACAGTCCGTCTCCCGTCTGAGAGAGGAAATCGGCAAGTTTACAGTTTGGCTGGGCCGGCACTGCGAGACATACTTTGTGAGCGAGTACGAGACCCCTTCGCAGGAGTACGTAGACAAAGCGAGAAGCTTTTAAAGTTTGCAGGCGCACACAAATGGGAGGGGCGGGGAGGATTTCTCAACGCAATGTACAATACATCCCAGGGGCTCACGGAAAGAGGAAAGAGGAAGGAGAGAGAAAAGGGGAAGCGGCAAGCGAGACCCTTGCGTCTCCGTCGCACAATATAATTTACACTTCTTCCTCGCCCGCGGCGGGTCCCAGGCAACAATATGCAGATATGACAAGCACTCTGCGGCTCGATCACCACGCCGGTAGGAGAAGAGAGAAAAAAACACCAAGGAAATCAAATCGCATCACATCCTCCTCACGGCCCTCTCGACGTAGAACCCGGCATCCGGGGTCCTCTCGCGCCTCAGCTCCGCGGGCGTCAACCTCTCGCGCACCTCCTCCACCCTCACCAGCTCCTTGACCTTGAATATCATGCCCGCAAACTGCGGCTCCACGGGGTGGAAGACGGTCTGCATGCGCCGGCGCAGCCCTAGCGCCGCGAGCACGCCCCTCGTCCGCTCGGGGAGCCCAATCGCCGACCGGTGCAGGGTGATTCGGAAAAACGACATCTCGGCCCCCTGCCTCTGTTCTCTTCTCTTCTCCTCTCCTCGCTTCCTTTCTCCTCGCTTCCGCCGTGCTGCCCGTCTGGTGGTTGTTTGTCGGGGCCGAGGGGGGTGTCTGGACCGGATGTTGCGCTCGCGGCCTCGTGGACGGCCGACTCACGTGCTTTGTGTAGGTTGGAATTCGGGCTTTTTCTTTTTCCTCTAGGCCGTCTGCGTCTGGCTTGGAAGAGAGGGAAGGGGGATTGTTTCGCGACGCACGGCTACGGCATTGGCTGCCTGCGCGACTGCGACGGGCTTGGGTGCTTGGTGATGTCGTCGGGAACCTGGTGGAGGAGATGGGTTGGACCGCACCGTGACTTGGTTGTTGCCATTTGTCGAGGACAAATTCGAGGTCACGTGGTGTCCGTTGCTCGATGATTCCGTTGCCCGTTACGTACTCCGTACTCCGTACGTACTAGTATAAAAAAAACTAAGCCCAAGTGGGGAGAGTGGTGTCGCATAGTATAACTTCCAAGGTGGTCTACCACACACAAAAGGTGTGACGTGGGCCACGTCCTTTTTTTAGTGCGACAAGTGGGCATCGGCATGGGCGTCTCAACAACCGACTGCTAGCTGGCTCGTTGAATTGGCGCCTCGATCTGGTGTTGCTCGGGCAAACCTGTCGTGCCGATATGCTATTATTGATCGGCCAGCAATGTTTCACCAGTATACAACAGAGTCTCAATGCTATATACTTGCAAGACATCGAGTACAGTAAAAACGTAAAATTTCCCATCTATGGTTTATTACGCGGAAACTAGCCCTATGCCGCTTCCTAGTCGACATTCATCGAGTTATTACACCCGTCGTCACTATATCCCGTCGCATCAAATCACCAAATGCACGTTTCAAAAGAGACGCCACGCTCATGGCATAATTCCTTTTCGATACCCTACATCTGAACCTCCACTCTGCCTTCGGCACCAGGCCGGCCTTCGCGGAGGTTGGGTAGCAAGTACGTGATATCATCCCAAGGGTGGCGGTACAGACCAGTGCGCAGTCTCTTTTGGTCGAGGTAGTGAGCAATCAGACCAATGCTTCGGCCAAGGACGAAGAGACCGTTGAGAACACCCATTCCTAGATAGTCCTCAGCCTCCTCGGTGGAGAAGGCACCACAGTTGCGGAGCAGATCGACAAAGCAGACGGCGATGCAGCCGTCGACGTTGAGGATCAGATTATCCTTCTTGGAGGTGGTGACGGTCTCAACAGCAAGCGCGTAGTCAAGCAGCTTGTGGCTGGGGAACCTGGACAGGACGTACTCCTTGACCAGCTCGACGCGCAAGTCGGGGTTGTTGCGGGACTTCACTCTGTGGCCAATACCAGGGATGAGCTTGTTAGCCTTGCGCATGCTGTCAACAAACTCTCTGGGGCTCAGACCCTTGTCAAAGGCACGGGTGAACTCTTCAGCGGCACCATCCAAAGCACCACCAAATCGGGAGCCGATGGTCAACAGACCAGAGACCAGAGCACTGATCAGGTCCTTGCCGGCACGGGTAGTAATAATGGTGTTCATGGCACCAGACACGGCAGGGCCGTGGTCGGCGGTGAGCATGAGAACCATCTCCAAGAACTTGGACGCGTAGTCGGGCAGACGACGACGGAACCACAGCAAGGACATGACACCACCGATGCCGATATCCTCCTTGAACACGTCAGAGATGGGCATCCCGGCGTAGAGGAGTTCCTGACCACGGTCATCAGAAATGGTGGAGATGAAGGCAGCAGGTTTTCGGATGAGACCCAGCTCCTGGGCCCAGGAGTAGTCAATAGGGATCTTTGGAACAACAGGCTCAGCCTGGGGCACGATCGTACCCTGCGTGACCAGCTTGTCATAAACCTGCTTAAGCATAGCGGGCATATCCTCAAACGTACGGGGGACGTGGATACCAGCCTGGCGCATCATCGTGTTCTTGGTGGCGGCGGTCTCGAGCTGCGAGTTGGCGAAAGAACCAGCGTGACCGAATTGAACCTCGGTTTTGAACATGCTGGCGCAAGTTCCAATGGCCCAAGCGACAATAGGCTTGGTGATGATGCCCTGACTGACAGCCTCGATGACCTTGTATTCCTCCACGCCGCCAACTTCACCGAGAAGAACAAGCATCTTGCAGTCGGGATCGGCCTGGAATCGGAGCATGTGGTCAATAAAGGTGGTTCCAGGGTACCTGTCACCGCCAATAGCAATACCCTCGTAGACACCATCCGTGTTCTGGGAAATGATGTTGTTGAGTTCGTTGGACATGCCGCCGGACTTGGAAACGTAACCGACGGAGCCCTTGCGGTAGAGCTTGGAGGCGACAATGTTATCCATCATACCGCCAGTGTTTCCGATCTTGAAGCTGCCGGGCTTGATGCCACCGACAGTGGCTGGGCCAATAATGGTGACGCCCTTCTTCTTGGCAACATGGGCAATCTCACGAGCTCGCTATTGCATTGTCAGCACACAAATCCTAGGGCGGGTTGAGCTTTTGATGTACGATGGCCCGGGCTGATGGAAGACATTCAACACCCCATCAACTGCAGAAACTTACCCGCTCGGGAACACCCTCAGCAATGATGGCAATGGTCTTGATCTGGGGATTCTGCATGAGCTCCAAAGTAGAGCTGTAGACACTTCGGGAAGAAGCAAAGTTGACAACGACGTCGACCTCGGGGTGTTTGGCCATGGCCTTGTCAACCTGCTGGTAGACGGGCAGCAAGGTCTCGCTGGTGCCCCAATACATCTTGCTAACAAACTGGCCGCCGAAGGTGTAGATGATGCCAGCAACCGAAGGAGTCTTGCGTTTGCAGATGAAGTCGAAGTCCAGCATGCCCTGGACAGCACGAGGCTGGAGACCGTAAACAAAGCATCTAGTCTTGTCGTTGAAGAGAGCGTGCTCAGGAAGAGGGCTCAACGGTCGGCTGGGAGCAGCGAAACGCTGAATATGGTCGTTGGCAGAGAGCTGACCCTTGGGGCCATTGGGGCCGCTGTTCGTCGCTTGAACCATGGCTGGGGGCGAATGTCGTCCGCGGCAGGAGCGTGGAATGAGTGGAAGACGGAAAGACGGTGACGGCGTGAGGAGAGAAAGCCGGCGATTTTCTGGTGCGAGCCTTTGGTGAGTAACGGTTAGCAGCTGGCGTGGCTTTGTTGAGGCACAGCTGTGCGAGCCTGGTAGACAAGTTCTCCAATTGCAAAGGGAGCAATGGAGATGTGGAAAACAGAGAAGGCGGCGAGAAGTTGCAAACAATTAAACAGTCTCAGAAGAGGGAACGGAAGGAGAAGGGAAGACCTTTGTCAGAGGCGAGGGAGAGCGCGAGTTGAGGAAGCTTTCTAGATGCTGAGCATTGGGAACCGGTCGCTGTTGCTTCTATGGTCCACGCGCTGAAGCCGTCTGCGGATTGCTCAAGTGGGCTCCAGCTCAACTGCTGGCCAACTAAAAGACGCTGACCGGTGGGTGGGGCAGCCCATTTGACCCTGCACAGCGCAGCAGAGCACGCCAGGTGGCCCAGGAAAAAACGGGATATAGCAGACTGTTGCCATCAATTGATGTCGAGTGCCAGCCTGAAGCGTCTGAGCGTCAACGGGTCAAACAGCACCGACTGGCTGACGGGGGCAAAATACCTGCCGTCACGGCGAGGCAACTCGGGAGAAGCTGGGAAAGGGAAACGGAGAAAAAAAGGGGACGTCAAGGACTCGAGGCAACCTACCGGCTGATGTGATGTTTCCTGGCGATACCCGCAATCCCCTACTGCGTCGTGGCGCGCAGAGCTTGAGACTTTGGGAATGAATAAATCAGTGCCTTGAGGTGTACGGAGCTCGGGGTGCGGGTGAGGAGGCAGCCTACCAGAGGATTTCGATGCCAGGGAATGAGTTGGGGCAGCAATTATTTTTGTTGTCCCCTTTTTGCGTCTTCTCGCCTGGCTGTTACTGGTCGGCTTTGACTCTCTGGTCAATCTGTTGAATCGGCCGCCTTTGCTGGTGCGACTATTTGAGGCTAGCAGAGGTAAAAGTGGCGGGACCCCGCCGCAGCTACCGGGAGGGCTCAGCAAAAAGAAGCAGGGGAAAAAAAAAAAAAGCCCCGGCCAGCAACGAGGTACCGCTACAGCGGCAAATTGCCCTGGCCGTTGTCGGCTTCTGCACCCCCCATCCACGCCTTTTTCCCATAAAACAAAAAACAATCACGTACTCCGTATATGAACAGCCCGATGTTAGCAGGACTGCGTACGTCGTAGCAACACGACGGATGGCTTCGCTCACACCACCAAGATGCGTTTCGGGCTCCGAGCCATGTGCCTGCTTACTCCAGGAATTCAGCCTGACATTGCTGCCAGCCACTCGGTGCAGCGGCGGTAAGATAATTACGGAGAGGATCAACCCTGATGGTGATTCCCGTCTTTCCTCCTCCGAAATGCGGCATCCGTTCCAATTCGGCAGGGGGGCGCGGACGGAGTACCTCGATTCAGACCTACACCCGCCCTATTGGCTGTTCCGTCGACGACTGTACCCCCGTGAGGTACGTTATTTTACACACGGGAGGAAAATGCGCGTGCAGAGTCGGGAGTAATAAATGAGCGCCCCAAATGACGGTGTCCGAGCTGCGAGCTGCGACGGGATATGTGTGGCCCATGGACGGAGCTCGGGATCCGGCCACAGCATTGAATGGAAATGTTGACTCGTTGACCCGTTGACCCGTCTGTTGGCAGCGCGGGAGCGACCGAGTTGCCCCGCTGCTTTTGAGCTTTGGAGGTCTGATCACTCTGTTGACGCCTAGAACGAGTCAATTCTTACCAGTTGCTGCAGCATTTGTCTCTCCGTCCCAACTGAAGTAGAAACCAGGCATCGCCAGAATGCCATTTCTTGGCCCGGCAACCCAATACTCTGTAGTCCGTGTGTGAGCTGTGAGCTGTGAGCGGGCTGCCGATGCCGACGCCGATGCCAGTGCCAGTGCCAGCGCCAGCGCCAGCGCCAGCGCCCATGCGACCCAACGCCCACCATCACGCTCGCCAGGGTCCTGACAGAATCTGGCCGACGGAGCGGGTCACTCAACTGCTCTTGTGAACGCCAACATTGATGAGTCCCCAGACGGCCCACACTTGGCACTGGCACCTCTCAACCGCTGGGGCATGCCCAGATCGAATGTACCGGTACTCTCGCCGTCGGTGTGTGTGCGTGCCTGGTGGCCCCAATGGCTCCTCCCCCGACCGCCACGGCACACAACACAGCGGTATGGTTCCATGTTGGCGGTGAAGGCGCCTGTGAATGGCCCCGAGGGAATTCCTCCAACAAGCACCGCACAGTGACCACTGGCCACGACCCAGATTTGATGCGCTGCGGGGTCTGAGGCAGGCCAAGCTTGAACGTTCCTTCCCGTTGCCCCTCTCGATTGAGCAGTTCAGCTGGTGGCCGCCGCCATGCGCATCCTGGCAGGAGCTTTTCAACGCTGACCTGGAGCCCAAAATTTTGAAGGCTGACTTCGGCTCGATTTCGACCGTCACACTCTACGCTATCAAGCTCCATCCATTTCTCTCATCACGCTTCATCCTCACTCCTCTCCTCGCATCACTGTCTACGTCTCTGTTCCTACCTGACAGCTGCGCAACTTGTTCCGCCTCGCGTCAGGGTCCAGCCGAGCTTGCCTCTGCATTGGTATGTGCAGCCTAAACCACCTTCGAATCTCTGCAAGGTGGTTGAGCAGACGATCCCACCAACGCTAGAGATGAATTTCTTGGTAACGGTTTGCGCAGAAGAATAATTCGGATCGAGCACTTGAGGACAGAGAAACCTGGAGACACCCCGAGGCTCCATTTTCACACCAATTCGTCTTTGCCAAAGCTCACCATGTCCGCCAAGTCGATCGCCGAGGCCGATGGCAAGGCCATCCTCAACTACCACCTCACTCGTGCTCCCGTTATCAAGCCCTCACCGCTTCCCCCGCCGACCAAGCACAACCCTCCTCCCAGATTGGCTTCGCTGCACTTTCCCGAGGATGCTAATGTCGAGGATGTACTGAACCAAGCCGAGGTCACCTTCCCTTGGCTCCTCCAGCCCAATGCCAAGTTCGTCGCAAAACCCGACCAGCTGATCAAGCGTCGTGGCAAGAGTGGTCTTCTGGCTTTGAACAAGACTTGGCCCGAAGCCAAGGCCTGGATCGCTGAGCGAGCCGGAAAGGAGCAGAAGGTTGAGCACATCACTGGCGTCTTGAGACAATTCCTCGTCGAGCCCTTCGTTCCTCACCCTCAGGATACTGAGTACTACATAAACATCAACTCTGTCCGTGATGTAAGTGAGCTCACTGTCTTTTCATTTCCCTTCTCCGTCTCGTCCTCCGAATAGTCCAAATTTTGGCCATGAACATTTGGGCGCTGGTGGTCCAAGACACTACGGCATCGTCTCGGACCTCCTGCCAGGATATTTCACACGTACTTGACTTCTTTTTTCTTGTCGCACTCAAAAAGAAGGAAGCAAAACCAATTTTGAGATGGTAATTTTTCCGTTGAATCCTTTGTGCTGGTCACAGAGCGGCAGCTGGCCATCTTGTGTCGATGCAAATGTTGGGGGTTCTGGAGGCGGCTCGCATCGGTCGCTCACTATCCAGCTTCAAGTGCGGACGGGCGAACGGATGTCACCACAGGGAGGGTCCATGGTCAATTGCCCTTTTAGATCCCGATCCCTGGTGTCATGCAGTGTTTCCAAATCCCATAGCAAGACTCTACAGCGGCCCTTGATCCAGCCATTTCCCTGTGATTGGACCGTTCTTTTTGCTATTCCCGTCTTAGTCGTGTTGGGTGCTAACTTTTGATTGCCTCTTAGGGTGACTGGATTCTCTTCACCCACGAGGGTGGTGTTGATGTTGGCGACGTGGATGCCAAAGCAGAGAAGCTGCTGATCCCCGTTGATCTTGAAGAATTCCCTTCAAACGAAGAGATTGCCGCCACTCTGCTCAAAGAAGTTCCACGCGGCGTCCACAATGTCCTCGTCGACTTCATCAGCCGGTTGTACGCTGTGTACGTTGACTGCCAGTTCACATACCTCGAGATCAACCCCTTGGTCGTGATTCCCAACGAGGACAAGACTTCTGCTGCCGTCCACTTCCTCGACTTGGCTGCCAAGTTGGACCAGACTGCTGACTTTGAGTGCGGCGTCAAGTGGGCCATTGCTCGCTCTCCCGCTGCCCTTGGTCTCACCAACGTTGCTCCGGCCAACGGCGAAAAGGTCAACATTGATGCCGGTCCTCCCATGGAGTTCCCTGCTCCTTTCGGTCGTGAGCTGACCAAGGAGGAGGCTTATATTGCTGAGATGGACGCCAAAACTGGTGCCTCTCTGAAGCTCACTGTTTTGAACCCCAACGGCCGTATCTGGACCCTGGTTGCCGGTGGCGGTGCGTCCGTCGTCTACGCCGATGCCATCGCCGCCGCTGGCTTTGCCGACGAGCTGGCCAACTATGGTGAATACTCTGGGGCTCCCACAGAGTCTCAGACCTACCACTATGCGCGCACAGTCTTGGACTTGATGCTCCGCGCCCCCATGTCCGACCAGGGCAAAGTTCTCTTCATTGGTGGCGGCATCGCCAACTTCACCAATGTTGCCAGCACCTTCAAGGGTGTCATCCGTGCTCTGCGTGACTACGCCACCCAGCTCAACGAGCACAATGTCCAGATCTGGGTCCGTCGTGCCGGACCGAACTACCAGGAAGGCCTCAAGAATATGAAGGCTGCCACTCAAGAGTTGGGCCTCAACGCCAAGATTTTCGGACCTGATATGCACGTTTCCGGTATCGTGCCCTTGGCTCTGATTCCCGGCAAGTGGGAGCAGAGCAAGGCCGAAGAATTCAAGGCTTAGATGCGTAATTTACGAAGGATGTATGAAACAAACGGGTGGCGACTGGCGGTTGTGCGAGGGCGTAGGGTGTGTGTCGAAGCGAAGGGAGGGATTGTAGACGGGTAACGCTAATCAGTACCTCATGTTTTGTTGTTGTAATTCCTGCAAGCTAGACTACTCCGTACGGAGACACGGAGACAAGCGAGATATTCCAATATCAGGCCCTGACGGCTGCCTGGACAGACGGCAAGGGACATGTGTGGGCTAGGAGACGGGCTGGGGGGATGACGGCTCAAGACACGGATAAATCAAAACCACGCACTTACATATCGTTTCCACTGCCATGTCATGCAGTACTCTCCCCAGTATACGTGTGACTTTGATTGCCACACGTCGAGGTACAAGCATGATTGGATTGCCAAGAGCGCAGGACAGAAGAATATTGCTCGTCACGCCGAAGTGCGATGCAGTGCCAACAACATCAATGGTTGATGGACCAAGGCGGACATGCAGCGCAATTGACGATTGCGTCACTCCTGCAAATAGAATGCACAACATATCTTCGTCGCCGCCGCCGCCGCTGCTCCCGCCACCTCTTAACTTATCACACAGACCCAGGATGCATATGTTTGTCAACGGCTACGTGCATGTCTCACCAGTAGAACCACGTAGGACACACCAGCACAGCAGGGCACGGAGTAAAGGTGTCTTTTCTTCCACCCTGTTCTGCTCCTGCTCCTGCTCGGCCCCTCATTTTCTTCCCAAAGTAATACATAATATCCAGACAGCTACTCCGTACGGCATACCACGAGCCTTTTTTATTTTATTTTATTTGTACTTTTTTTTTTTGCTTTTTTTTTGCTTTTTACCAAACCCGCCCCCGCACCCCCGGGTTTTCTTCCCCTTTCGACAAAAGTATCCAAGGAGACGACGAGAACAGTGTCCTACTCCATCCATCCTGTACGCTCTCGGCGCAAAAGATGACCTGTCACGTTTGCATCTGGTCCTTTTCCCCTTGCCCCTCTTCTCTTCGCCCGGTTTCTCTTGTTTTCCTGCCTTTCGCCACACTGGCCCCCTCCCCTGCCCGCCGGGTGCGTGATGTCATGGCACAAGCCCGTCTGTGTGTTTGTTCGAAAAAAGAAAAGACGAGACAGGAAGGAAAAAAAGAGCCGTGTGTCACCTACAACTCGAGGTCGTTGTTTGCTGCCCCCGTGTAATGAATGAATGAATCCGTGACACGATACGGCGGGGGAGGGGGGGAGGGGAAACCAAAAAAATCGAGTGAGAGGGAATTGGCCAGCTGTTGTTTGCGAACGCACAGCGGCCATACTCCGTACTCGGTCCGCCTGTGGTGGCAGCCGAGCGGTTTGACGGGCCGGCATGGCATGGCATGGGCATGGGCATGGGCATGTATGTTGGACTTTTCTAGGACACACGGAGGGTGGGAAGACGTCTGGCCTTGCTGCGGCCTACCCTTGGAGGGGAGCGAAATGGTCTTGTTTTCCTTTTTTACATGTATAAATAGTGCTCCGTACCTGGGGACCTTTCCTTATACCCTTTTCCAATTCTTGAGACCAAGAAGAGAAGAGACAAGATCAGGTCATCGAGGCTGAAGCAGAAGCAGAAGCAGAAGCAGAAGCAGAAGCGCCACGGGCATCACTTGCAAGCTGCGAGTCATTTGTGAGTTGTGGCCCTCGCCCCTTTTCTTTCCTCGACTGGTCCGGCTTGCCCGTGCGGACGCTGGACGCATGTTGACGAGGAAGACGGAGACGAAGACGAAGACGAAGACGAAGACGAAGACGAAGACGAAGACGAAGAAGAAAAAAGGCAGGAGATGAACGACATTCCCTGCTGCATTTCTTGCTGCCGCGCCATCGACCACGGCACGCACGAGTTTTGCGTGCCCTGCGATACGGGCTCGGCGTGCACGACTTCTCACGCGCGAAGCAGGTCCCGCGAGGACGAGTATCGGCGTCCCTTGCGCGGGTATGCCCAGACGGACAAGGCTCCCGATCCCAAGGTGGCTGAAAAGGCGGCCGACAAGGAGGTGAAGGAAAAGGAGAGCGAGAAGAAGTGACGGGCGTCGCGGCAAGAGGTGTGCGTGGCGGGACGGCGATATTTGCGGCATCATGTCATAGTCTGTCACGGGCCGGTATTTGCAACCGACGCACAGTTTGCACACATGTAAAGAATGCAAAGGGGACGTACGTCTTGTCTTGGTACGGAGCACTCGTTCATCGCCCAGGTTCGCACACACTCGTGTAGACGTCGTCGAGCAAAGGCACCGCCTTCTAGCTTGCCATCAGTCCCTCCTGTACTGGTGTTGTTGCTGCCGGCCATGCTGAACAACGTGCCTTCGTCTTGGGGGACGGGGACGGCGCTCAGGCCCGTGACTTTCTTGCCCCCCTCGGAGTCGCGGGCCCGCCGTCTTGACGTGGCCGTCGCGGTCGGGCTGGAATTGAGGTCGTCGTCGGCAAGAGCAAGAAGCGGCCCGGCCCGCGGCTCCTGGGGAGACGCAATCGCCCTCGTCGGCAGCCTTCTGCAGTCCATCGTGGCTCCAGACTGGCTTGGCGCGGTCGAGGTCGCGCAGGAGGCGAGTTGACGTGTTCGCCTCGTGGTGAGGCTGGAACAGTAACCCGGGTTCGTCGGTCGAGGAGCGACACCGGTCCCCGTTCATTGGGTTGCGTGGCGTCGTGAAGTCGTGACCACGACCACCCCGAGGGGACTCGATGCCGCGACACCCGTAATCGCCGCTCCAGGGAAGCCGGTGCACGACGACAGACGCTCAATGCGATTCAGGACGCGAGACATGCGCCGCATTCGCATTCGTCGATTGGTCCAGAGATCGGACTGATTATGTCCGTTCCTGCGTCTGCTGCCATTGATCGTCGGACTTGCCAACTTCGTTCGCTCCGTCCCCACAATGCGGTCGACCGGCACGTTTAGCCGATTTTTTTCCTTAGCTGCCGATGAGACCCATGGCGACATTGCACCCTCACATTTTCCAACTGCCGAGTGCGTGGCTCCAAAAGAATGCTTTTGCGTAAAGTTGTAATGATTGTTGTCTTCTTGAGGCCGACCCAGTCGGTCAGCCATCAAAGGATCAGGTCCTGCTGCCTGCCCACACGTGACCCAACTGGCTTGGCTCTGCTCGGTCCGACTCTCACATCTCAAGAGTTGCAGAGTCACCATTTGTCGCAGTCAAGTGCCGACCGCTGTTCGCTTCCCGAGCAAGACGACCGGTCGGGCCGTGGTAACCAAGAAACACTGACATCTGGTAACTCGTTACATCATTTTACAAGTTCTGCAACCGCGAAGGAGACAGGACAGCCGGCAGGGCACCGTATCGATATATCCCACACCGCCTTCCCAGTCTAGACCGCCCACCTAAACGCCCAAAGACACCAGCCAACCCACCAACCGCCCAGATCTGCACGTTGCTCTCGCCATCATTCCCATGCTCCGAGTCCGTCGCCTGCTCGCCTCCCCAGTCTTCCCAAGACTGATCCGAGCCCACAACCACCGTCATTTCCTCACAATGGCCACCCGTACGTGCGCAGAACCACCAACCACCCCGTCACCACCCCACGGCGGCTAACCCTTTCGCCATCAGTACCGCCAGACCGCCGCCCGGTCGTCATCTCGGGCCCCTCAGGCGTCGGAAAGGGCACCCTGTACAACCGCCTCTTCGCCCAGCACCCAGACACGTTCTGCCTGTCCGTCTCGCACACCACCCGCTCCCCGCGGCCTGGCGAGACCGACGGCGTCGACTACCACTACGTGTCCATGGCCGACTTCGAAGACCTCATCGCCAGCCAGGGCTTCGTGGAGCACGCCCAGTTCGGCGGCAACCGCTACGGAACAAGCAAGCGCACGATCGAGGAGCAGACCAGCAAGGGAAAGGTCGTGTTGCTCGACATCGAAATGGAGGTCCGTAATGCTCCGCCGGACCCGGACGCAGGCCCCTTACCCCCCGCTGACTTACAGTAGGGCGTCAAGCAGATCAAGCAGTCGAGCATCGCCGCCCGCTACGTTTTCATTGCTCCTCCGTCGCTCGAGGTCCTGGAAGCCCGTCTTCGCGGTCGTGGTACCGAGGACGAGGCTAGTATCCAGAAGAGACTCAGCAGGGCCGTCGTCGAACTTGACTTCTCAAAGACCCCTGGCGTCCATGACAAGATCATCGTCAATCATGACCTTGACAAGGCCTACAAGGAGCTTGAGGCGTACATCTATGAATCCTCGGACTAATGACCCTGACGAACGTTACACTAGAAGTGATATACTGCACAAACATGACCTTCACCACAAAGAATCAATATAATAACGTGAGCAATAACAAAAAGTAGCTAGCTTTGCAACAAGATTTGTACAACGCTCAATATACATGTATATATCAACGTCATAGACAAGGTCTGGCACATGGCATAAACTAAAGGGTACCAATGTCATTTTCACATCAAAGTTTCATTTTTCCGGGTGACGAAGCCAACTCCAGCTATTCTTAGAGTGGAAGGTATGAAGGTCTGATTAAAGACTAAAGAAAAATTGCAACAATAGCTCGGGGCCGAGGCTAGTAAAGACAGCAAGAAGACGCAGGGGACAAAAAAAAAAGAGCCTTGGGCCTATGGATGGCGGGAGGGGAATTAAATTTGGTGCCGGAGCTCCCATAAAGTCAATACGACTCGGTTCTGACGTGCTGAGGCTGATTGCTCTGGATCCGGAGGCTGGTCAAATATCCGCCTCTCCTGCTAGGCGCTGACGACACCATCCACGATCCTTTTTGAAAACCAAATAAAGGGCTTTTGTCAGCAAGCCCGAATCGCACCATAATGTGGCATGTGACCAACCTCTCCAGACAAAGGATGTCACTGCCCTTTCTGTATTCACATGACACCGTGAGAAATATTTCAAGTTCGTAAGGAATTATTCGGCGACATGAACCCTTAAGCTCCAAGCGACGCCGTTGCTCCCTCGCCAGTACAAGATTACGCAAACATTGGCTTAATAGCCGTTCATGGCCATTCTTTGCGAGCTGCGGCTCAATTCTCGGTCCGCAGCAGGACTGATGGGTCTGCTGTTCGCGCCGCCGCCGTGTGCACTGCTCTCCTTGAGGGCCAACAGCTGCTTGGCACGGAAGGTCTCGTAATGGATCTGGGAAGTAGTTTCGATAAGATCCTGAAGATGGGTTCGGAGGAGAAAGTTGCGGAGGTAGACAAATTCGCAGTGGTTCTCGTCCTCCACATTGATGACACCCCACCGGTTCTGGCGACCGCGGACCTGTTTACCATCGATCATTATGGACTTCTCGGAGCCAACAACGGCAAATGGAACGAGGCCCTATTTCATGACTTAGATTCTGTTGATTCCGTCCAACATGTTGCAAGACTTACCTTGATCTGGCCGTTCAGGGACCGCTCCTCGTCATCAAACTCCTCATTATCATAGGGGTACATCTTAAGATTGTGGAAAGCAAATTCCTCCTTGATGCGCTCCTTGAAAGCCAGGCGCTCCTCAACGGTCAATGTATCAGCCTTGGCAATAACGGGAACAACGTTGACGACATCGGACAGCTTCTTCAAGACAACGATATCAATAGGCTTCAGCGAATGACCAGAAGGCTGGATGAAAAACAGGCAGCAGTGAATGCGGGTGTCCTGAATATAGCGTTCTCGCTGAGCAGTGAGCTCCTTTCGCAGGTAAGCAGAGTGCTGGTCCTTGATATACTTGACAATGGGATCCCAGCAGCGGTCGTTGTTGACTAGGTCGCCATAACCAGGGGTATCGACGATGTTGAGCCTCAAGCGAACCCCATTCTCCTCAATGATATGGGAAACACTCTGAATCTCGGTAGTCGAGCGAATAGCCTCATCAGGCTGCAGACGGCCCTTGGAGTCGATGAGGTGCGAAGCAAAGATGGTGTTGATCAGGGTTGACTTGCCGAGACCAGTCTGGCCTGCACCGTTGACAAATGGTTAGCTGTAGTTTCATAACCTAGGTACTGGATTCGCCATCGACACGTACCAACGCAAATAACGTTAAACTGGAAACCACGCTTCAAAAGCTTTTTCTCAATCTGAGAAGTAATGCTGTCGAAACCGACGTGGCTCTTAGGGAAGATGGTGTTTGCGGCAGCCATTTTGTAGATTTGGTAGGCAGGGGGGGACGGGATGCGACTAAAGAGGGACGACGGTAACTGTTGAAATTGAGATGTCAAGATCCCGAGCCTATTCCAAGAAAACCGAGAGATATCTGCAGGATGGATGAAACACCACGAATTACGACAGCAGATGTGCACGATCGAGGATAGAGCGGGCGGCGGTCGATGAAAGTAAGTGCCTGCCGTTCCTGCCCAATCCCAAGCGATGAGTACCAAGAAAGGGGGAAGGGGCATCTGGGGGCATTGCTGTTCCCAATTACCTTCGAGGTTGGTGCAGACCCATATTTAATTTGTGCGTTTGATTGGCTGGCAATTATCAACCAAGCCACCCACACAGAAAGCTTTGGGCAGGCTTTTATGGCAGTGGAAGGTGAATTTGCCATATGGTGAGAGCTTCAAGATCTGGTCCAACTGTGCGAAACTCAGACTTGCGAGGACCAGCGGACACGTCATTATTTCGTCTCGGTGTCGCGCTACCGATAATCTCCCCAGGGTCTCCAGGTCTACAACCCTAACGCTCTGATCGACGATCATTTCGAACCGAGGTGCATAGTCGATCCGGATTTCAATAATCCTCAAAGATGGCTGCTGCTACGGCATCAATACTCCCTCGACTGTCCTCCCCAACAACTGTCTACACGCTGCGCTGGGCGACGTTCTATACTAGATGCCTCAACATACGACCGTTCCCTGCGTTCTCGATTGCGGTGCCGGGAGTCAGTGTGAATGTTCCAACCTTGCTGGGCGATATTTGGGAGTCGGTTCTGCGCGCGGTACCCAAGAATAAAGTGTCACATTCTCGTAAGCGGCATAGACAAATGGCTGGGAAGGCACTAAAGGATGTGAACAGCCTGTGCAAATGCCCAGGCTGTGGAGAGACAAAGAGAACGCACCGACTATGCCAGAGATGTCTCGAAGGTACGCTGATACGATTTTTTGCGGTTTGTTGCGTATGCTGATGGTATGGTTAGACATGAAAAGGATATGGCGCGACGAATACCCTGTGAACAAACCCTTTTAGCCAGATGTTAAGGTGCAGGGGATTCATCTATCAACTGTATCAAAAGCCTTGTATATCAATTTCGGTCAGGTCTGCATGCTGTTGGCGTTTGGTTAGGAGAGTCTTTGTATAGCGCACATAGATCGTACAGATAAAAGCAATCACTCTCGACCCATGGGAGACTTTATTATGTAGCCGTGAAAAGAAAATGTTTGCACCATTGAACCTATACCGGCTTTATTTTGATGTCATCATCTCATCAGTGAGGTCGAAAATTTTTGGGGATTTCAAGCTCAAACAAGGACATACACTAAATGCACCTCTCTCCACCATAATAGAGGCAAAGAACAAAATTGCGGTCGCGGGATGACAGCATGTTGTGGTGCCATCGCCGTAAACTCGAAATCCTGCCCCACCATGGTCGATGTGAGAAGCGTCCTCCTACATCCAACTCGAGAGTCAAGACAACGCACTCCGAGCCTTGTGGCCGCATGTGCCAGAGAACATGGTGGGCACCATTCAAAATTTTGAGACTCGCGCGAATACTTACCGTACCATCTAGTCGAGGCAGTACCTGACAGCCCATACTGTGGATGATGGTATGTATGCCTGCCGAACCTGCTCTGCCATTGCTACAGTCACTGAGGTTGGCCCGAACTTTCCACCAGTAGCTAACAGCTCGTTTTGCAGCTCATATCACAGATATTTTCTCAATAGCTACAACGCCCAAGGCGGTACTCTCAGCTGGCGGATCGTCAACCCTCCACGTGCACGACACGACAGACCCTTCGTTCCCTTTGAAGCAGTCCATCTCTAACGCGCACAAACTCGGCTGCCACCACATTTGCACATCGAGAAATGGAAAGGTCGCAGCAAGTGCAGGCTTTGGCGGAGAGTTGAAACTTTGGACAGTAAATCAAGACACTGGTGAATGGTCAAACAGTGGCGAAATCACCGGACCTGCAGTCAAACCGGGTGAGGTGTGGGCTTTAGCACTCAGCGAAGATGGGTCATATCTGGCTAGCACGACAAACGACGGACGTATCAACGTCTGGGACCTTACGGATGAGAGTAAACCAAAGATTCAAGAGTACGAGACAGGAAGCGCTGGGTCAGGCAGCTTTGGGATGAGCGTCGATCTCAGCAGAGATGCCAAATACACTGCCAGCGGTCATCAAAATGGAGCAGTGTACATCTTCAACAACGACACGGGAAGAATGTTACATGCCCTATCAGGTATGTGATGCTGGCTTGCAAAAGAGCTGAGGGGGAAGGAGAAAAGGGGGAAAACGAAACTGACACGTGGCAATACAGGACTAGCAAAACCTGTTCGAGCAGTAGCATTCTCGCCTGCTAGCTCGAGACTTGCTGCCGCGGGTGACGCAGGAGTCATTGCCCTGTATGATATGAAGCACGGTGAACATGTGGGCAATTTGACCGGCCATTCTTCATGGATTACGACAATCGACTGGAGTGATACTGGGGAGTTTCTACTCAGCGGGTCAATGGATGGCAAAGTCAAGGTATGGTCAATTGAGCGCAGTGCTTGTGTGGCCACACACAGCGAGACAGACAAGGCATTGTGGACGGCGCGCTGGCTTCCCAAGTCGGGGAAAAGCGAGTTGTTCTGCACCGCGGGTGCGAATAGAAGTCTGTCCTTCTACCGCGAGGCAACTGGAGCCTAGAGGGAGACAGACGACATCAAACACTCAACTGGCGTGAAAGAAATCCAATAACTGTGTCCACGTATTTCCGTTGACGTCTATGAAGCTGTTCATCACGTGACGGCGCTCCAGTCTCGCGTTGCCCCGCCAAAACCAGTTCCTCCGGTTACAGCTTAGCTGCCAACAGCGACATCCGTCAGCCAGCCCACTTCCACCGCCTCGCACCGTGAAATCATTTCGCAACCATTCCCGCTCCTCGAGAGCAACTCGAATAGCAAGCATCCATTTTATCATTTTGGAGCATCTGAATAATTTGATACCGAACCACCATACAATATCGCGATACCGTTCCATATTTTAGGACAGAAGCTCAACACCACGTCATGCCTACCTCTCGACGATCAACTGGCGCAACCCGCGGCCGTACCGGCCCTGCAAGAGGCCAATCAACAATCAGTTTCGCCAGCAAAGTCACAAAAAGCGTACCAAAAGATGTCAAGAACAATCTGGTAAAGTCTACAGCCACCAAGATCGACGTCCCAGAGAGAACGAAGCCCGTGCAGAAACAGGTTGAAAAGGCTGTCGAGGATGACGCAGACGAGCGGGAAGAAGAGGAACAGGAGGATCCAGAGCCCAGGGAGGAAGTCCCGGATAAGACAGAGGCTGAGCTAAAGGCCGAGAAGCTCACCGACTCGCATATCGATAAATACTGGAAAGATATTGAGAAGGAACGCAAGGCGCCGAGGGTCCACCAGGAAGGATTGTCCGTGAATGACAAGATTTTGCGATACTTTGACGTCAGCTCTCAGTATGGGGTAAGTATTCATTTCGGCTGGCTTTCAAATGGCCTGCTGATGACTAACGGGTGAGTAGCCTTGCATTGGAATCGACCGCATGAAGCGGTGGCGCAGAGCCGAGCGGCTTGGCTTGCGGCCTCCCATTGAGGTTCTTTCCGTGCTGCTTAAGGAGCAGAACAAATCCAACAAGGAGGCGGAAACGGCACAGATGGACCACATTCTCAACTCTATTGCTGTTGGATCATAGGCGCTGCTTGCGACGACGACGCATGGGGGGGTTGAAAGCACGGAGAATGGCGGGCGTTGGTGGCGTGTGGGTTTTATTATTTCAACAAACGAATAGTTAATGTGTATTCTACTGGTCTAGTCTTTTCTAAACTCTTCATGTATCAACTCAACGACTTAGCTATGAATGGAAAACCATCTATGTGCCCGGGTTCGATCGATCGATGTCTATGGTGCTAGACCTATCTAATACCAAATGCTTCTCGTTCTATGGTGAGGAAACGGTTCTTTTCCCGCAGCTTCCAGTTCTTTCATGCGGTCGTAAAGGAAGAAATCGATCAGAATAGCATTGACGTGAGTGTCTGGGTGTGCTCGAACAATTTCGCGTCGTATTAATTCGACACACCATATACTGCAAGCTGCGAACCCATTTCTTCGCTTTAGCACGCAAACACGCACCCTTCTAGGATTAAAATTGCAAACTCACCTCTTAATTGAACCTCCCAGCAATCTCCGCTTTTAAACATCTTCTTGTCCTTGATGGCCGCCGTAACGGGCGGACTGCAGCACAATGCGCCTAGAGTGATCAGAATCTGGGGTATGCGGTAGTCGGCAAACATGGTAATTTTGTCAATGTCCCAAAAGCTGCCATACGACTGGCCCTCAAAGCAGGCCCATATATCTGCAACTAGAATCTGAGCCCGCTTCAGGAAACGCACGGGTTTGCTTCTGCCCTCGAAGTAGTGTTCGTCACGGAAACATGAAAAGTCCCCGGCGAGGAGGTTGACGAGTTGGGCTGCTGAGCCATCGGCTGCGGCTATAACATTTTCGAAGGAGCAGTTGTATCGCTGAAGGAAGGGTTAGAACCATCAATGCCTTTTTTTTCCTCCGAGGGGGAAAGGAGTGGGAAAGAGACGGGAGTATTCTGGAGGAAGCGGTTGTCCGTGGCCTACTTCATACAAAACCCTGCCGCTCTCTCTGAGACAGGCTAGTCGTTCTTGCAGCAAAGGCATCTCCTCTTCTGTGGACGATCTGAAGATGTGCCGAAGGGATTCCAGGTTGCACTCCTGCTCGTCTTGCCAATAGTGCGGATCAGTGATTGGGATGTCTTATTCCGGCGCGTCAGCATATTGTTGGATCCTCGGAGACAGAAGCAAGGTCAACTCACTCTCGTCCAAAGCCCTCTGCAGAGCCGCGACGAGGCTCCAATATCCAGTCCACCGCCTCCCCCTGTACTCGATAGCAAACCTCTCGTCATCCGGCAACTCGGACCAAAAGGAGAAATTCAGCAGATCCATGGTAAAAATGAAGGCCACGGTGGTCTTGTCTTTCGCCTTGGGATGAAGCTCGTGCTCTGACCAAGTGGCAGCTGAATAATGGTTCTTCTGCATCTGGGCATATATCGTTTTGGCAGCATTCTTGGTAGCCCGCATATCAATGGCCATATCAATGCCTTGGTCATAAACATACTTGGCGCCGTCTAGAACACCTGTGTCTGCCTCTTCTCGGAGGTCCAGTTCACCCTGTAGATGCTGGCGGAGCAGATCGAGAAGTTCAGGGTCGGCTTCATCATCAGACATTCTGTTTGTCCTGGGAGGTCGTCCTTCCCGGGGGCTGAGTCAAAGGCCGGTGTGAAAGGGCGGTGCGTGCGGCGTTGCACTACGTACTCGGGAAACATGCAGGATGAAAAACAAAGATTGACCATAATATAAAATCGAGATGACGGTATATCCAACAATTTTGGCAGTGTTACAGCTTGCTTGGATTGAGAGAAGAAACAAAAAAGCCCAGAGCCGGTTCCCGGCGACCCCTGGTCCAATCGGGCCTCTCGGTCGCGCAGAGGACTCTCTCAGCTTTGTTTGTATTAGCGTCCATGGTGATCAAGGTGCGTTTCGCGATGGATGGGAGCCAGAGTCAATTGAGCGACATCTACGACCAGAGCTAAAAGAATCATGCACAGTATTATCGCAGGGATCCTAATGCTGACCCAAATGCGTCGTTGTGCAGGGTATTTCCCTCGTCTTTGCTGATACGTGCTGCATGCACTCATTCTGTTGGCGAACTGGCCGCGGAGACAATTCCATTCTGCGACCCACATGGGAACGACCCCTGGCGCATCCGACGGGATTTGATTGGTCGCAACTCGTCGCTGCCATTCAAGCGTCACCCGCAAGCGCCCAGCAGTGAGTGAAGCAGGGTCTCGAGAAACAGGCTCCGTCCAACATTAACATTAACAACGTTCGCATGCTCCTTTCCCCGTCTGATAGCGGCTTCACCTCTTCAGCTATCGAGCTCATCTTTTCGAGAGGCGATAGCGGCGATGGAGGCCTCGGAAAACGCCATTGAACCCGCCGCGCCGTTGGCAGCCGTGCCAGCTGCGACAGCTGATTCTGCTGCAGGTCAAGCAGCTGGGCAGACTGTCAATGCTCGAGAACAACAATCACAGCCTCAGCAGGAGTCTTCCCAAGACCCTCAACAAAAATCTGCGCAAGCGCCAGCCCAAAATACGCAACCACGGCAAGGCCTGCCTAGCCGTCTCCCACTCACAGCCCAACGTTGCCCACGAGCGATGCCGCGCGACACTTACAACCACCAGTCGCTTGGGGCGTCTCTAAACTCGTCTGTGAAACAGGTACGGCGACTCTCGGTGTCCTAAGGATCCTATGTTTTCCAGGGACTGTTGGCGATGAAGTGAATTTGGTCGCATGACTCGTGATGGCCCTGTTGAATTTGGTGCATCGTCTTCAAGGATTGCGACTTACGACTAGAGGGAGATTTGACGTGTGAAGGCTGACGCTATGATCTTTCTCAGGCACGAGTATTGATGGTCGGTGCAGGAGGCATCGGATGCGAATTGCTCAAGAATCTGGCCCTTACGGGCTTCTCAGAAATTCACGTTGTCGACCTTGATACAATCGACCTATCGAATCTGAACCGACAATTCCTATTTCGACAGGAGCATATAAAGAAATCCAAAGCTCTGGTATATATAGCACGCAGCTCAGTCACCATGGAACGGGACGAAAAGCTAACAGGTGGACAGGTTGCCAAGGAAGTCGCCGAGAAGTTCAATCCACACGTCAAAATCGTCGCCCACCACGCCAACATCAGAGATGACCCCTTCGCTGTTTCGTGGTTTCGACAATTCAATATCGTCTTCAATGCACTGGATAACCTGGAAGCTCGGCGACATGTCAATAAAATGTGTCTTGCCGCCAACGTACCTCTGATCGAAAGTGGCACTACTGGTTTCAATGGCCAAGTTCAAGTTATCAAAAAGGGCGTGACAGCATGCTACGATTGCACTGCCAAGGAGACACCCAAAACATTCCCCGTCTGCACGATCCGAAGCACGCCAAGTCAGCCCATTCACTGCATTGTCTGGGGCAAGAGCTATCTGATGAAGTGGGCGGACATCACCGCGTAACCAGAAAAACGTGAATTGCGCTAACAGTTTTGCAGCGAAATATTTGGCGTCAGTGAGGACCAATCTGCGTTTGATCATTCAGCGGATGCTGAAAACGGTACGTGGGCTCTGTTTCCGGTGGCTACAAGTTCCTACATCTAATGCCAACATCACAGCTCACGAGATCGAAGAGCTCAAGAAAGAGTCCGAGGCTCTGGAAAGGATTCGGGATGCGGTTGGCACTGAGAATTTCCCCCAAATGCTCTTCGATAAAGTCTTTAATAGCGACATCGAGAGATTGCGATCAGTCGAGGACATGTGGAAGTTGCGTAGAAAACCTGAGCCTCTGCATTACGGCGCTATCCTAGCTCAAGCTACTGATGCTATTGCATCAAGGGACGATATTTTGAGCGATGATCAGCGGGTGTGGACCCTCGAAGAGAATCTTGTGGTGTTCAGAGACAGCTTGGATCGCTTGAGCAAGCGAATATTGGACATTAAAAAGAAAAAAGACCCATCCGGTCCTGAGCCAACAATCAGCTTTGACAAGGACGATATTGACGCGCTGGATTTTGTGGCTTCATGTGCCAATATCAGATCAACCATTTTTGGAATTGATCGCAAATCACGATTCGAAATCAAGCAAATGGCTGGCAATATTATCCCAGCCATTGCCACTACAAATGCTATTGTCGCCGGTCTATGCATCTTGGAGGCATTCAAAGTTCTTAAGGGAGAATACGAACAGGCCAAAGAGGTAGGAGTGGAAAGGAAGTCGTGGTTCTAGTCAGCCAGATGCTAACTATTTCCCAGGTGTTTTTGCAACCATTTTCCTCAACCAGGCTTCTCGGCTCAGATACATCGCGAAAGCCCAACCCAGAATGTCCAGTGTGCAGTGTTTTCAATGTCACGATCAAGGTTGACCTTTCCAGGGCAACACTGAATGATGTTGTGGAGGACATTATCAAGAAACAGCTCGGTTTTGAAGAGAAGGAGTTTGTCCTCAACAACGAGGTTGGTATCGTGTATGATGCGGATGAGACTGATAATCTACCGAGAAAGCTTTCGGATCTTGGTATGTACATGTGATGCAATTTTGTGAAAAGGGAGGCTCAGAAACTAACATTTTTACAAGGCATCAAAGCGGGAAGCTTCCTCACCGTGATTGACGAAGATGACGAAGAGCCGTTGGTTAATATTGTGATGAATATTGAGGAAAGGTATGTGGTATTGGACAACCGACTTCAGTGACGGATAGTCTCTTACTTTTTGGTAGTGCTGTGGGGATCCAAGATAAGCCTGTTGAGGTTGGCTTTGAGGAGAAACCTGAGATTCCTCGGAAGCCCAAGAAGGCTACAATTGCAACCAACGGTGAGCCCAATGGCGTCCAGCAAAACGGAAACCATCCAGGTGCAGATGTGCAAAGCGCGACCCTCAAAAGAGCCCATCCAGGTGATGAGCAAAGTAGGGCACTCAAACGAGCCCATTTGGACGACAATGTGCAAGGCGGGACTCTCAAACGAGCCCACACAGGTGACGACGCGCAGCTGACGAGAAAATTGAGGATCACCGGTGCTGAGGACGATCATGTTTTGCTTGTACAAGACGACGACGGTGGCGCAATTGTCATTCCCGACGACTGAAGTGGAACGGCATAAGAGGCCAGGTTTTGCTCTTCCGCTCTTCGTTTCACGCGGCACTCAATCCACCATCGAGATTGAGAACACAGTTATTGGCAAATCCATTGGAAGCCAAGAAAATTGCAGCATCTGCTACTTCAGCAGGATGTGCTACGCGGTTGAGTGGCGTATCTTTCAAATACGCCTGTTTCAGTTCTGGTTTCAGATCTAAGTAAAAGGGAGGTACCATTGGCTAGGTTAGTTTTAATTATTCAGCTTGCTCTTTTGCAGTTTGGCATTTTGCGACATCAAGGATAGGATAGGAGGGTGGGAGGGGCATTTGGAACAAAACAAGATGGAGAGGAGGGAAAGTTCTTACGATCCCACATGGAGCTCTGCACCCAACCTGGTAAGAGAGCATTTACACGGATAGATTTGGCGGCCATTTCCCTGCACAGAGCACGGGTGAAAGCTGCATTCGGGCGAAGAGGTTAGTCAGGCGGCCAATTTTTTTCCATCCTCTTTCTTCTTCTTCTTTTAATTTAGGGTCAAAGTTGGCATCCGGCGAAGAACAAGATGGCGCGAAAGGGATACGTAGGTAGATATGACGGCTGAATCACGCAGATGTGTATATCGGACGTACCCACGACGCCTGCCTTTGACGCGGCATATGCAGTGACACCCAGGGCGGATTTCGTAGCCATCAAGCTGGAGACGTTGATGATGCAACCTGGCGTTTGATTTTCCTTTGGTTAGCCTCGTGGGACATGGGACGTGGGACATGTGCTGCTGCTACGGCATTGTATTCTGGCGCTGAGCCGGGGGCGGGCGGGCTTCCTACCATTTGGCCGAAGCCTGGCGTGCTTGCACACGAGCATGGTAGCCAGCAGGTTCGTGTCAAGAATACTCGCGAGCTCGTCGTCCGGAGTTCTTTTCAAGAGGGTAGTCTGAGAAACGCCGGCGCAGTTGACGAGGATGTCTAGTGGCCCAACCGTATCGACGTGCTGAGGACGCGGTCAAAATAGGCAAAACGGGCAGGGCAACGCACTTACCTGGGAGGCGCGAGGACCGAAGACATGGCCTATGCTGGCCCTATCTGCGACGTTTAGCCTTATGAACCGGTGGCTAGCAGGTGTATCGGCCGACGAGTTTCCCCCGTGAGGTGCTGCGTAGGACGCGAGTTGAGGCTCAAGCCTGGACTGTGCTTGGAGGGCTGTCCGGCCGAGGAGCGAGACGACTGCTCCTTGGGCGGCAAAGGCTCGGGCTATGTGGATGCCTATGGTGCCCGTTGCGCCGACGACGACGGCGTGTCTGCCTGCGAGGGAAGTCATGTGTGGGCTTGATGTGTGCTGTGATGTGGGAATAGAGCAGAGAGGTGGGAGGATGCTCCGGATCGGGTTAGGGTTGGCCACGTAAGTAAGTAGCTTGGGGTCGCCGTCGCCGTCTGGTGGCTCCGACCAGCATCCAGACATGGACCCTGGAATCGTGCGTGGTTCATCGTCAACCGGCAACCTGGTCCATTGACCAAGCGATTGTGCCGCTGCCGTGTCTCCATTTTCCGCCACTATAGCATCCCCTAAGCAATCTATTTCTACTAGTACTACATCCTTGGTGCATGTATCGAACATTCCATCGACCTTTGGGCTCTTTTCGCATGCGACCAGCCGATCCTCAGTCGTCTCTCCCTATGTTTCGTGCCGTCTGGCTCTAGAGGGTCCGGTCGCCCTACATTCCTCTGCCCCTTGAACCTCACCTCAATGTCGGCCGTCTGAGTCCACCAAGCGCCCCCAATTGACGACAATCCAAGCACAGGTCCGCCGCTCATTGCCTGCGAATCCATCCCACCATGAGCGGCGCGCGACGCGATGCCAACGATGCCCCGCCGCCGCCCACCACGTCTCCTGCCCGCAAGGCCGACAACGTTCCTGATGCCGGCTTGAGGAGCATCAATCACTGTGAGTATGACCGAGCGGCATACAAGACACACGCGCCGAGAGGGGAGGAATCCCTCGAGTACTGGACCCGAGTTCCAGGAGCATTCGTCGCATGTAGCTGACGACTTGCCGATCCAGATAAGCGAGCTCTTCCGCGATGGCGATATAATCTTCGGCAACAGGCCATACCGTTGATTCGATGGGAGACCCCGTATTTGGCCTGGATGCAGGACAAGCTGAGGACGCCTGCGTTGGATAGTTACTTTGCCATCACAGCCAACCTGGGCACCCATACGTTTTTCATGGTTGGCTTGCCAATATGCTTCTGGTGTGGCTGGGCGTCTCTGGGCAAGGGGTATGTGGCATTTTCGCTCTCTGCGTCATGCTGTTCTATTCGCATTGCGTCGACGTGCTGTCCCTGTCTCTGTGCTGACTTCCTCTCAGCCTGGTGCACATGCTTGCTCTTGGCGTCTTTTGGACCGGCTTCATCAAGGACTTTTACTCTCTCCCTCGACCGCTCTCGCCGCCGCTCCATCGAATCACCATGTCTGGATCTGCTGCTCTGGAGTACGGCTTCCCTTCCACGCATAGCGCCAATGCGCTCTCAGTGGCCGTCTACGGGCTCCTCAGCTTGCGCAACCCCGACAACGCTTTGCCCCCGGCAGCCAGGATGGTTTTGGAATGCCTCTCCTACTTTTATGCGGCCTCCATAGTCTTTGGTCGCCTGTACTGTGGCATGCATGGGCTCCTGGATGTTCTCGTCGGCTCCGTCATTGGCGCTGGCATCGGCCTAGTGGAATTCTACCACGGCCCTTCGTTCGATGCCTTTATGCATTCTAGCTCCTGGATAGCCCCTGTAGTTGCGGGACTTGTCATTATCGTCTTTGTACGCATACATCCTGAGCCGGCGGATGATTGTCCCTGCTTCGATGACAGCGTTGCCTTTGCCGGCGTCATGATTGGCGTTGAATTCGGAACTTGGACGTATGGCAAGATCCCGTCGGATCCCTGGGAGGCCCATGCCTACGGGGAGGGGACGGTTGACGTTGCGCCCCTGGGCCTTTGGGTCAACATTGCGCGAATTGTATTTGGAGTCTTGGTCATCTTTGCCTGGCGGGAAACAATGAAGCCCGCTCTGCTCAAGTTCCTGCCTCATCTCTTCCGTCTTATCGAGAGGCTCGGCTGGGATCTGCCACGAAGGTACTTCACCCCCGCCAGTGAATACAAGTCGGTGCCTCCGGGATCCCGCCTGGACACCTTGTTTCCCAAGGCCTCTGACTTTCCTCGAATGGTGGAAGGTATCCGGCATCCTACGACTCGCGGGCGAGCCGTTTCTGTTGGTCCTCAAAGCGCTGCGGATGCGTATGAGGCATTGGCGTACCGGGAACGGAGACGCAGAGAAAGCATCAGCAGCAACCAAAGTTTACGAAGCAAATCTAGTAATATAGATCTTCAGGCTCAAGAAGAGGACAACCCCGGAAAAGCGGCAGAGACGCCCGGAGTGCAGAAACCACCCAATCCCCGTGGTCATGAGAAGGTAGATGGTCTCGAGGAGAGTGAGCTTGATGACGAGGAAATGTTTTCCCGTCTGGTCCGTCCCCGTGTGAGGTACGATGTTGAAGTCGTCACGAAGTTAGTAGTTTATGCCGGTACGTTGACGACAATGCTGCTAGCAGTCTCCTGGGCCGTGCGTCTTGATGGCAGTCATGGGTGCAGGTTGGCTGACCACATATAGGAATTGCATGGTTTGCGACAGCGCAGATCCCAATCATGTTTGAGTATGTTGGTCTGGGGACGAACCACCTCCAGCGTCATGGGCAATGACATGGCCAGGGCTTCGTTCACTTCACGATTTGCAGCGGCCGTTCTCGCATGAAGAAAGCACTTGTTTACGAAGTTGTCGGTGCCGGGTCAGGTCGGTTTGGTAAGCGGGCTGCCGACTGACGTCCGAGACTAATGAATGCAGTAGTAATATAGTAAATAGCGTTTCGCCCATGATAGAAGGTTGCACATTTGCAAAATCGATGACGGAACTGTACAAATGCTCCTGGCACTGCCGAACTGTGCATAATTCCAATGTACAGTAATAAAATGCCGTGATACCAGGGTCAAAGGTTTTGTGGAGACTCGGGAGGCTTGGGGTTGGGACAGGGATTTTAATGGGCGACACGAACCGGCGCGGTCGACGCGTCGACACGGAAGGGCTGGCTTCATCAAGCCGGCTCATATCAGCCTCGAATCCGGATCCGCCCAGCACGACGACGACAAGTGCCTGCAAGCTTCGCAGCCGAGTCGCACAGGAGACGCGCCGATTCCGTGACGCAAGCACAAGCATTCGCTACCATGTCGGATTTCGAGGACGAGATGGACGTCGACGGCCCCGCACCGTCCAAGGACGTCATCTTCTCCTCCTCGGAGGCCACCAAGGGCAAGCGAAGCACAGCAAACCTGCCCGTCGAGGCCGAGGACAGCTTGCCATGGTTCGTTGCCCCAGTCCCGTCCAGCTCGCAGCCGGCCTCTGACGCGGCCCAGGATCGAAAAATACCGACCCGCAACCCTCGACGACGTCTCGGGCCACCACGACGTCCTCGCCACCGTCAACAAGTTCGTCGACTCCAACCGCCTCCCTCACCTGCTCCTCTACGGGCCCCCGGGGACGGGGAAGACGTCCACGATCCTAGCGCTCGCGCGACGCATCTACGGGGCCGCCGACATGCGCCAGATGGTGCTGGAGCTCAACGCCTCCGACGACCGGGGCATCGACGTGGTCCGCGAGCAAATCAAGACCTTTGCCAGCACCAAGCAAATCTTCTCCACGGGCGCCTCGGCAAAGTCCTCGATTGCTGGGTTCAAGCTGATTATCCTGGACGAGGCGGATGCCATGACCAACACGGCGCAGATGGCGCTGCGACGAATCATGGAGAAGTACACCGCCAATACGAGATTCTGCATCATCGCAAACTACTCGCATAAGCTGAGTCCCGCGCTGCTGAGCAGGTGCACGAGGTTCAGGTTCAGCCCTCTCAAGGAGGGCGACATTCGGGTCTTGGTGGAAAAAGTCGTCGAGGAGGAGCACGTGCAGATTGGCGCCGAGGCCGTAGATGCGCTGGTCAAACTCAGCAAGGGCGACATGAGAAGGGCCTTGAATGTGCTGCAGGCTTGTCACGCTTCAAGTACGGAGATTTCCATCCACAAGTCACATGTGCCCCTCGCCGCCTTGGGTTGTTGTTGTTGTTGATTTTTGCGCCCCCCTCTTCCCGGGTCTTGCTGACTTGTGTGTGATTTCTGGCAGGCACACCTCTCCAACCGAGGAATGCGCCCAAGATCCCGGAGAGCGAGATCAAGCGTGAAATGATCACGACGGAGACGATTTATAACTGCATTGCGGCGCCGCCGCCGGATGCTATCAAGGAGATTGTGACGACGCTGTTGAGCACGTCGGATGTGACGAGCTGTCTGAATACGATCCGCGCCCTCAAGGTGACGAGGGGTTTGGCGCTGGCAGATATCATTACGGCGCTGTCGGAGGAGTTGGTCAAGCTGGAGGTTAGCCCGGAGGTGATGATTTCGTGGTTGGACGGGTTGGCGGATGTTGAGCATAGGGTTGCCGGCGGCGGTAGTGAGATGGTGCAGACTGGGGCTGTTGTTGGTGTGGTGAGGGCGGGAGTTGAGCTGATGGGTAGATGAAGGCCGGGGGGGGGAGGAATTACGGGCGGATGTTTTGATCGTGTCAGTGTCAGATGAGATGGAAAAAGCGAATCGTAAGTGTTGTGCGGCGTCTGAAGTAAAAAGCAGGTTGATATTGAACGGTGGACTACACACGCATCTGTCACATAGGTATGCATGGATACAGACGCGGGCACCTCCTCGGTACCAGAATCTGCGGAGCCTTTGTCTGCAAATGTAACTTGCAAGAATAGAGGCAGCTACGGGAAAGGGTTGATGCTTCACGAGAGAGGAATGACCACGTTGAGATTTGAAGGTGCATACCGAAGTTCCTGGGTACTCGGGTACGTATCTAGGTACTTACGTAAGTAGGTAAGTACCTACCTACCGAGGTACCTAGGTACTTATCCACCTAGCAGTGACGCGCCCCGCCATGACTCGGACCAATGGCCCAGCTCCAGACTCACCACCAGCTCCTTCGAAACAAGACGACGACGATGATCCCTTCGCCCATCTTCTCATTGTCTCAGGCCCAATTCTGCCTCGTTGCAGTCCAATCTTTACCGCAAAACAGCACCACCTCTGTGCAATGGCGGCCGCAAGCCCCAGCGAGAGCTTTACACCGAGCTCCGTCCAGGGCAGCCACGTCGTCCCCATGATGGCCCCCAACGAGAAGAATGTCAGCAGGATCCCGCCCATCCTGCCGCGTGAGAGAGTCTTCCCAATCCAGATTGGCAGCGAACTGTTCAAACTATCCGGCGCATCGCTCTCTTCAGATGGTGCGCTGCCATATCCATGTCCTCCCCCCTCTCCGTCTCGTTCAATCCACTAACCTGGCAAACCCCGTCCAACAGCACCATCCTACTTTTCGCAATACTTTCTCTGCCAGATCAAGCAAGCCGAGGAGCACGGGGAGGACGTGGCAGGTGCCATACGCACCTTGTACATTGATCGCGACCCAGTGACGTTTCGCGACATCGCGCTCCATCTACAGGGCTACCACGTCATGCCTCGCGACGGCAAGCATTTCGTGCGCCTCTTTGCCGATGCGCAATTCTACAGCCGTATGCTCCTACGCCTCCCCTCACACATTTGAGCAGAACCGAAAAGACTGAATCAGCTGTTCGCCGCCCAAACCAAACCAACAAAACAGTCCCCAAGCTCATTTCCCGGCTCTACGAAGAGAGCATCTTCATCTCCATCGGCCACCGAGAATTCCAAATCCCGCGCGACCTCCTGACCGACCCGCGCAACTCACCAAACTACTTCTCCCTCGGCTTCGCCTTCTTCTTCTCCCGCCCGGACAACCTCTTCCCCGGCCTCGACCGCGAGGGCCTCATCCGCCCGCCGTCCATCCTGCCACCGTCAGTGCCGAACCGCAACGCCGACACCTTCGCCGACCTCCTGCGCCTGCTGCGCGGGTATCCCGTCAACATCCGCGACGAGACGCACCGGCGCGAGCTCCTCCGCGACGCCCGATACTTCCATTTCAAAGGCCTGGAGCAGCAGCTCCTCCCGCATTCGATAGCGTACAACTCGATCCGCGGCCACGACGAAATCACCCTGCGCCTAGAAAACGTCCAAAAGAGCGGCCTCGGCATTCTCCAGGATCGCCAGGCAGACGACCACGGAGACGACCGTGGCCTGGACGCGAGCGTCGTCTACGCGCGGCCCTACATCGACGACAAGCCTGCCGAGCTGGTTCTCGAGATGGCCAACGAGTCGAGCAGAATCCATTTCCTCCGCGACGGCCCTCGGCTCGAGCTTTTCAGGGACACAAAGGCCCGCGTCGCCAAGCTGCTCGAGGTCATTGCCGCCAAGCTAAACCTGCCGCCCACTACGCAGCCGCTCGGCCTGCCGATGGCATCCGGCGGCGCCTCATCCCAGGCCGCCACGCCGGGCAACACCCCTCTGAGCGAGGACCTGGTCCGCGCCGTGCTGGGCCCCGACGCCGCCGTCACGCTTGACGGCGAGGACCTCGACGCCGGCTCTAGCGGCGGCGGTGTCCCCCAAGACGCAAATGCCGGCGTCGACGCCAACGGCGACGAGGCCGCCCCGAGGAAACGCAAGAGGACCGCCGATGCCAGAGTCAAGAGCGAGGAGTCGTGGGCCGTGGCCAGGGGCCAGTGGAGGCTAAGGATACAGGCCACCGACGGCGGCAAGAGCGCCGCCGAGTGCGTCTTTGTCGCCGTGAGGCTAGACTGCTTCTCCGACGAGAGGGGCCGCAACTTTCGCAACAAGTTCCTGGCATCGTAGCCGCTCGTGGCGGACACAAACCACCCCATCCATCTATCCACGCATCTACGCACACCACACTTGTCGGGCAGATGGAACCTGAAGTGTGCGGGCGCACCTGGCGTTTGTTTGGACATGCTAACCCGAGCCGTACGGGCACGGCACGGCAGAATAGGCTCACGCACAGCGTCGGGACATGTTTTCCAGCACCGGGGATTGCAACACGGCAAGCAAGCAATGCATGTAATGAATCGACACGCCCTTCTTCTTCTTTGCAACTCATCAGCCGTCTACGCATTCTGCTCCAAGACACATACATACATACAGAAACACAACTTCATCTCGCTGATCAAACACCATGTGAGAAAGGGGATTATCATGACACATGATATTGTGACATGAACAGCCATGCTTAAGCAAGGCTAAAAGGATCGAATCCAACACGCCATGCAACCAATCCCCCTTCCTCCATTGCCCCACAAAGTCAAAACGCCCATCGCCATGCCTGCAAAATAGTCCGATGCAATTATTGACAAAATACGCCCTGCGGGCCCCGAGCAACCCGCCATCATCATCATCGTCATCTTCATCATCATCCATGCTCACGACTTGAAACCCGGCGTAGCCTTGGTCGTAGGAGCACTGACATCCCTCTTAATCGGACGTCCCCGCGGCCCCGTCGCCAGAGCTGCCACCTTCTTCCCCGGCCCGGCAGCACTGCCCTGTGCAGCACTCCTCGCTCGTCCCCTTCGTTCACGAATCTTGGCCAGGGCCTGCTCCCGCGTCATGGTTGGCGTCATGGCGGGGTCGTTTGAGTCGAAGCTGGCGCTGCTGCCGTGTGAGGGAGTCCGCAGACGCTCGTTGAACGAGGAGCTGGACCGCTCGGTTTCTTCTCGGAGAGGAATCGTCGTTGTGACGGTGAAGGAGGCTGTGGATGTGTGGGGGCGAGGTTCTGGCGACCCTGCCGGCGAATAGCTCTGCTCTGCGGCTCTGGCGAGCTCTTCCTTTCCGGCCTCTTGCCCTGTGGCAACTGGGATGCTGGGGACAAGAGGCAAAGGAGCTATCTGTACGTCGTCTTCTGGTGGAGCGCCGAGCAGGAAATCCAGCGAGTTGCGCTCCTGGGCAAGGAGAGCGAACGCAGGAGGGTCGACGGATGGAGTTCTGGCGTACATCCGGGGGCTGGGATCTGCTTCTGTACTCGGCAGCGGTTCATCTGCATGAGCCTCCTCCTGAATGGTGGATTCAACCGCTGCCGTGCGCTTTTCCTTTGCTTCCATGGCGGCCGCCTCTTGCTCGGAGACCGTGCGGAAGATGCCCTCTTTCGGACAGAAGATGGTGCTTCGTCGTGCTTCTTTTCTAGACTTGACACGCTCTGGTTCCGGCTCGGGTTCGGGCTCCAGCACAGGCTCAGGCTCTGATTCTCCTGCCAGTTGAGGCTGAGGTTCTAGTCCATGCTCCTCCGGTCGCAGGGAGTTGCGCGGAGGAGCGCGGGAAGAGCTGTCGTGTGAATCACGGCACGATGCTGGTTGCGAATGTGGCGAATGCGACTCTTCCTTTACCGCCACTGGCTGCTGTTCCCCCTGCTGCTCGACCGACACGCGTCGTCTCTTATGCGGAGCCTCGACGCTCATTCTCGCATTCTGAGTCTTTGAGCAAGGACAGCAACGCACGCTACACTCGGCCTGAAGAAACTCAACCATCTCTTGAGCCCTCTCCGCGCGCTGTCTCTCCCAGAGAAGCTGCGTACTAAGCTCCTCGATCTCCATCTCACTCGCGGCAGAAGACGTGATCTCCATGGTCGACAATGAGACGCGGGGTGCCGCCCGTCCGCTCTGTCGCTTAGCAACAGTCTTCCTTTTGGGCGACGAAAACTCGTCGTTGAGATCCTGAGACGGCGGTAGCGGCAGCCGGCCTTCGGCAGCAATGCGAGCTACTTCCTCGTTTTTAGCGGCCGTCTTGAAGGCATCTCGTTCTTGTTCCACCACCCTGATACGCTCGAGTGCCCGGTCGAGCTGCTCCTGGACGCCAACAATCTGGTAGCGCGCAGTGAAGGCTTCCTGTTCCCTGACTTTGCTTCGCTCCCTTTCGCGCTGAAGGCTCTCCTCGGCGGATTTGACCGAGCCCCTGGCTGACTTGAGCTCTTCTTGCAGCTTGACAATCGCAGACTGGCTCTTGAAGTTTTCTTTCCTCGCTCGTCGGATTTCCTTTTCCCACAGAGCTTGTGTGTGCGCGTGCGTCTCCTTGGCACGGCCATAGTTCTCCTGTGTGCCTGTCAGTCTCTGGCCGGGCTGCAAACTCGTCAAAGTCGTACGTCAACCTACCATGACGGCCTCCAGTCTCTCTCCCACTTTCCTCTCCCGCTCCTTTCCTTCCTCACTGTACTTCCTCAGCAGCACCAGCTCGTCCCGAAGCCTCTTCATCTCGGCCTCTGCCTCCTCTCGCCCCACCATGGCTCGCTTCAAAGCCGCATCCGCCGTCTTGCGCTCCATTTGCTTCGATTGCATCGCGATGCTGAGGTTGTTAAACTGGTTGATCTTTTCGTGTACAGAGCTGTCCCTGCTCTCGCCCCGAAACGAGGAGACCATCGAGTCGCGGCGGTTGACGCGGTCAGGAGACACGACCTGGAGGGGTCCCCCGGACGGAGAGCCAGACACACTCGAGCCCGTGTCCATGGACAAGACGGCTTGGCGTTCGTCACGTTCTCCTTTGTTGTGATCCGAATTTTCCGCTGACATGGCGTCGTCGTCCCCGTTGCATTTGGAGACGCTCGACGCTTGCTCAGTAGCTCGACCAACGGCTGCGCGAAGCAATTGCATTCACAGTTGAAATTGTGGGCAGGACAAGCAAGGATGGGAGGTGTGGCGTCGTGCTGTTCGTGCTGTTTACAGTTTGGGTCTCCCGAGAAATGAAAGGCCCGTCTTATCAGTTGCCGTGGCAACGGTGCGTCATGTGACCTCCACCGACCCGCGGGCGACCGGCTGACGTTACTGGAGCTTCCTCAGACCAATCGCAGCGGGAGGAAATCAAGCCAGCTTGAATCAAACCAAATGCATCGCACGCCAACGGAGAATTCTACTTGGGAAATATCAACCAATCTGTTCCATGTTCACAGCAAAATAACCATCGATATCCAATAACGTCAGTACGTGGCCAGCATTTGATCCTTTGTTCCAAACCCGGTCCCCACCCCCTATCCAACGAGTGTCCACCCCCATCCCGTTTCAACCAAACTTCCTTGCCCGCAGCTACGTCAGAGTTGTTTCCCGGCTTCCGAAGAGCCGAAACTAGGGCAGCCCATCCTGATCCTCTTCCATCGACGGCTCCTCCAACGCCCGCCTTCATACATGCCCCAACCGCCCCAGCATCGTATCATGGCGGACGCCGAGCTTCGGCAGCGCAAGGCCGAACCAGCAGCCCCGGACGACACGCGCCGGCACCCCAAATCGTCCGAGTCGGAGCCGCAACCGAAACGGAGACGACGCCGCTACGACCATGACGACGAGCGCACTCCCTGGGTGGACGTTCTGCGCGTGCTCTCCTTCCTCCTGGTCGCATCCTGCGGCCTAAGCTACATGATCAGCGGGGGGGAAAGCTTCTTCTGGGGCATGAAGAACAAGCCGCCGTACTTGCGCGTCGCGTGGTGGAAGTCCCAGCTTGTAAGATGTTTAACTCCCCCCCTCCCCGCCTCCGTCTATGTGAACAAAACAAACCTGTTCCGAAATGGTCCCCTGTGATGGCGAGACTGAGAAAGGCGCTGCTTGATAGGCCGGACCAATCTACCTCACGGAAAGGGAACTGCTCGCGTACGACGGCAGCGACGCCGCGAAACCGCTGTACCTAGCCATCAACGGCACCATCTACGACGTGTCCAGCAATCGCAGGATGTACGGCCCCGGCGGCTCGTACAGCGTCTTTGCGGGCCGCGACGCCGCGCGCGGCTTCGTCACGGGGTGTTTCGCCGAGGACCGCACGGCCGACCTGAGGGGCCTGGAGGACATGTTCCTGCCGATTGACGACCCGGACGTGGACAAGTACTTCACCACGGCGGAGATGGACAAGATGCGCGAGGAGGAGATGGCCGCGGCCAGGGAGAAGGTGCACGGGGCGCTGCAGCACTGGGTCGACTTCTTCGCCAAGAGCAAAAAGTATCACCGGGTGGGCTATGTGAAGAGGGAGCCAGGGTGGTTGGAGAAGCTGCCGAGGAGGCAGCTGTGTGCGCAGGCGCAGAGTCGGAGGAAGAAGCGGGTGCCGAGGCGTACTTGAAGATCGGCGGACTGAACGGCAGCGTGAATAATGCGGAGGTGGATTTGTCCGTGTGATGGATGCTTTTGTATATGACGAGCGGAGAGAGGCTCCATGTGCCGCTTTTGTTTTCTTCAACCGCTTTCCGGGTTTCTGGCATTCAGAGCAGTGCATGCCGAGAGACAGGGTACGTAACAGTTGCAATTATTCCCGGTCCCTCTCTTGTGGAAAGATGCCGGTCTAGACGGAAGCAAGAGATTCTGGCTGCTTGGCAACAAGGGATATATATATATATATTAGCAAACAAGGTATTAATACTTGGCCGTCGCAAGAGATTCTGGCTGCTTGGCAACAAGGGATATATATATATATATAGCAAACAAGGTATTAATACTTGGCCGTCCCATCGCCCACTATGTGCGTCACCTCGCTAGCAAGCGGGGGAAAAGCAGAAAAATACAACACAATCATCACAACGACGTGAATCCAACTCCGATGGCTAACAACAGCAGGGTGCTCGGCACAGCCAAGCTGTCGCCAGCGCTGAGCGGAGCAGTTTTTGCCGATGGCGCCGATGGCGCCGCTGACGGGGACTTGCTGCTCACCGCGGAGCCGCTCTGATAGTTCTCGAGGGAGCGGCTAGTATTCGCCGCGGTGTTCTCATTGATCACCATGGACATTTTCTTCTGGCAGTGATTGGTCTGGCTGCAATACACCCACATGGGTTGGGTGTTGTTGACCACGATGGTGTAGACGGGAATCCTGCCCGTCCTGACACCAGCTTCGGCAGGCTGGAAGGAGGAGTAGAAGCCGGGTTTGCTGGCATTGACGCTGGCGATGGGAACACAGGGATGGTCAAAGCCCGACTGGGCGACGGAGTGGTTGCCGGCCCAGAACTGGAACTGCACCATGTCGCCGGGCTGGGCGGTGATCTTGCTAGGGAAGAATCGCAGAGCCGTCTCGTTTGTCGAGGGATTCTTCCCCACGGCGACGACGTGGACGTTGACGGCGGCTGGATGGCTGTCAGAGTTGCGTTGTGGAACAGAATTGATTTTTCTGGACTTGGTGCCCTCGTACCTTGAGCAGCAGCCAACAACGTGGTCAGGCTCAGAGTTGTGAAGTGCATTTTGACCAAGGAGATTCACAGACGGCATTGAGCTTCTGCTTTTCTCGAGTTGATTGAAAGTCGTGGATACTCTTTCCAGAGAACAATGTTTTGGAAGTTGTTTCGGTAGCCAAGTGAGTGTTTTGTCGTATGTAAAGGGCTAGCCCTTACGAATTAAGTAGGGCAGGAAAGAAAAAGGATACGCAAGCGTAAGTATTAACAGACTTGATCAGGAAATGAAATAGCGAGCGAAGACGAAGAGGAAGAGAGTCTTCCCAAACTCAAAGTCAGTCATCCGCTGGAACGCGGAAAGAGTGGTTTAACTGAAAAAGAGACATTGACAAGAGCGAGCGTGGAAAAGGCGTGAATTTAAGGCACAGCGAAATGATGACATGCTCCGTCATCGTCCAGACGCCTCGTATATCCGACGGTCACGGAAACATGCATCTCGTCCTGCTCGTCTGAAAGACAAAGTCTCCTGTCTCGGCTAGTGAATGACAGCGTTCCCGAGGGGCTGTTCAGATGAAAGTACAAGGGGCAAACGCAACGTCTCTGAGATGTATTCGGTAGGCTGCGAAGTGTTTGGCTAGTGTAGGGCGCGATGGTGATGGCGTCTCATCTGTCTCGTCGGTTTCGTCAGACCAAGGCCAGGAGTCTCGACATGGACGCCAGATAAACCGGCAGCTCGGCTGTTTCCTAGGCTGTGTTGAACCATGGGTTTGATTTGCAATTGACCTGGCGCTATATTCGACGAGTGCTAAGACTCGGAGCCACGCACGCAAGCGAGCCGGGTTCATGGTCCAACACAACACCGTCAACGAGTCAGCACTTGCTAATGAGTCAAGTAGCGTCGCTGTAGCGGGTGCCGACGCCCTGCCTGCCACGGAAATCACACGGCCGAAATGGCTCCATCGGTCCTCAGTGCTCACACCAGATGCGCCGCACGTCGAAGAGGCTCCGACACGCGTGAGACGGCCCCGGTTTCATTCCCGAGCAAGCCGCCGCAGGTCGCTGCACCCAGGAGAGAATCCGGCAGACAGGCGGGTAAGCATTTGCAATGGAAATCACTGATCGAAAACTGGGCGCGCATTCCAAGTAGAAATAGGAAAGCCATGTCCGCATGTGCAGTGTTTGGAGCCTAGGAGATGTCGTGGCCTCGTAACCCTAACCCTGCAGCCGCCGTAATAACACGAGGCCTCAAATGCTCAAACCTCCGATGTCAGAGTCCAACAGTAGGTGGATTTCTGCAACCTCCACGCCCTCGGCATCCTTCCCGCCAACAACGGCTGAGACACGTCTGAAGTCATCAGCCTCCATCCAGAGATTGGATAAATTTGGACCAAACGTATCAAACATTTTTTTGGCTCCTCTCAGAGGCCAGCAGACTCGGGACCACATAGTAAATGGCGACAGGCATCAAAAGGAAACGGCGCAACAAGCTCCATGTTTCACTGAACTGATGTTGCTTGCGACACCCATGGACATTACGCATCCTTCGTTTGCACTCGTTTTCCGCGGCATCTGCCTTTTGCGCAGCTTTGCTCCCATAGAAATCGACCCCAAAAATCGCCGTCGGTGCATCGTGATTCCAGGGCGTCGCCGAAGCATCACCATGCCGACAAGGCGCATCGTGCTGCCGGTCAATAACCGCTGACCGGGCGCCCAGAAAATGACTGGTATCCACGCCGCGCGAGTGCTGCATTGACCAGAACAGAAACAGATGACCGCAAGGACGCCGGCCTTTCACAGATCCAGCAGCAGCTGCGGTGCAATCTTCTCCAAATCCTCCACCTGCAAGCAAAGCCGTCAGTCGCGACCTCGGACGCGTGAGACCAACAAGCCAAACCTTACCTCCAAGAAGCCTGCATTCTTCTCCACAGCTGCTCTTGCAATAGCTTCTCTCACGAAAATATCCATGTACTTGCCCACCGCCGCATTCGCATCGCGGGATATTCTTGTAGAATCCTTGGCGAAGAACTCATGCAAGATGCGGGTCAGCAGGTCCTTGGGAATTGACTTCTCCGGCGGCGATGCGTCGTCGGCGTCTCCTCGTGCTTCCTGGGCTTCGGCCTGGTCATCTGAAGACTCGAAGGGGTCGCTGGCTTCTGAGGATGCCGACTCGGTCGACTGACTCCGGTCCGTGGTACCCTTGGGCCGTCCCCGGCCACGGATTGATGATCCTCTTGGAGGCATGATACAGCCCCAATGGCGGACCCGGCTATGGACTAGGAACAAGCCCTAGATATTGAAGCAGGATTGAAGCCAGTTTTTGCGCAGAGTGACGACAGGATCATGTAGGAAGCACGACGCGTCACGAGGTTGGACGAGATACCACTAGCCTTAGTCATCAACCTCGTAAACCAGGCCGACCGCAATCATCCGGCGGCTCCGAAATCAAAAGCGATGGGTTGTACCGTCAATAGAGCAGACGGCATTCGCATTTATAAAGGGTTGAATACCCTGAGAAATCGCCACAGAAATGAAATGTACGTCCTGATAACGTCAAGGGAAATTGCATTGATGTATAAATTACAGCGACCTAGAAACAGCTCGGCAGAGCCGAAGGACAAATACGCCGTGCCGATGCTAGTCTAACCCGCAAAGAGCATCTGTTGCACAGAAACACAAGGAACCTTTTCTTTGTCCCAACTTCCCTCTCTGCCAGAATACCCGTCTCCATTTTTATCCGTCGGCAGTCATCGCATCAGGCCCACGATTGCGCACCAGGCATAAATCTCTCCGGCGCAAACTAGTCTATACAGGGATTAAGGAAAAGGTGTTTAACCAGAGCCGCCCTTGAAGGCCTTTCCGAAGAGGATGAGCTGAAGCTGGTCATAGATGGAGAGCACACCTGCACCGGCGACACCACGGAGAATGTTGGCACCAGCGCCGTTGAACAGGGACTTGACACCGTTCTTGGCAATGATCTGGCGGGCAGCATCCAAGGAGTTCTTGTACTTGACGGCCTCACCAGAGGTCATCATCATGCGACGGCGGATGGTGTCAAGAGGGTAGGCAGCAATACCGGCACCAGTGGTGACGCACCAACCGAGCATAAAGGAGGCAAGGAAGTTGTTGGCGAGGTTACCGACCAGGAGGACAGGCTTGATGGAGTCGTACATGCCGAAGTACAGACCGCGGTAGACGATGATACCGGCGACGGAGGGCATGAAACCACGGTAGAGACCGGCAATACCGTCAGACGCAAGGGTCTTGCGGTAAACATCAACAAGACCATTGAACTGACGCTCACCACCGGACTTGGCGGACTTGGCATCGTTGGCAAGACGAGTACGGGCGTAATCCAGAGAGTAGACGAAGAGCATAGAAGTAGCACCAGCAGCCTGCATGTGTCGTCAGCAGCTTGATCTAGACATGAGCAAGAATCAGCATCCAACATACACCACCAGAAGCCAAGTTACCAGCCATCCACATGGCGTAACCGTCGCGCTCCTTCTTGAAGCCGAACATCTTCTTGAACTTGTCGCGGAAGGCGAAGTTGAGGGCCTGAGTAGGGAAGTATCGGATAACGTTGGCAGTGTTACCGCGCCACAAGGACATGACACCCTCATCGGCCATGGTACGCTTGAAGCAGTCCGTGATGCCATTGTAGCGGCGGTCAAGACGACCAGCCTTGATCATTTCATCCTGGTTCTGGATCAGGAGCTTGACACGCTCAATGGGGGCAGCGGCGGTCTTCGAGACGGCGGCAGAGACACCACCCACTGTGAGGACAGTCAGCAGACAGTAGGCTTTTTCTTCTTCGTCTTTCAAAGGGGGAATCGGCGCCTGGCGGCACGAAGGTGATTGCATCACCAATTGTCTCGCGCCCGCAAATGCTACATAGAGGAGACGTACTCAAGAAGTCGGCCACGAAGGGCTGTGAACACACATAATAAGTTAGCATACGCAAAGTTCATGATGAAAACTTCCTCCCGGGATGGCCGTCTGACGGAAAAGAGGACAGCGCAGACAACGACAACGAGGTGAATGCGACGCGGCGACCATAATAGCGACATTTCAAGGCCGCGACACGGTCATCCAATTGATGGTAGGCATGCCAATTGAGTATCACAACATCCTCTTGTATTTCTGGCCCGGCTACCCCTTATCGCAAGCGCGGCATCTCACGGACCAGAGCGCGGCAAAGGGGCAGGGTTGGCTTACCGGCATGCCCAAGACCTTCTGAGGCTGTTCACCAGACATTTCGACGGTTGTACTTTATCTGAAGACGAGACAAAGGACTGAGGGGAGATGGATGAAGGAGGAGAGAAGGAGAGTGAAGAACGTGTACGGGCAGTCGAGCGAAATAAATTCTGCACCGGCTGGCGGACGGGTTTGGGGGGGGAGAGGGAAAAAAATTGCGGCGGAGCCAGCACGGGGACTGGTTTTGAGCCAATCTACCCGGGCGGCGCTAGGCCAGCAGTTGGGTCCTCAGGTACCCAAGGACGTACCGGAGACCATACGGCGTGCGTAGTACTCCGTACCTCGTTGCCTCTCCCTCGTTTTCCACGGCAACAGCGACCTGGTGGTTCTTGGCAGCCTCAGGCCCGAAGGGGTAAGCAAGAGCACCGAGGTACGGAGTACGGGGAACTGGACTACCAACGCTGTACGGAGTAGCCGCGAGGTATTTGTGGGGATGGCCGTGGCCCAAACGTGGGCGTGTCTGCGCCGGAGAGTACTTGCCAGGCACACCGGCATGCGGGCTGGTTGCACTGCTCGCGCCTGAGATCCGGTTCAGCCCGAGATTTTTTCTCACCTGTTGCAGCCGGTGCCAGCGGCGCGACAATGGCGAGCGTGGACAACTGACAGCGGCCATGTTGTTTTAGGGAACGTGAAAGTTGGGGTTTTTTTTTTCTTTCGTTGTTCTTGCTCATCCCTATGCTCCTGCGGAATACTCCGTTCTCCAGACTCCCAAGGCACGGAGTCCTCTGGAGGACTGTCACCCTGAGCCAAAAGCCACAACTTGCCCTCGGGAGGTGAGGGCGAGCTAAACAAACTTGACTTTTTTCCCCCTGATCCTGATGGCAAGATGCTTCCTACGGAGTACCTAAGTACTTGAGTAGGTACTCCTCCATGTTCCCCGGGGCCAATGACTGACTTTGGAAGGCAAGGAGACTCCGTGCGGCGAGGGTGCAAGCACATGCCTGGGCTCTGTGCTTTGTGCATGCATGGCACTTGTGTAGCACTCAAGCCGCGCCACATGGAGCCTCCGCGGCTCAATCTCAACCCACTCTGCGCCAATCGATTCAAGAATCAAGATGCGGAATATTCTATACAGCCTACAGGCCCCCCCCCCTACTTACTACTTACCTACTTACTCAGAGGTATGTAGGCACTTGTTACGATATCTAGGTAGTCCTTCGCACTTGTCCGCAGATTGGCTATTGGCAGTAGCCGTGCCACCACTCATTCCTCCGACAGGCTCTGGAAGAACGTCACATTGGGAGACAAAACAGCTTGTCGGTCGATACAACGCTCCAGGTAACGCCTACAAGCCGTAATTTTCATAACCCAAGCGTTCGTGGAGACAAGTCTGCTCGAGAGAGGCTTGATCTCTTGTTGGAGAATCTTGCCAGCGAGAAAACAACAGGCCTCAGATTTAAGTGCGCAACCGCCTTATCCCTCTGATTCCCTCATCACCCTTGAACTAGGCTCATTCGTTTTGCACCACATACACATACACCCAAGGACAATTCTACAACCTAGAACCCCTTCTTCAGCCACAGCCGTGATTGCCCCAGAACACTCTTACTGTGGATGAGAAGTGTTTCCGGCGTCCGCCGCTTGTTCCCGACATTGTAAGCAATAACTATGCGAGATGAGCAGTATTGTACAATGGGAGACTTGCTCCCTGTCTCCGACCTATCCACTCCCTGCCTAGGGATAAAAACCGATATGGGCATGCAAATTCAAAGCCTAGGTTGATGAAGCTTCCTCGACGTCATCTATGATCAAAGTCAACAGAGCATGACATGTGGGTGGATGACCAATGTAGCAGTTCATTAGGGTCAATCGGCCGCCTGCCTGGCGAACAACCCAACAGTGAGTGCCTGGCGCGCAAATGACAAACAGCTTACAGAGCAGAGGACAGAAGGCATCACCACAAGTCTCCCCCATGCCGAACTGTACAATCACATGAGACGCCATATACACAGCGGGAAAGGCGCAATTTGATATTGTCTCAACGTTTTCTCAACGTCTTTCATTCCGTTGTCATATGCTATGGCACAATTCCGGTCCCCAGGTATGGTATAATACCGAGCATGAATTTGTCCCAACCAGGCTTTTCCATCTGTCGTGAGAAAAAAAAACCGCCTACTTTGATGGCTTGCTGCGATGGTTGCAGGCCACTCAGATAACCGTTACTCCAGACACACACAACGCTTCTACCTCGACCGATTTAGGAACCACCGACGGCACGGGCTAAATGAAAGTCAGCTTTTTTTCCCCACGTCTCACTAGTCTCTGGCGTTTCGAGCAGCGTATCAAGGGCGGTGCATACTGTAGATCTTCATCTTGCTATGCGTGACAACGGGCTTGATAAGGCCCTTCTCCTCAAGTTCAGCAATGCACTTGCGAGCCAAAGAACCGTTGACCTTCATTCTGTCGACAAGCGTGGCGACGGTGACCAGACGGTAGGACTGGACATCCTTGTAGAGCTTCTCGGACGTGGTCTTGTCGAGCAGGACGGCGTGCTGCGCCTTGTCCTTGACCTTGCCCTTCGACCACTTCTTCTTTTGCTTCTTAGCTCCAGCAGCAGGCGCCTATAAGCTCGCGAGCAAAATCCTGCATCAGCATTCCGACGATATCTTTGGAAAATCCAATCGCCCGACGTTGAGGCGCATGGCGAAGATACTGTACTGCTTGGGGGCCAGGGGTAGGGGGATTTCGTTTGGCGTACCATTTTGATCAGTTGTGCTTGACGTTGACTTGAGTGTGGAGGAGTAGGGGGATGGTTTTTTTACCACCGTGAAGCCATGGTCATTCCCACTGGGAGCAGCGGGCGAAGCGGGCCCCCACCCCGTTACGCAGTCAGATTGGAGTTTCGCCCAGGGCAGACTTGCCCTAACACAACAAGTGCGTAGAGTTGCGTACCGAATATTCTGGGCAATCTGATTCGTCAGGCCCACCCACCACCGAAATTTCCTAGTCCTAGTCTCTCACAGGCGAAAGATACGCAGTCCATCCCTCTGAACCTCCTGACGAAAAAAAAATAAACCCAACCGTCTCGCCAACCTGTCATACTAACCCGCAGTCCGCCCGCCAGATCGAGGATATATTTTCGACTGCAACACAGCCAAAATGTCCGACGGTGGCGATATCGAGGTCGAGAACACTGTCGTCTCCGGCGTCCTTCCCAAGGATGTCGTCAAGGAGGTCGGCAACATCAAGTTGTTTAACAAGTGGGACTACGATGTCGAGGTTCGCGACATCTCTCTGACGTATGTTACGATACTATGCCGGTTTGCTTTGTTTGGTCTCTCCCAGGAAGTCGGCCGAACGTTTTGCTGGGCCCAGTGCAGAAATCGAATGCTGATGGATTCTGTTTGCGAGTAGTGACTACATCTCCTTGCGAAACCCCGTCTATGTCACCCACTCTGCTGGCCGATATGCCGTCAAGCGATTCCGCAAGGCCAACTGCCCCATCATTGAGCGATTGACCAACTCGCTCATGATGCACGGCCGCAACAACGGCAAAAAGCTGATGGCCGTTCGTATTGTCGCCCACGCTTTCGAAATTGTACGTCCGTCTACTAACCCCGCGACTACTACCCCTGCAAATGAACGGTCAAGCCATACCATGCTGTTAGGCATGATTGGTTTTTTTTTTGTTTTCCTTCCATCCAATGCGTGCGCACAGCAGTTGGAAATATGAGTATCACAGTTTAACATGACGGTTTTTAGATCCACCTCATGACCGACCAGAACCCCATCCAGGTCGCCGTCGACGCCATCGTCAACTGCGGTCCCCGTGAAGACTCAACCCGAATTGGCTCCGCTGGTACCGTCCGACGACAAGCTGTCGATGTTTCTCCTCTCCGCCGTGTCAACCAGGCCATTGCCCTGCTCACCACCGGTGCCCGCGAGGCCGCTTTCCGCAACGTCAAGTCGATTGCCGAGTGCCTCGCCGAAGAGCTCATCAACGCCGCCAAGGGCAGCAGCAACTCCTATGCTATCAAGAAGAAGGACGAGTTGGAGCGAGTAGCCAAGAGCAACCGATAAAGTACCCTTTTGTTTGCTCCGGAGAAGAAGGGAAAAGGGATTTATTTGGTATTGTCTGGAAAGAAGGGAAAGGTGGTGGAGGGAATACGGGGAGATTTTTTGCTGGCTGGGTCTGTATGGCGTGGTTCTGGCATCCTTGAAGAATTGCATTAGTGCGTTTCGGGTCTGGGAACGCGCAACGGCTATGGATTTTTCACCAATGGCTCTAGAGTCTTGAAGTAAAAAAAAAGTGACTCGGAGAAAAGAGTGTAAATGATTTTTTATCGCTCCTCCATCACACCACTTGCGTGAAGATAGACGCCACATCTTGTCATGATGAAAATGCTCAATTCTTCAACCACTCCCCACTGGTTGCAGGTAATTGCACACAGGAGCCGACATTCAGCAGCGCTGACCATGACATAATAGTGCAGGGACTATTGTCTATTGTCTATTGGAACGTCTAGGAAAGGAAAAACAGGAAGAAGAGGAAAAAGATGAATTTTATGCAACACGACAATCAGACATCGTGACTCGTTAGTAGCACTCATCCCGGTCCCCCTAAACATGGACCTGTCTGGGACCAATGTGCAACCTTTTAAACATGCCAACGTGAGGGATCCCTTCTTCCCACCACTCGCCCATGCCCTTGTCGACCTGGAAACCCAACTTTGCCCAGGCTCCCACAACGTGCTCCTGGGCATGGACACATACAAGACCACCCCACTTGGGTATCTCTGTCTCGGTCGATGCACCCATCTGCTCGAGGCCCAACTCGGTGATGCTCGGGTCGAAGAAGGTCGGGTTGGCTGCTAGCCACGACAGGGCCGTTTGAATGAGGAGCCCGGAGAGGCCATTTCCCCGGTACTCCTTGACAACAGCCAGCCGGCTCAGCTTCACGTACGGCTCCCTCCCGTCGTGGAAGGATGTCGCGCGGTCTGGTGTGGAATTCGCGGACAGGGGGCCGCTGGTATCAGACGGGCAGCGTTGCCTCTCCGTCTCGTTCTGCAGCAGCTGGCCGTTGCGGTATTCACCTCCAATCTTGGGGTGGTGTGCGTGGGGGAAGGGGACGAGGCGAATGGTTCCGATGGGTGTTGTTCGGGTCGAGCTTTTGCGTGGCTGGATGACATTTCCGTCTTCGTCGCGCACCTCTGTTTCCTCCGTCTTGTTGACGCTGGCGTACACTACCCAGTGGCAGGATCGAGCGTCGTCACTGTCCTGCTCATTCTCCAGAGGCACGTTTTGCTCTTGCACGAAGACCATCTCTCGCACTTCCATGGCGTCTATGAAGATCTTGGGTATGGCTGCTGGCTGCTCGCTGTGTGGTTTTCCCAGCTCCAGGCCCTCGAGCTTGCTAGGCTCTAGCATCGAGATGAAGGGTGTGCCCATCTTGTTGCGCAGAGTGAACAGAATGACACGCCGACGTGTAGTGTAGTGCTTGTGAGAGAATGGGGGGGGAGGGTTTTGGAAGGGGAAATGTTGGGGGCAAGTGAGTGAAGAAAGTGGAAGAAGAAGAAGAAGACGAAGAACAAAGTCGGAATATTCGGATGCCGTTGTAAAAGAGGGCGGGCTTTTCCGCGGAACGTTTCCCCGCCTAAATGATGATCGCTGACGTTGATCGGTGAGGACACCCGACCTACCAGAGTTGAGGACATGTCCGGTCTGCACTTATATATATATACATATACACGTACATATATAATGGCTCTGGAGCTGACGAGATATAGGGCATCAGATGCAGCGCTGTTCTCGGGGTCGTGGGGTCACGGGGGTTTGGTGGAAACGGATTATGGGATGGTATTGGCAAGTGATAATGCTGTGCATTGTGCGCTCGTCGACAATATTACGGCGTGCTTTGTTTCGACAGGAGCACGACGAGGAGGCCGTGGTATTGACGGCTTATTGTCCATGGTGTTGATGTGTCGATGCCTGCCTGTATGAGTACTAAAACTCACCGCCTCCCGTGAAGATGTGGGCACTGTTGTTTCAATGTCGGTCGTCCATGGGGGAGGAGTATGGAGTATCAGACTCGGTGTTGACGACTACAGGACAGACAGGTGGAGCGAAGGTGCATTGGTGAATGGCATTGCATCTTGTCACACTAAAAAATGGACCTGGCCCACGCCACACTTTTGCGTGTGTTGGACCACCTTATATGCTATGCGACACATCTCCGCCATGATGCCATATTGACCAGGGTCCAGGGGTTGATGACGGTCACGACTCCCGACGTATTGTTATATTGTTATACGGTGCGAAGTGAGGGCTGCAGGTTGCTCTGCGAGAGGGAATTTCCTTTTTTTGTTGACGATGAATAGGCTTTGCACGTGTGAGAATCTTTGGGGCTATGAATAAATACCACTGTGTACTCCGTACCTTGGTAGGACATGCATGATACTGAGTAAGTACCTACCTAGGTACCCACTTTGAGGTAGGCTAGTGGCTCCGTGTCGTTTGCACGTGGCCGGGTAACCTTCTACTCCGCCATGGACAGACAGACATGTGTACAAAACGCTGTGCATGAAGTCCCAGTAACTCGATAGAGACAAGAACGCAATGACGCTATACCTAGATATGCAGGTCGTTTGACGGGTAGCGCTCTAGACACTCAGCACTCTGGACAACTTTGAGCAGGCCCAGGCCAGCATTATATACGCCAAACGGGCAGATTCCGAAGTTCGATAATTATAGTGTAGGGTAGGCATACTGAAATACTATACCCGACTAGCGCACCTCGGATCTACACAGGTGCCAAGCGCTCGTCGGCTCCACAGGTCACATGTGCAGGCACGAGAAGAATTGAACGAGACATTTGAGCGAGAGCCACATGGCTGAAGAGTGTGTGAACTTTTTTTTTTGTCTCGTCCATAAATCGGCATGTAGTACGAGTGCCAGGCCCAGACACGCCATTCTGTGAAACTGGTGCACTCCTGTGCGACCAGACACAACGTGGTAACATACACTGTCTCGTGTTGGCAGCGCGACCCAGCGGCGGGCCGTGCTGAGGCGACGGGGAGAGAAGGCAAATGGCAATCCGCAAAGTACGTAACTGATAGTACAGGTCCCAATGTCCTCCAAGAAAAGCACCCAGACTTCAATGTTGATGGACATCCGATGTACTCGACCCAACCTTTGAAGGATATGCCAAGGATCGACAAACCTGGAATCTGGGGCCGTCACAGGCCAGGCACCCGGCAAGCTCGTGAGCTGGCGTGCTGAGGGCTGCCGCGGGCGACGGCGATCCCCAAACAATTGCCCGTCAAGTCCTCGTTGATCACGCAAACGCGACATGGGGGAGGTGCGTATGTACATTTGGAGTTCCTACTTAGGTACCTAGAGTAGGTAGGTAGTTAGTTGTACTTTTTTGTTTATTTTCTCCAGCCAGCTTGGGCTTTGCATCGTAGCCTCGCATGTCACCAACCGTCCGTCTGTAACCTTTTTTCTTCTCTCTCTCTCATTGACTTCTCGTCCCACCCCCCTTTTCTTGTTGCCGACGTTTGTAATACGATACGTGCCCAGACACCAAGTGCTCCGCTGTACGGAGTACCAAGCCAACTTACCTGGGTCGCTCTGGCAGAATCGGCAGTGAAGTTGCCGGGTTTGGACTTGGCACCAGCGACAATCGATAAAGGACCCCTGCTAGTCAGCACATCCGTCAATCCAACGCTTCTCTTCAGGGGTTTGCCCGCCTTTGACTGCCCAATTGAATGCATTGGCCAAGGTTCCCCCGGCCGTCGGTGAGTGTTAATCTCATGTCCGTCTGGTCTTGCTTGTTCTTTCGGCCTCCCCAACCGGTCTCTTTCTTCCTCGTCTCCTTCTCCTTCGGCCTTCGATTGAAAGGAAAGCAACGGGCGAATGACAAGTGTAGTGTGGACAGCTCACCGATCGCGGACCGTTGATGCTGTCACCCTGCCCCTGAGCAGCGCGTGAGTGCCTTCAATGTTGGCTGCAACCCGGACATTCGAAGCTTGTTGGACACCGCATTCGCAACCTCGATTTTGGATTGCCCGCTCCGTTGCCCCCAGGCTCGAACACCCAGCTGCTATTCCCGACTACGACATCATCCATCGCCACGGTGCCTCGGCGCAGGTGAGCGCCATTGCTCCGGTTCAATGCCCTGGCAGCCTCTCCCCCGCATCGCATTTGCTGTCGCGACGTTTCCCTTTGCTGCCGAGAGCCCGGCCGACCTGCCCCTTGAAATTGGCGATGAGCTCTACATTATCGAGGAGACACCAGACGGCAACTGGCTGCGGGGGTACTTGGTCGCGCCGCCCAGCTTGCTTGCCGGCCTGACTTCAGTCAAGGGACAGACTCTGGAAGCCAGGGTCTTTAGTGGCATCTTCCCCCGCAGCTGTGTTGAAGTTCGAGAGATGCTCGGCGAAGCTGACGACCGAGACGGCCAAGACCAAGACCAAGACCGGTACGAGGAACTACCAGACGAAAACGCAGATGCAGCGTCTCCGCGACCTGCTAGTGATTCCGCCAAGAGTGGCATTACTGGCGGCGAGCTCAGAAAATCCATCACTCCAGTCAATTCTGCTGGCTCGGCCAAGGAAAGGAAGCCATTGTCGGAGCTACGCAATGGCGCCTTGAGCAGTCTATCAATACCTGTGAAGCGAGACCCAGCCGTGCCGAAACCCGCCGCCCCGGTCCCCTTGCTTAAAATCGGTGACGAGACCCCTACATCTGCCGAGGAGCCTTTGATTGACGAGATCGCATCTTGTCTGAGAGAATGGCATTCCAAGAACCTGCACCAGCTTCTACTCTCTCGCCAATATCAGGACCTGGACACGCTCTCCAAGCTTGTCACTAGCCTCAACCTCAGCAGACAGCAGTTCCTGTACGGCGTTCTCACATCTCACGAGTACGGCCGTCTACGAGAAAAGACAGTGTGGGACTTGGTCAGAGTAAACAAGCTCTGTGGAGGCGAGGTCATTGTTCGCGACCCAGTTGAGCGTGGCCGTATTCTGACTGGAGACGATTCCGTTGTTGAAATGACCCGGCTCCAGTCTGTCATGACTCTTCTGGATGAGCCGCCGCAGCCAACCGTCGAAATGACCAGCGTACATCACCTGCTCCTCGACGTCAAGGGCTTCGCGGGGTCATCTTCCGAAGCCACAACCTTGGTCGCTTACCTTGTTGCGAAGCCACAGTTGGAAAGATTGTCCATCCTTTCGGAATCATTCACCGTTGACGTACCGGCCGGCGGCACGATCGGAGCTATCGCCCAAGATTCTTCGTCGCGTACTCTCTTCATCGATCTCTCGGCCCAAGACATAGGCGACTCGACGTCGACTGAGTCTGATTTGTACTTGGTAGTCAAAGTCCTCGCCTCGCAGCAGGTTCTGCCAAACAAGCCAATCTCACGGTCCGGAACGGCCACAGAAGTGTCCTTCCCAAGAGATGGCTCCAAATCCTCAGCTTCCAGTGTGTCCAGATCCACCAGGCGAAGTTTGATGTGGGGGAGCAAGCCTGGGCGTCCTACTTTCTCGAGGGGCTCAGTCCTCCCCAAAACGGACGCGTCTGAGCAGCAGGGCCAACGACCCGTCACGACGTCGGATGGCCATGGGCCTCCTGGTACGACGAGCTCATCAAAGAATGGCGTAAGCATTCCTGCAGCCGCCCAAACGGTACAACGCACTGTTGGAGTTGGCGTCTTGAAGGTGAATTCAATAATGAAGCAAGACGAGGAGGTTGAACAAGTCGTTAATATCTGGTCACCGGCACATGGGCGCGCATCTGCAGAAAAGGATATGGATGAAGACTTCGATCCACTCATTCTGGAGGTCATGGACAGTGCTGCAGGAAGATACGAGAGGTCGCGCCGGGGCGAAAGGCTGCAAGTCTCACTGCGCGCATTTGATCATCCCGACGCAGATGTCCTGATTAAAGCCACGCCGACACTGCTATCTGGTATTTGCAAAACGAATAGGATGGGGTTTTCCGGGGCCCCAACAAAGCCAAGATCTGATATCTATCTCTCAATAAGCACAGCTTCTTTGGCACGCCAGCATCTTCTATCTCGATATGGAGGAAGCGCAACCGCCATGCCCTCAGGCATTCAAGGCAATAACTATCAGGTTACCATAGAGGTTCGCGCACCTTCCGGCCAGCGTTTTGAAAACGCCATCTATGCTGGCTCCAACAAGGATCCGGTGACAACGTTCAAGACTGTGGCTGCAGAACGAGGAGAAGCTTGGAATCAAACACTCAGACTTTCATTGTCGCCCGCTGACGTATTCACAGCGCACGTTGTCATGTTCTTGTGCGACGTGCCCGGCCCCCCTTTTGCCATCGCCTATATGCCTTTGTGGGATAGACAGGCTTTCATCCGGGACGGCCGCCATGGATTGCTTCTCTATAAGATAGACGAAAACACTTCAACACCTCAGGCAGGCCCAACCGGTAAGGGGGGGTATTTGTCCGTACCTTGGGCTCCTCGAGGGAGGGACGAGCACTCGGAAAATGTAACTGGTCCGTTGGCCGTGTTGAATGTGAATACATTCCTGTGCAGCACACGGTTCTCCCAGGACAGAATCATTCTCGGCCTACTTAAATGGAAAGACTTGCCGGAAGAAGAAGTTTCCGCAGTCTTGAGACAATTGATGTTTGTGCCTGAAATTGAGGTTGTCAAACTTCTCAGCGACGTGCTCGACGGACTGTTCGGCATTCTGGTCCAACACTCTGGGAACAACGAGTTTGAAGACTTGGTCTTCACCGCATTGGTCAGGGTCTTGGGCATTGTGCATGATCGTCGGTTCAATCTAGGCCCTTTGGTTGACCAATACGCAGAAGCCCAGTTCAACTACCCCTTTGCTACTTCGGGCCTCGTCAGATCATTTGCCCGCCTGCTCGATAAGCCCGCGGAGCCAGAAACCTCTCGAAATCTCCGTTCTACATTCAAGGTGGTTAGGCACATTTTGAAGTTCATTACTCATGCTCGAAAACAGCAAAAGGTCAAGGAAGCGGGCATCGGAATCACATCCTCAACACAAGGATTCACCCGCCAACTTCGCTCCATTTTCAAGGCTCTCGACCGCATGATGCGAAACCCTGCCCCCGTTCTAGTTGGCAGTCAGACGTTGGCAGTGCAACACTTTCATACGTGGTTGCCGGAGCTCACGGGGTTGCTTGATACCGAGGAGGTCACTCACATTGCCATTGACTTTATGGATTCTTGTGCTCAAGTCAAGGGCAAATTGATTTTGTACAAATTGGTCCTCATCATCAACTACTCCAAGCTGGAGCTCTTTGCCAGCCCTGATCAAAAGTCTGCACTGTGTGCAAACACGGTCCGCTGGATATCGCCGTATTGGGGCCATGTCGAACAAGTCTCGGAACAGTGGCGGGAGCAGGTGCGTCTCTGCTGCTCCGTGATTGCTAGTCAGGCTGACTGCCTGGCCCCGGAAATACCTGATCATATACCGAGGATCATCGATTCGTACCTGTCGCTGTTGTCGCTGCCCCCGAAACCCCGAAGGCGACTCTCTCTTCTCTTCCCGTCGGCCTACCCTTTCCCCTCGAGGCCTGTCTGTGCCAACATCACATTCGACGAGAGTCTGGCAGAAGTCTCTGCCATTCTTTCAGCTGTATCCAGCTCCCCGGCCGGGATGCAGCTCGAGTTGGCGGCGGACGCTGATCTCGCCACGGTCCTGGAAAACTTGCTGCGCGTTCACATGAGCATACTCTCGGGCGAAGCTTTCCCTGCCGGCTGGCTCAGTCTGCACATCTTCCATCACAAGTCAACCATGCGCACTCTACAATACGTGGCTGCTCTCATGCTGGAATCGTTCTTGCCAGACCCCGACGAGGCCGAGTCTTTCAATATGGAGCTGTGGAAGCTCTTCTTTACAACCCTCCTCAAGTTGGTGGGTAGCACGTCTCTGGCATTGGAAACTTTCCCGGAGCAGAAGAGGAGGGCTGTTTGGAAAATTGCCGGTGACGTGAGAGAGCATGGCGCTGAGCTTCTGCGGACAACATGGGAAGCCATTGGCTGGGAAACGACCATTGAGGAGCGAAACCGCTACGGCCTCGCCAAGATTGGAGGTTACCAAGTACAATACGTTCCCACGCTGGTCGGACCGATTGTCGGATTGTGCCTGAGCGTCCACGAGGGCTTGCGACGGATGGCGGTCGAAGTTTTGCAGACAATGATTGTCAGCGAATGGACGCTGAGTGAAGACTTGACCGTCATCCAGACGGAAATGATTGACAGCCTGGATCAGTTCTTCAAGTCCAAACCCCTCACAGAGAGCTTACTGCAGAAGCTCTTCATTGCCGAGCTGCTGGAAAGGTTTAGCCCGCTTTCCGAAATTCCGGATGAGCCATTGTACGTTGCAGTTCGAGAACTCGTCTGCACGTTGGACGAGTTCCTCGATTTGCTGGTCGCCGTTCATGGGTGCGACGACAACGGGGAGGCAACAAACATCATCAATCGTTTGAGACTGATGGAGTTTCTTCGAGATATGCAAAAGGAGGAAATTTTTGTTCGCTACGTGCACCAGCTTGCGGCCCTGCAGGCGGAGAGTCGGAACCACGCCGAAGCCGGTCTTGCGTTGCGCCTTCATGCGGATCTTTACGAATGGGATCCGACTAGGCAAGTGAAAGCTCTGGCAGATCCACGTTTCCCGGCACAGACACAGTTTGAGCGCAAGGAGAAGATCTATTTCGACATGATTAAGCATTTCGAGGAGGGCGAGTCGTGGAGCAACGCTCTGACTGCCTACAAGGAGCTGCAAGCACAATACGAGAGCAACGTCTTCGATTTCGCCAAGCTAGCCAGGACAGAGCGCGCAATAGCCACCATCTACGAGACCATCTCCAAGAGCGAAAAGCTGATTCCAAGATATTTCAAAGTTGTGTACAAAGGGTTGGGTTTCCCGTCCGGGATTCGGGATAAGGAATTCATTTACGAAGGTGCCCCAACGGAGCGCGCGGCAGCCTTTACCGATCGAATGCAAGAGCAATATCCCTCCGCTCAAATTGTGACCTCGGGGCACATTGAGGAAGTCGAAGGACAATTCTTGATCGTATCTACAGTCAGCCCGCATCGGGACCTGTCTCACCAAGTGTTTCAAAGAGCGCGTGTGCCGCAAGTCATTCGCGACTTCCTGGTGTCTTCTCACCCCCAGAGTTTCTCCCTTACGACCAAACGTAGCACGTCTGGTGTCGTCGAGAACCACTATGCAGAGAAGACCGTCTTTGTCACCGCCGAGCCTTTCCCGACCATTCTGCGACGGAGCGAGATCATTGAGACTCACGAGGTTAGGCTCGATGCACATGAAACAGCCTTGGAGCGCATTGTGCGAAAAACCCAGGAGATGACGGGGCTTGAGCGCCGACTACTAGATGGAGAGGAGGAAGTCGGACAGCTTCTGCTTGATGCCATTTCCGTCTCTGTGAACCCGTCATCTGGACAAAGCGTCATGTGTTATCGTGGGCTCTTGCCCGAGCCAGAGGCGGATGAGGGCGGGGGCGAGGACGAGGACGAGGACGGGGATGCGGAGCCACATGCGGAGCCACGGAATACAGCAATCAAGATGGCGCTTGTGGACCATGCCATGATGATCAAGAGAGTCTTGGGCCTGTTTGCAAGAAGCAACAATCCAGTGCTTGTGCAGAAACAGGGAGAGCTTCAACGATGTAAGTCGACCCGGGGTTGCCGAGTATGTTGTCACCATCTAACACGCGGCCAGTTTTCGAAGCAGCGTATGAGCCAGAGATTGCATTGTTTGCGCCTCCTCCTCCAATGCCCTGCGAAACAGTTTCGACTCCGTCGACGACATTCCGCGGCACCTTCTCACCTGGAGATGAGAGCCCCTCACAATGGGCAAATATTGCCACATCCTTGAACGGCACCAAAGCCGAGGAAGCGCCCGTTGTGCGCCAGCTATCACTACGACAGCGCAGTGCCAGACTCAGCTTCTTGCCTGGGCGGAGGCAGCATCACCAACCACAACCACATCAAGAGAATGATGAAGCTTCTGAAGCGGCAATCGCTCCCGGAAGCGCCGAGTCGCAGATGTCGCCAAGTAGAGACCGCAGCTTTAGCAAGGGCAGTCGACGACAAAGCACTTTCAAGCCCCAGTCTGGGAATGAGGGCTCGCAGGATGATACGAGCGGAGGTGGAAGACGGGGCAGCTCAGCTAGCAAGGGCAGCCAGGACAGAAAGAGTGGCATCGACGAACATGTCACGGAAGCGGAATTCTCCGCAGTCAAGAAATCAGGAAGCGTGAGGAGGAGATTTAGCCTCTTCAAGAAGGGAATCAAGGGCAACAAGATGGGAGAGGTAATGGGGAGCGTTGACGAAGAGTAAGACAGGCGAGGGGCAGCGCTGTTTTTGACCAGGGGGCGTGGTTGCCACAGGTCTGAACAACGCATCAAGCGGGCAAAGGTCATTGACTTGTGTTTTCTTCTTCTTTTCTCTTTGGTGCAGGCGGAGAAGGTTTCTATGTCAGGTGTTCTGGATACCACCGTAGGGCAGTGCGTATACTTCTGAAACAATGATGGGTTTTTCCCTCGTCATCAAGCCGCAAATCTGGGATAGCTACGTATTCCAACCAAACACGGTGTCGAGTCTGTCCGTGTATTTGTGCAGCCGGCCAACAGAACAGCCGGGGCCCTGCGTCCGGGGGCCCGGCATGCAAAGCCCCCAGTTCCGGGTGTCTGCGGCGGTCAGAGAACGGAGCCCCGGCCCCACATCCCAACTTGGGCAAGCACGCACGTTCTTTTGGAAGTCCAAAGGTTGGGTTGTCTGTTGCTGTTCGTGCAGATATCTATAACATTGGGCGCGCATGTCCACGGTGGGGCGTGACAGAGTTTTACATAAATCGGGCAGTATATATCATGTAACGCAACTACGTACTCGTGAATTCTATGTACAAAAGTGAACACTAATAGGAGGGAGGGGGGGGGGGGCCGGGGTGAGCAGAATCAACGGTTTCATTATCTTCGATTTTTCTAAAAACACCACAACCAGCACCTTACTCTTGGAGACTGAGCGCGAGAAGCACGATTTATCAGGCGCGGTTGGTGTAAACGGCACCGCCGCCGAAACTTCCTGCGATAGCCTCGTTGCGGCAGCGAACGACGCACAGGCCCTCGACGCCGCATCTTTTACCGGTGCATCTTTTGGTCGGATCCGACTGGACTGCTACCTGGAAGTCGGTGTTGGTGGCGATGGATAGGCCAGAGACACCGGATCCAGGCACATTGTTGAGGACTTGAGCGGCTTGGAAGGCCTTGGGATCCTGGCCAGCGGACGTGTAGTCAATGGCGCACGTAAGGGGGCCGGCGCCGTCCTGGTTGACCTGTGGGGGGGCAGAGTCATGTTAGTCCAGACGAAGCTCAGGTCTTTTTCTTTGCGTGCGGGGAAGCGGGAAAAAGGGGAAAAAAAAAAGAAAAAGAGAAGCGACGAACCTGTCTGTAAACCAGGTGGACGACGCCTTTGGCGTCGGGGGTGGGAAGACCACACGTGGCACCCTTGCCGCGCGAATCGGCATTCATGGTCTCACGGGGGTACGTATTTCGCTGGCCGCCCATGCCCGCCACGCCAATAATGGGAAGGTTGTAAAAACTCCCACCAAGGCCGCTCAAAGGGTTGCTGATCTGCCGCTTGTACGCGCCGCGGCGTTGCTTGGGAAGTGCGAGGCCCGAAAGGCCTGTGAGGTTTGGGATCGCGTCCTCGACGCCGACAGAGCTGGCAGCACCTCTGTTGGTGGGTGGCGCGCCGCCCATGCCCATGTAATTGTTGATGTTGGTGCACAAGTCGACATCGCCGCTGCCCTGGGTCCAACCGAGAGGATTTCGTTCGCCCGAGTCGATTTCGTTGTCACGGATGATGCCAGTGTCAGCTTGGGCGCCGCAAGCGTTGACGACACAGTCGCGAGGGGTGCCGTCGGTGACTTTTGGAGTTTTCTCCGTCAGCTTCAAGACAAAGCAATGCAAGTCGGAACAGGAACGGTCCGAGGAGGGAAGAGGAGTGGAAGGCGTTTTTACCAGTGTAACCAGGCATGGTGCAACCATTGTCACCGTGGATCATTGAAATGAAACCATGGCCGGAGACGGTGGAGGCGGCCACGGCGGCCAAGAGAGCGGAGGAACGCATTGTTGGTTGCGGAGAAGGAGTGAGTGTCTGCTATTAAACGCGCGTGGCGAGTCACCGGGACTCTCGAAAAGGAAGGTAGCAAAACCGAGTAAAGGACGGAGAGAGTTTGGGGGTCGAACTGAATTGAACAAGACAGCCAAGTAAAAGAGGGCGCGGCGGTGTTTGTTGTATATATAGCCTTTAGCCTTTGCCGTCGACACGCTTTGGACGCAGCCGGGGGACGATGAGACGACAACATCTCACCATGGATGGGTACGGATGCGGCAAGCTAGCGAATAGTCGTAGTCGTACCAAGTTAGATTGCATACCCGTGCCACGGCGACTGCGACGAGTCCTCGCGGCGGCACCGTGGGACGTCGATGGCCTTGCCGCAAAGCCCCGGCCGGGATTGTCCCTGTCAAAAGGCAGAGTCAAGGCGCCGGGGCTTGGACGAAGGACGAACTACCGATGCCCGAGCCAAGCAAGCGTTGTCGATAATCAGAGCTCCCACCCACGACGCCCTGAAACGCCGACGAGCGGACGGTCAGACCGTCCCCCGGTCCATCGCTCACTGTGGTATGGCGGTGACCAAACATGGGGCCAATAGCGGACCACGGGGATTTGCGGAAAAGGAAGGGCTGGCGGCAAGGCTAGATTAGATATAGATAGATAGACGACGGCTGTGCCCTGTCCGTATCTCTCGCAGGCGGACAGACGTCGCGCCCGATCTTGGCGGCGGCCGAGTCCCGCCTGGACAGGGCACACCGCAGGACGCACAGGAAGGGGGCATGGCCATGGCCGTGACAGACAGATTGGCCCCGTTGGCTGAGACGAATGACGGCAGAGGCAGTTCTCGTGACGGCGGGGCGGGTGGCTGTGGATTGCCTCATCGAGAGCAAGGCATCTCATGATCCCATGTCCATCCACACCTCGGTAGTCGATTCGCAAAGACGTTCCAAGGTCGTTGCGTCGTGATGGGACGCCGACAAGCCACGGGGACCACGATGGCCAATGCGTGGTAGGTCGTGGTGGACAGCACCCGGGCATCCATCGGCTTCGACCGCCGCAGAATCGCAGCGTCGCGTTGAAACAGTCGAAACCCGCCCTGTCGACGAGGCGTCGTGGGCGTGGGCCCTGTCAGGCACCGGTGGAATTCGTAGATGAATTGAGCCGCCACCCCGATGGACCGGTGGATGCGGAGGGAGTACGGAGTACGGAGTAACTTACCACCCTGCGGGGAGTTTTGCACGTGCCTCGTGCGTGCCTGGTCGAGCCATCTCCGTGTGGGGCCGCAAAGGTGCGTTTTGACCTTTTTGAAACGAACCGTTGGGGCAGCCGTGCCCGAAATAGCGTCGCCCCCCGGCCAGCTGCCCCTTGCAGACCCGCCACTCACGTGATGCTGCCGCTTGTAGACTTCATCAACACCAGCATCCAGCATCGAGCGCAAATTGCACGGGTCCAAGCCGCAAATCGCCTGCCTCCCCTTTCGGCCCTGCCCTGCCCTGCCCTGCTCAGCAGCCATGCTCACGCCTCTTCCGAGTCGATGAAGCTTCTTCCCATCGGGGGCCCCCCGTCTTTTCTCGCCTGTCTTTGTAACCCTAGCGTCCCCAGCGGCTTGCTGCCAACGCACCAACTTCCTTGCCCAACTACGCGCAACCCCGCCGTCCGTTGCTGCTGAGCCTCGGAGCTCGAGCCTCGCGCTTGCGGCCGATTTATCTGGACTTCCAGAAAAGTCGACTCATCCGTGCCATCTTGTTTAGACTCGCGCAATGTTGCGCCATCACGACCGTAGCCCGTCATGACGTTCCCCCCTTCTGGTCCGGCCAAACCGGCAGCTAGACTGGCCGCTCAAAGAAAAACAACAGATAGATAAATACTCTGACCCGGAACCCTCTCTTCCTTTCTCTCACACCAGCCAACCAGTCCTTGCACCTGCACAAATCTTGCTCACATCTTCTTCCGTTCTTTTATACATGCGAGACCAAGACTGAATCAGCCCGGCGCCGCTTCAATCGACCGTCCTTGAGCCTCTTGTTCAATTCTCCATCTACTTGATTTAATTTTTTTAAAAATGAGATTCTCCGTCGTTTCCGCCGTCATCGCCTCCGTCGGCCTCGTTGCCGCCGCCCCCGCCCGTGAGGCCAACATGGGAGGCCTCAACGCAATCTGCGGCTTCGGCTTCTGCAACTCCGGACCCGGTAAAGGCGCTGCCGACGCCGCCCAGGGCGTTGGCGCCGAGGCTTTCAAGGCCGGCGACGTTCTTCTCAACCTCCTCGGCGATGGCCTTGGAAGCGCCGCGTCGGGAAACGTCCTCGGCGCCGCCACCGGCGTCGGACAAAACGCCGCCACGGTAGTCGGCCAGGTCCCCGGTGATTTCACCAAGATAGGTACCGCTGCTGGCGCCGGTGTCATGCCCGCGACCACCAAGACCAACTAGAAAAGTCGCCGCGTTTACGGTATGTACTTCCCCTTCTCGGCATCCGTCACCGTCACGGCCGGACCATCTGACAGTGCGGCTGACAAGCAGACCGCCGACAGCGTGAAACGGCTGGTGGAGTGAAGATGGTGGTGCTGCGTCATGGTATGCATGTATAGATTAGATTTTTCTTCTTCGTCTCTCTTTCAATACAGAAACGTTTCGCACACTTCAAACGAGTGTCCCTGTGCACGCGTGCATGTCGAGCGCCACCTACGCACGTCTCATATCGGCCAAAGTCACCCCTCGCCGTCCGTCATGTGCCCGCCAACTCGTGGCCTCTGTTTCAGGTGCAGTCGGCCAAGTCTCCGTGGAGACCTGTGAACGCAAATTACAAACGCAAGGCGCACCATGGGGACCACAGAACAAGGCCCTTACGATGAAGCTGAGGTGTGGCCAGTCAGTCGTAGGCTCAGCTCGGACTGAGCACATTGCATAATCAACGACCTAGCTACGCTGCGAGTTTAGACTCTCTTTGTCACTCTTTGAGTCTTGGACCTCGTCGTCGTGTACATACATTAGTGCATGAAAGGAGCACCACGCCCCCGGAATCCTGCTGACGGCCTCGCCTGATGGCGTCTTCAGGGTGCTTTCTGATCCTCGGGCTGCAACTACGACTTTGCCTGGACCCGTGTACCCTGCCAATTCACCTGCAAGGGAGCGGGCGGGAGCACTTGTACCCCAACACTCCGTACCTGGTAATTAGTTCAAGTGCGATGCGCTATCTTGGCGCTTCCCCAAGGGGGGTGGTTCCGTCGGCTGCCCTCTAGCAAACACAATGCGTCTATCCGTCCATGGGGTAGTAACTAGTCCATGACATGAGACTGCACTTGTTTCTCTTCCCCAGCCCGGCTCAGGTGGTTCAGGCGGTTCATACGCGCCGTCCCGGCCCTCCTCTCCGGCCCACCGAGGGAGGGAAGTGCTCGACTCGCCGCTCACACGCCGTACGAGAGACGTGGACTCATCTCACGTCGTTTGTAGGCGGAAAGAGGTGAAGAGCGAGCGACCTCGAAGGCCGGCGGGTGGTCCGGCAAGACTTTGTCGTCGCGCCCAAACGACAGTCACCGGCCACGTATGCGTGGATGGCGAGACCGAAGACTGTCACGCTCGCACGCCCGCCGCGGTCGTCTGGGGCCGGTGAGAAGATCAAAAGAGAGAGAACCGCCAAAGGAAGCCCCCAAGCTGACTGGAAATGACAAGGAGCCACGGCAAGCGAGCTCATCCCCTGTATCAAGTAACCGTCTTGAATCCCAAACGATGCAGGACGGCGAGTATTTGTGCTTGTCTGCTTCTGCGAACTGGGCCATCTGCTAAATCTACACTGCCTCGACGGGCACCGCCGTCGCTTCACGGCTCTCATTCGTGTACGCCTCCCAGACGGGCATGTGTATGGGCGTGTGCAGATCCCCGAGCCGGTTGCCGGTTCGCTCGTGCTCACACGGCCGTCAACTCTTCCAGCCGCCGCTCCAGCTCGGGAACCTGCCGCAACTTGACCTCCAGCTCCTCCTTTTCATCCTCCAACCTTAGCCGCTTGTCGGCATCCAACCTTGTAAACACATACTTGCCCTGCCCGTCAAACTGCAAGATGTGGGTGTGGTACTTCCACAAGCTCCTCCTGTGGCTGACAGTCATGAGTGTGATGCCCAAAGCCTTGGCGTTGTCGTACATGATCTTTTCTGTCTCGAGCGTGACGCTGCTCGTGCACTCGTCCAGTATGGCGTACTTGGGGCGATGGTAGAAGAGACGAGCCATGGCGACGCGCTGCTGGAGCCCGCCGGACAGCACGTCACGCCACTCGGCTTCGGCGTCCCAGCCCTCGGGGTACAGGTCGACGAGGTGTCCGAGCTCGAGCAGTTTCAACATGGACACGAGGTCCGCGTCGGTGACGCCGCGGGCGCGCATCTGGCGCAGGGAGTCGGGGTAGATGACTTGCTGGCGCAGAGACCCGCGCGAGAGATAGGGGCGCTGGGGCAGGTAGAAGATTGCGTGGAAGGGAGGCTTGTAGACCGTGCCGCCGTAGACGGGCCAGAGGCCGCCGAGAATGCGGAAGAGGGAGGACTTGCCGCAGCCGTTGGGGCCGACGACGAGGAGGTGGTCGCCCTGGGCGAGGGAGAACGACAGGGCCCTGACGAGGACGTCGCCGTTTGGCGAGATGATGGGGCTGCAGGCGGACGGACGGACGGACGCTGTTAGCACGTATGCTCGACCTGCCTGGACGCGCAGCCAGTCGACCGGGCGGCTGGGCTGGGCAACTTACACATGGATAAACTTGATGAATTCGCTCTCGTGAACGGTTCCCCGTCCCCGCAAGACGGCCTCGTTGTCCTCGATGCCGCTGGATGAGACCAGTCTCTTCTCAAAGTGCCCCGACTGGATGTCGTCCATGACGTCCAGCAGCGACGCGACCCGCGACGTGTAGCCGGCCAGCTCCATGATCTCCCTGTAGGAGAACATGATGCGGCCGAAGGCATCCGAGGCAGAGAGCAGCATGCGCCTGTTGGTGACAAACGACTCGGTCCTGTCGCCCATGTTCATCGAAACCTGGCCAGGTAACTTGACAAACACGGGGACACTGCAAAGGAGCAGACCCAGCGCACCCCAGAAGTACTTGATGACAAAGTCCTCCATGAATCCGTGGTAGAATCGCCGCCTTAAAATGTAGTTGACATGCTTGATCAGCGTAAAGTAGCCCTTGTCGAGCGTGTCCTTTTCCGCCACGTGGCCGCCGTAAAAAGCGACCTCCTCGCTGTAGTCTATCAGACGGGAGTGTTGGTAGCGGAATTCACCTTCGAGTCTGGCCTCGTCGGCGACGTATTTGCCAAACGGCGGCGTGAGGACTCTCATGACGTTGGCGGAAAGCTGAACGAGGAGTGACATGAAGACTACCCCCTCGCCGCCAACACTCTTGGACAGTGACCACGTGTAGATGGTCTAGAGAGAAACGTCAGCAGTCTCCCGACTTCCCGCCCCCATTTCCGTCCTATACGGGCAGACTTGACGTACCATGTCCAACAGTGGCTTGGCCAAGTTGCTGTACAGTTCCGCCAGGCTGTTGGAGAACTTGGAAACGTCCACGGCAATGAGCTGATCCGGATTCTTTATCCGGTCGTCGAGAGCCGAGATGCCGTAAAACGTCAGGTTGGAGAGGTATTTGTCGTGGATGTACTGCGTCAATCTCGTCCTGTATTTGAGCGACAGCTCTGCTTGGTGGTAGGACAACTGACCACACGTGTCAGCACTCATCTCGGCACAGCACCGACGCGCCAGAGCCTACCATTGAGTTTGTGAAGGTCGCCGGCACGGCGATCAACATCCACCAAAGGATCCTGGTCAAGAACTCCTTCCCGTTCCCCTTGACCAACGCCTTCACAATGGCACCGTCCATCTCTGCCACCCTCAAGCTAATCAGCGTCCTCAGCACCAGGAAGAAACTGTGGCTGATCAGCATCCTCGTTTCCGTGCTACGCCACCCGGGAACAACAATCTTGAGCAGCCGCAGCAGAGACCGGAAGAATTGGCGATCGAGCGCAACCTTCTTTTTGGGCGTCTCTTCGCCGCCGGCTGAGACGGTAGCGCGGCGGGCCTCGCGCTGAGCGGCCTCGCGCGCCGACGCAGCTTTCTGCTCCGAGATGGCATGCCGCACGCGGTTGACGAGGGCAACGAAGAGCGTGATCCAGACGGCGCGCGAGATGCGCGATCGGTTAGATAGGTAGAGCCGCGTGAGCTCGCTGACGACGTTGCGGATGTTGCGGTCCCTCGAGAGGGAGAGCTTTGACTGGGACGCCATGGCCGGCGCAGGAACCACAGCGGATGGCGTGCTCTGACTATGTCGGAAGAAAGAGAGCTCGCGTGTGCCCCTCGATGTTGCGGAGTAGCAAATGCAGAGCGGTTATGCCTGGCGCATTTGGTATTTGGGCTGGTGGCGAGTCGCGATGAATGGGGCTTCACGCTCGACCGAGAAAGCACTTCGGTCAACCACCCAGAGCTGAATCGACGACAAAGACTAACCAAACACCCTCGTGACCCGACTTGGAGCTCTGTCCCGGGGCCAGGGGAAAATGAAGGCCGAAAGGAAACAGATGCTCACGACTCGAGGAGGAATAACGTCCAAAGCACGTGGTCGGACTTGGTATCCACTTTACTTCCCCGGGCTCTCCCTCGGCCACAGCCACAGAGTGTGCAAGTTTCCCACTGTCAGCCGGCCGGGCATGTGAAAGCACCCCACCAGCCACAAGGACGGCCCCGCGTCGTCAGACTTGTCCACAACACCAGCCACACCTGCGGAGTTCTCGACTTTTTTCTCTGCCTCACCCCGAATCATGGGACCCCGCTGCCATCGACACCAAGTTCTCTTGCCCAAGTCTCGCCTTCCCCCGGAACAAACCAACTTGGGCCCGATTCCATCCTCACAAGCGGCACTACATAACCAGTGCTTTCGAGTACATCCATCTCCTCCGAATTCTGTACCCCAGCAGGCCGCCAGCCATGTTCGACGACGAAAACCTCTCCATCTACGACGAGATCGAAATCGAAGACATGACCTTTGACGAATCCCTCCAGCTATACCACTACCCGTGCCCCTGCGGCGACCGCTTCCAGATCGCGCTGGACGACTTACGCGACGAGCAGGACATTGCTGTCTGTCCCAGCTGCAGCCTAATGGTCCGCGTCATCTTCGACCTGGTGAGACCTGACCCCCCAAACCACGGGTATACCTTTGATTCTAGACGAACGGGTTTCCCGCCACGCCCTTGACACAGCCAGTTGCGCCTGGATGCTAATCTCGGCCCAGGACGATTTGCCTAAACCGCCGCCCGCCGGCAGCGCGGCCCAAGCCCCCCCCATCGCTGCCTAGAAGGACGGTTGGTGTGTAAGACAGGGACCCCTGGAGTCACATAGACGGAAGCATCGCACCCAGCCGCCAAAGCCTTCGTCGACCAAGTTACTCGGGGGACAAAAAGCCCCAACGTGCTGTGCTGGCCGCGCGAAATGCGCCGAGTCGAGTCATCTCATTGCGCCAATGCAGTGTACCATGGGCCACGGCACAGCAGAGGTAACACGCGTCGGGCAAGCCCCCAGGGAACACAGATAATGCACAGGGGCCAAGGGCGCCCTCTTGGCATCGAAATCTCTGTCCATCCCGGGCGAGACCCGCTCCTCCTCTTCACCCCTCGGAGCTTTTCTTCGACCCGTGGAGTGACTGATGAGATGAGAACTATGCTCGAGCACAGGTTCTGCACGGCCTGCAGTACGATGCTTGCCATTGACATTGGCGAGAATGCAAAAAGGTGCCGGAAGCTCCTCGTCGAGCGCGTCCGTCTACATAGAATGGTTACCGTCGTGTACATCATGTGCAGAAGTTTGCACTGGTTTTCCAACTATTCTCGGGAAATGGAAGCCGGGGCGGCCTGCCACCGAGCAGTTTTGGGATGCCTGCATCACATGTTAAAGTCGGGTCGAGGATTCATCAAGGGATTCATCATGCTTCGCTGCTACGCATACTACACAATCCCCCGTCTTTTACAGTCCTCGCTTCTCGGAGGCTATCAAGTGATTGAATGCTATTGTATTAATTCCTGCCGGAATGAGCAGTATCTTGATAGAACCACCAGACTCTAATACTAAGTGCTGGTGTCCCGGTAATGTGGTATCTCTATCTATAAACGCCGGACCCGCCTGGAGCGTTGTCTAAATGAACGCTTGTGCGTTTGCTGCGAAATCACTCCTCTGCCGCCGCCGCCCGTTTGTCTGCCGCTGCCACATTGAAGACGCAGACCACGACCCAAAGGATGTACAAATAAATAATACAAATACGCGTGCCCGCACGACTCGCTACAGCAAGTGCGCGCGCGCACAGTGCCCGCCCGATAGCGTCGTCGTGTAGAATCATTAGTTCGTATGCCAAGATGGTTGTTCTCCCTCAACGTAAAGAGCTCCATGAATTATTACCGATTCCTCCTGTACCCATCGCCGTACGAATAATATAGTTGGAAAGAGGGTGCAAACGGCTCGCGATTATAACATGACAAGACCCATGATGCAAAATCCCAGAAGACCAGCCATGGAAGCTTGCATCTGCTGTGGAATGGCGCCTCCAGTCAGCTCTGCCGTGTGCGACGTGGTGGTATTGGGAGTCGTGGCGGGTGAGGTTGCCGTAGTAAAAGGAGCTAATCAAGTGTTAGGATGCTGTGCGATGCAGTACAATGGTCCTTGCGCCGGAGATGCTATCAAGGCAGAGTAACACGATAAGGGGGACATACTGGTTGCGTTGGCAGACGGTACGAGTCTCAAGCTAGTACCGCTCTCAAGGGCAGCCGGTATGCTTGTTGGTCTGCCCAATGGCGTCTCGATCGATATCAAAGTACTTTGGGCGATGAAGGGCTCTCCTGATGAAGCCGCAATGGCGACAGACGCAGCGACAAGCGCGCCCAGGTTCTGGCCGATCCGCATCGTGATTGACGATGAAGCGTCTCGAGACAGAAATTGTTGAATGCTATCCGGGTAGGCCAATCTCGAAAATGGTAGAAGCTGACGGATCGAAGCTCGTGATGGGCTATGTTCTGAAGGACAGGAAGAGAGCAGCCGCCAAGAACCGAGCTGATGGGCCTGGTATGCTGCTCTCGCCACGTCGTATGTATGAAGAAAAAAAAGCTGACGGTGATAGAAGTGTCTCGGAGTTGATTCTTTAAGGTGACCGATGTGAACGGGGTAGAGTGACGCGTACGGAGCAGCGAGTATTGACCGTAGCACGCGCACACGACGTGGGTGGGAGGCGACGACGCTGACGATGCAGGAGCCGAGATATAACAAAAGAGCACCGGCCCAACAAAACAACTACGTAGGTCGTTTACAGGGCTGACATGGACGCTTCTCCACGAAGCTTGGTATTGCGATGCAAGGTGGACAGGAAGTGGGCAGGGCGGTCGATGTACCCATATAATGCCGAGCTCGAGACGGGGAAAGAAGCAACGTGAATTGGGCAGGTGGTACGGAGCAATGTCAACAAGTGGTTTTGAAAAATGGTGCGTTATCTCTGGTATCGAGAATGTTGGAGAAAATCAGACAGCTTCGAGAGTTGCATGCAGGTGGGGAAGGGGGGATGCGGACAGGGAAGAAGCTTGGGGGGAGTGCGTGGCCACCCACGGAGTACGGAGTACGGCGTACGCAGCAGGGAGTACGGAGAGTATCGAGTACCGGAAGTTGCCTGGCTTGCCCACTACTTTGGAAGTACGGAGCACTCCGCGTCAAGGGGACAGAGGTTAAAGGAGAAGGCGAGTGGGGTGAGGGAAAAATGATGCACATAAAAGTGGCGCCCAAGAAAATTGAAAGTGCTGATTTTCGCTGCAGTAAGTGGTCACAGGCAAATGACGAGTGGTGGTGAGTCGCAAGTGGCTGCTAGAACCGTCGCGGTACTCCGTACAACCCCGGACGAGGCGCCGTCGCACAGTTTTGTGTGCCTACTCAAGTACCTACTACTTGGAAGTAACCATGTACCCCGTACATGTATGTGCTGTACGGAGTACTGTATTACGACATGTGGACGTAGAAGAAGCGTCCCGCGCCTTGCCCGTGACGGGCACCTCATCTGGGTGCCGTCGACGGCACCGCATTCTATTCTGCGCTTGTGCTGTCTTGCAATCTCTGATGCAGTCCGATTTTTTCCCCCCTCCCATCCCCAACAAAGAAACAAACAAACAAACAAACAAAGGCTCGGCCAGCACGAGTCGCTAGTGGCGATGAGATCCAGTCGAGGAGGCGTGATGGAGACGTGAACGTTGGCGTTGACTCGGGTTGTTGCTTCAGCGAGCCAACGCTAAGTGGCTTGCACTTGGTCGCAACTGGGCCATGGGCTTGGGTACTTCGATCCTTCGTACCTTGTCCCCGGGCTGCGGCGGCTGCTTGGTGGGTGAGCCCGAAGCAGGGTACATGGAATCGATGTGGTCATGGCCCCCTCCCCCCGATCTGGCTGACACAGATTGGCAGTGCAAGTACGGAGTACGCAGTACGGAGTAGCCTCGTCTCGTCTTTCGTCCTCTCCTTTGTGATCCCACTTCGGCCTTGCGCTTGCATCCATTGGCCTTGGTGCCTGTCTCGCCGCATGCGTGTTGTTGAACCGCTCAGCTCACTGCAGGAGCTTGCAGGAGCTTGCAGGAGCGGGAAGGGCAGGCTTTGCCTCAGGCAGAACTCGGAGAGAATTGTGTCTGGGCCTGGGGTACGCCACGACGGACGGTCCGTCGTGGTCGCAACACCGGTTGACCGCTGCGGAAAAGCACCTCCTCACAATGCCTGATGCCTGCTCGCACATCTTCTGGTTTCGCTGCGGCCATTGGTGGCCTTCGCGGCTCTTTGCCCCGTCGCCCGGTCGCCCGGTCGCCCGGTCGCTCCTGCCCTTGCACGAAAGCTGACAAGCCAGCAGTAAACAACCATTGAAGCGGCCCTTGTCCATGTCATGACGGTTACCAAGCAGAGCAGATGTTGTCTGGTTGTTTCGACTGTGGCTCTGTACTCCGTACTCCGTATCTGACTGTATACTTAGTATTTGGTCCATCGCTCGTCACCATTCTTAGCTGTTCGTTCCTGACCAAACTCTGGTTGCGGCCCACGCATGACCTCCATTGTAAGCGTTGACACTCCCCCCACAGGACGGGCTTGCAATCAAAGGTCTGCATCACGTTGACCATACACAGCAGGGATCGCCCGAGAGCAACGGTAGCAGTCTGCGTAGTTACGTACGATACTTGGTTGAGGTGCAGACACGAATGGATCAAACGGCACATGGCAACGGGCCACGGCTCAGCTGCTACCAACTACCGAGCCACTGCATGTATGGATCAAGGCAGGACGAGGACTCCCAACAATCATCGCTTGAGTGGGTGTCATCAACGGTTGACGGGCGCGGAGAATTGCAACCACGGCCGTGGGACGTTTTGCCGGGTACAACAACTGCTGCCGCCAAAACGGCAGCCACCATTGCCCTCCGTTTGCTGGGCTGGCTGGCAATGGAATTGGCGAAATTTCTCCACCCACGAATCATTGATTACAGTCGGAGCATCCCGGAAATGCGGAAATGACGCTTATCTCGCCTGTATGGGTCTGTGGCCAATTGCAAACTTCAACCTAACGAACAAGCCTTGTCTAGAACAGACCACTTGGAGTGGCAGACAAAGCTCGCCCTAACAAGGAGAGCGAAGCTTTCCTGTTCCAGACCTCCAGAAAGCTTAGCCTTGTCTTTGACCCAGCACAGTTGTCAGTACTAGTAATCGTGCCCGCCCCACTTTATGTGGTTCGGCTAGCAAAAGCCCTCACCACCAAAGGTGGTGCTCGACAGCAAGGCGGGCCGGACACCAAGGCGGGCCAATTTTCAACCTAATAACGCTATTAACCTCTTCGCCTATAATGTACACCCTTCTCGTCCCAAATTTCTAGTAGATCTAGTACAGAATCCAGACGCCATTTACGTGCCTTTTTAGCTGCTTCAAAAAACGTCCTCTTGGCGTGGTTGTGGCGCCTTTTGTCGGCTGCCTCAACAACCCGACGAGCAGTATCAAGGCGGTCATTCTCGTTTTGCTTGACCATCTCACGCGCGTTATCCACAGAAAGAACGCCACCAGTTTGTAGGGCGTGATATTTATGAGCTCTACGTCGCTGTGATAGTAATTGAGCTGCTTTTGTACGCCCAAGGTCTCTCTTCGTCTGTATAAGCTCAGTAGCTGCAATAAGAGAGCCGCGGATAAAACGACTGATATTGCGTGCAAACTCAGGCTCAAGGGATGTATCGTCTTCTAATACCTCCCCTAGCTTGTTGGCAACCTTATTTATCTGCCTGAGTGTTGTGGGCGTCTCAAAGTCGGAAGAGTTGTTGTGATATAACGGCGGCGGCGATGGTGTTGATGTGTAAATTGCAGCTCGTTGTTCAAGGGCCTCAATTACAGGCTGTGGATTGTAGGGTGAAATTCCAGTTTTTCGAAAGGCTGTGAGAATAGTAGTAGTCTTGAAAGCTTGTTTTCGTACAGCTTGAATGCAAGCAAGGAATTCAATCTTTGTAATATTCAACACGCCGTCTCGAACAATGATATCCAACGCCTTTGCATGATAATGCTTTAGTGGCTGAAATATCACAACATCAAGAGGTTGAAGGATGTGTGTAAGGTGCGAGGGCAACGCAAAGGGAATTATATCGTGCTGTTCGCAGTATTCAACGAATTCAATTGTATGGTGTGATCCGTGGCCATCTAGGATTAAAAGGCGATATCTGCCTATTGGCGTTGCAAATTCCTGAAAATGCTGTATCCAAGCAACTGCAATTTCGTCATTCGTAAAGCCGGTTGGTGAGACTGTTATTTTGGTATTAGCTTCAAGCTCCTTTATCCGATACCAGGACTCCATGTGTTTTTGCCCTGTAAGGATAAGAAAGGCAGGAATAACTTTGCCGCCAGCAGAAATGCATTCTATTGCTGTTGCAGTCTCCCTGTTTTCTGGCATTGAAAATAGATGCGCTCTTCTTCGCTTTGTAACAACTAAATGGTCCTTTCCCATTCCAATACGAAAGCCAGTCTCATCCATATTCCAGATATCTTCAGGAGGGACTCCGTACTGCTGAATAGCCTCTTTAAGCTTGTTGTAATAAGAAAGAGCTCTTGTCACATCTTCTGAAGCTTTTCGACTTGAATCAATCTTTTTTTGAAGACCTTTATGATAGTGATGCCGCTGGATAAAGCGTGTAGTCCATCGCGTTCCAACTTGCCTAGGCGGGGCAGTTGTACACAAGGCATCGTTGACCCTGTCCTTGTCCTGTCTCGAATCAATTCCTTTGCCCGTGGTTGGTTCCATTGTTGCTACTCTGTAATATCCGTCCATCTTGATGCTATTCTCAATTTAATCCAGGCCACTGAAGGAATGAAGTATCGGTACGAATGAAGTCTGGGCTTCTTGGACGGCTTACCATCGTACAAAGGCTGTTGGCGCATTTTCTGGCCGTCGATCTGAGGAGCCCACGTCAGGCTACCGACTTGGTACTTTTCAGGCCCAGCCGAGTCACGACTCACGAAACAAGGCGTTTGGCGTCAGTACATGGATATAGATACGGATTTAGTACGGAGCAATATGGGGCCCAAACTATTCTTGCACACATCACTGCATTGCAGGAACCTAGCACTAGCAGGGACACGGTCCGCTCAACCCAGTGGAGTTTGGCTGGTTCCTCGGCACGGCGACGGTGTGTCCGCAAATCTTCCACTAAAGCCAGACGGAGGGCATGGCTTGACAGATGGATGGCGACGCCCAAAACTCAAGGAAAGGGAAGTTAGCTCCCCTCCACAGGAGGGGAGAGGTTGTCACAGAACAGGATCAACGCGTCTCGAGGCAACCGTGCTGCACGAGCTTGCACAAGAGCCCATGTACACGATTATCGACGTGGTGTTTCATACGGAGGCAATACGAAAGCACACACAGAGCATCCATCGTCAAGCAACCCGCCGGGAAATCTGGCCGGTGGCGAATCTCCCCGAGCGGTTTTCAAGAACGGCAAGGAGAAAAAAAAAGCAAAATTTCTTGGCGTTCTGCAGGCTGGTTGGTGGCGCCAACTCTTCAAAGTTGCTCGCCATTCCACAAGGTCTGCCCCAGACAACACGTGCGCAAGAACTTCATCAGAACGGACTATAGAGTTGCACGTAGCTGCAAACAGCAGGGAACGGTCAAACCATCAAGGCAAAGTTGGGCCAAATCCCCGAGTTGGCCGTGTCTCATGCTGGTGGTCAAAGGGAGTCGAGAGACAAAACGCGCGAATGAAAACGGCTGGGTTGACAGCTTACCGGAATCCTTTTCAGGCTCAGCCCTTTGTCAGCCATCTTCAAATCGTTGTTCATCGATACAATTGTGCGGCATTGGCGGCAGGAAATAAATGACGAATAGAGCAACCTGGTATAATCAGTTGATGACCCTCAACGTCGCAAGTTCGTCTCGACGCATCGCTTGAACTCGCACTCGCACTAGTAAAGTCGGTCGCTGCAAATTGGCTGCCGTTTTCGATGAAGCAGCGCCCATCCTACAAAACTTGATGCCATGGCGGCCTCTACGATTGGAGCTGTACTTTTTGTTGCAATCCAGCAAGTCAGCGTAACCACAGCCGTCGCTTATTCGCATGTCGCAGCTGGCTGCCAGCATGGACCAGACAACTTCGTCATTGTGCGATCATGCAGATGGCTGCTCGGCAAACACAAAACCAGCTTGGCGAGTCGATCTGGCATCTTCCCTACCATCATAACCTCGTCGCGGCTTTCAATGTGTCGCTGGCTTGTGTCGCAGGGGCACACTCTATAATGAAGGACCTTGCACCACCATCGTGTCGTACTGTCCACTGTCCAATACGGACTGAAGCAGATGAACCGACCAATGGGCCCTTGGGGATTGACCCCCTCCTGCTGGTCTCAAAATATGTTGCTCAGCCACGACTCACGACTCACTGGCCGCTTTTTCGTCCTCCTGTTTCGCATCGTTGCATGCCGTGTATCATCATGGTGGGCAGGTTCTTGCGTTATCAGTCAGCTCTGGGCACTTGTCTTCTACCTGACCTGCGGATGCAGACTTGTCGGCCGAGTGAAGCACGAGCGGAAGCGTGTCCTGAGCGATGCGTGCGGCTGTAATTGTCGACTACCGCGCATCTCGTGAGGGTGTTGAATTGCAAATATCGTGCATCCCGCATATGTACCTTTGGCATTGTGACAGTATGCAAGCACGCCGTTTTATCTTTGAGAGTGCCAACGACAAGACGACCTGGTTGACATGTCACGACAAATGCTTGCCCTGGTCTCGTCTCTCGAGGTGCTCCGGAATAACTCCGTACCGAGTCGTCTGAATGCCTTGTGGCGCACACGTCACAGACAACGTCATTTACGTCAACATGTAAACAGTAAAACGTCACGTCTATCTGCTTTACCGTCTTTTGCCATCCCAGTCGTCCCCGCAGCTTTAACGAATAGCCAGCAGCCCCATCCATCGTCATAATTCCTACACATCGACATTCTCGAAAAAAAAGGTCGGCACCCCGGGCACGGCATTCTCCGCCGTCGGTGCCGTGATATCGACCTCCTGACCATCTGCCAGCTTCACGCCCTTCTTGCCGCCTTCCTCTACGACCAACACATCACACTCCACCAGGCCAGCAGTCTTCTTCAAGCCGGGCAGCATCTGTGCCAGCGTCTCCTTTTCATTGAATGCAAGCTTCTGCTCCAGAACCACGCCGGGGGATTCGCCTGACTGCAGACGCTTTTTCAACGTCTGCGCAAAGGGCATCGCTTTTTTCATTTCGCCCATCTTGGCAATCCTCCCATTCAGCTCCTTGTCGTTGACCGACTTTGTAGCAGGATCCCACATTTCCTTCAGCAGGTCGATGTACTTGGCCTGCCAGGCAGGGAACTTGTCCGACATGTAAATGGTCAGCTTCTTGGGGCGTTTGGGGTCGAAAGACGTCTCCTTGCCCTTGGCCTTTTTCTTCAGCTGCAGTCCCTCGGCCGAGTTGACGTTGGACGCTGTGTTGCGCACGTAATCTCGTTTGGCCGACAGCGCCGCGTCGACCGGAGGCACGCTGGGGAAGGCAGCCTTGTGGATGGTGCTGGGCTTCTTGAGGACTTCTAGCCATATGTATTCGGACCAGTGGGGGGCGATGACGGCCATCAGGAGGGCCTGCATCTCCATGTACTTGAAGACCAAGTCCTTGTGCATTTTGATGCCGCCGGCGGCGCAGGCCTCGCGATAAAAGTCACGGGCGCCCGTTAATTCGTAGAGGGCCGCCTTCAGGGCCAGCTTGTAGTTCGTCTGGGCATATTGCTCGACGGCCTCGCGCGCGACGCCGTTCATTTCGTTGAGGAACAGCGCGTCCTGGAAGGTGTTGGTTCCACCGGAGCGCAGCTCAGCTTCCTCCCGGACCATTTCTTCACACCACTCGCGCAAGTTGAACAGGCGCAGGATGTTGTTGTCGGCAACGTCCTCTTCGAAGTTGGCATCCGACACTCCGTCACCGGCGTCGGCAATGGCGATGCGCGAGGCATCGGCGCCGTACTTTTCGACCAGGTCGCGCAGGGTCATGAAGTTGCCAGTGCTCTTGGCCATCTTCTCTCCGTTGAGCATCAGATGACCATTGGCCCGGATACCTCGAGGCCAGTACTCCGGGGGGAAGATGGCCAGGTGGATGTACAAGAAGAAGGTCAAGTGGTTGGGTATCAAGTCTTTACCGGAGCTTCGCACATCCAGGGGGTAAAAGTACTCAAACTCCCGGCGCATGCTTTCCAATGTGGCCTGCGGGATCTTGGACGTGTTCAGGATTTTATCGCTCAAGTCGCGACGACAGAACAAGTAGTCCCAGACATCGTCCGTCATCTGTTCGGGAGCAACGTTGCCAAGGCCCTTCTCACGTCCATACAAGTCACCGTGCAACCAGTGACACACGGTGTAGTAGGCCATGTAGATGGTGGAATCGCTCAAGCTCTCAACCAGAAATTGAGGATCCCAGGGCAGCTTTGATCCCAGGCCGTAGGTACGGGCGCAGGCCCACTGGTTCAGCCAGTTCAACACACCCTCGAAGCTGTGCCTGGTCTCGGGAGCCCAAGTGTTCAGGCCCTTGCCATCAGCGTTCTCAACCCATTTCAGAGCCGTCTGTCTCCATTTCTCCTCACCGTAATCCAGGTACCATTGGTCCATCAGAGCAACGATACAGTCATCGCCAGATCGAGAAACAACCTTTCGCTCGGGTTCAGAATAGGCGAATCCCTCGCCAGCGTCGATCAACTGGGCGCGAACTTTGGGTTTGGCACTCTCCACCTTTTCACCCTGAAAGTCGCCGACCTTCAAGACGCCCTGGTAGTAGCCCTCCTTGTATGCCAACTCCTTGGCCTCTTCCAGTTGCTTGGTGTCCTTGGGAGAAGCAATCTTCAACTTCTTGACCAAGAAAGGAGCGCACAAGTCGCCGTATGAGGGAGTTTCAATAATAGGAAAGATCTCCAACTCAGCCCATTCCTTCTTGATGCCGTAGTAATCGGCTTTTTTGGCCAAGTCGGTGACGGTGGCAAAGTCATCAGGACTGTCTGAGGGCACAGACGTGACGACACCAGTCCCTTTGGTGGGCAGGACAGTCTCCATGGGCAAGACGCGGACCCCTTCCTTGTGACATGACAGTGGTGCATTCACCAAACTTCCAACCATGTCAATGCCCTGGATTTCGCCGGCTTTCTCAACAACCCCTTCTCGGGCCAGAATGCCTTGGTACGCCATATTGCGAGCGGCTCTTTCTGTGACGACATAATATGAGTTCTCACCAGCCTTGAACAGACCATACGTGATCTTGGGTCCCACAAAGCAGCACGTCTGGCCATACATGGTCTCAGGTCTCAGAGTGGCCGGGACCAAGAAGATGTCGGCACTTTCAGGGACCTTTCCCTTGACAGCCTCTGCAGCCCTTGGCGACCATTCCAAGACTCTCAGCTTCAAAGCAGTGTACTCCTGTGGACCGACAGCCTCCCCTTCGGCACGGTCGTGATCCATGCAAGGCTGTCCATCCTTGATGGAGTAAATGGTATATCTCTTTCCGAACTTGATCTTGTTCAGCTCCTTCAAGCGATTCATTTGCCATCGGACAAAGGCGTCGTAGTAAGGGTTGGCGTCGGTCGTGATAAAGGACCTGCGCCAATCAATTCTGCAGCCAAAGCTAGTCAAGTCTCGTATCGCCAGAGGGGGAAAGAACTCGAGCCAGTGCTGAGGGTCAGCAAACCGATGAATTTCGTTTGTGGGAATACCAATCGCCTGCATAATCTGGAACTGGTACTTCATCTTGGCAGTTTTCGCCTTGGCTTTGCTCTTATTGGTAGTGAACTTGGTGACGTCCTCCTTGGTCTGGCTAGCGACTGCCGCAGTTGGCTCCTCGTCAACAGCATCACCCTCGTTCTCGTTGTAGCCAGAAAAGTCCTTGCCAAACTTTCCAATCTCGCTAATCAGCTTGTCGGCGCAGGCCTTGATAGGCATACCGGTGCAGTGGAAACCCATGGGGAACAGAGCACGTTTTCCCTGCATTCTCGCAACGCCAGCGGCAAACTCGACTTTGCTGGCCGAAAAGGTGTGACCGGCATGCAGAGTACCGTTCATGTACGGATATGCCATGCATCCAAAGAACTTGGGGATCCTTTCTCGTAGCTCGGAGGCGGAGACTGAGTGCAGGGGCACTTCAGAGGTCGTAGGGGCGTCGACTTCGAAGACCTTGTCATCTTGCCATTTTTGTTGGTACTTCTTCTCGATGACAACCAAGGAGTCTCGTTTTTCGGTCTGACAGGAGGGTTCGTCAGAATAAGCTACCGGCATGTGAAGAGACAGATGAGGCCGACATACCCCTTTCAATTCCTTGGTTTTAGAAATGGACAAGGCTTCCATGGCCTTGGGCACGGAATTTGTAGCCATGTTGCCAGTTCTGCAGGTGGTTGTCGATTACATCAGCATCGGGGATGATTTCGCAGCCAACAGCTAGAAGCACGGTATTTATTCTTGCCAGGAGGAATCTCTGCTTAACTCACTTGCGGGAAAGGATCGCTCCTTGCTCACTTTTGTTGGTTCGCGCGGGCAATCTTGCAGAATCGCATATGCTGTCCGTCCCGGTGGGAATTTTTTTTCGAGTCACCGACGGAGGGACTGAGAGGAGGGGTGGAAATCGCGGGGCACCAGTGACGGCAGGTTGGTGGGTGTGGCTGGTTGACCAGTACCAAATCCAGCGGCCTACGTACCTGTGGCTGCGTCCGTGTCGGGCTAGTGCCTTTGCCTGGAGACACACTGTGTACAGTCTTGGCGGAACAAACCATCACAGCAAACATGCAATGCGCACTGTATCGTGGCGAAGTCTTGCCAGTCAAGTGACCGACAGACCATGTTTGCCAACACACAGCGGCACACTGCGAGCAACATATGCCAAGTATCACATTGATTACTCCCAGAAATTTCTGCACAGAGGACCATCTATCGGACGGCCCGGGGATGAAACTACAAATCCCACCGTCGTCCGCGTCTTAAAGCCGCGCCGCGCCGCGCCGCCAACAAAATTCGCCTCGCTGCACCAGACAGAGGGTACACACAACCGACGGACGGACATAGAGACGACATCGAAACGAGCCCGCATCGGCAAATTGAAAAACGAGTCGAACCACCCTGCGCCGTCGTGTCCCCTGTACCCGCCCATAAACAAAAAGACATGTTTGCGGCATCGGCGAGACGACTAGCGCCGTCGGGCAGAGAGTCCCTCCCCAAGCAGGTGCCCTTCACCGTACTCAACAACCCGTACCAAGCGCGAAAAGTATGGCCTCCCAATTTCAAGGAGCTCAATCACGCACAACAACTGCGCTTCGAAAAAAAGTACAAGCGCAGAATATTTCTGGCTAGCAGGTCGCCGCGGTGGGAGAAGGGCATCAAGTTTGCGCAGCTGGCCACAATTGCAGGTGAGCCTGTTTCCTGCGCTTCCTGTTGCCAATGATGAAAAGCCTCGGGACCGAAAAGGAAAAGAAGAAGACTTGCTCACCAATGTTTGGAAGCTGCGCTCGTGTGGCTGCTCCAGTTCTCAGAGTTCGAATGGTGGGGGAAGCAATACAAGCCCTCCGAAGAGGTCTGCCGATTTTCCCTCCCCATCTTTTCTTCTTCTACGTGCCGTACGTCTGATGCATGGATTAGATGCGCCGTCACGCGCGCAATCTTTTTGGAGTTGTCGACCCGGAGAAGCGCCACGAACGACGACCGGATGCCCCGGAGCCACAGCTGCCGGCGCAACAGCCCGAATCTAAGTCCAGATAAGGCATTTCAAAATCATCATGTGCTTCCATTATCACCCACGGCGCTTAGCACCACAACAACACCCTCCCCCACCCTCCCGCGCAGTTTGGAATTACTTTATAAAGGTGGCCATGTACATTACCCGCCATGTATCATAGCCTCTTGGGCGTCGTAGTCATAGTTTGAAACCAAGTCACGTCAAGGTGGCCACCGATCAACGGCCGGCCCAGGCGAAGTTAGCACCCATGCCCAAGCCGGAACCAATTCCCGTGCTTCTTCCTTCGTTTACAGGCCTCTTTGCCACGGTGCCCTGTGCCCTGACCCCCGAGACTATGCGGTCCAGGTTTGTCTCTATGACTACGCCGCCAATGATCATTTCTGACAGCGTGGCATGTAATGTTTCGAAATTGAAGATGAGGTCGAGTTCGCAGACATTCTCAAACAGCTTGTCCAGGGCCTCGACATATACCTGGATCAAGTCGATCAAGGCGAGGGGCGACTCGGTAGAGGTGGATATTATGATGAAGTAGAGCGTCGCATAGTTGCGGTAAGTGACGAGGGACGGCACGTCATTCTGCTCCTTGGACGACGAGTGCGAGGTGCCAGACGCAGCCAGCAGAGGGGGCAGGGGCAAGAAGTTACAAGAGCCGTTTGGCCGGTTTGACACCAAGGCGAAGATTTCGGAAATCAGCCGCTGCTGGATGCTCGTCTCCTGTAGACATGTGGTCAGTAGTGGCATGTTGTGGCCGGCAACAGATGAGCGTGACATACCAGCTGCGTGTAGAACTTCGTGAGGCGCGGCTGACCCTGGCCATTGAAGACCAGAAAGGCATTGATCATGGTCGCAATTTCAGGCTGCCGATGTCGTCGGCGCAACGATGAAGGCAAGTTGCCCGCAGCCGGGTGAGAAGTTGAAGGACGACCGATTGATGACTAAGGCCATCTCCACGGGCTGTCGACTGGTAACGTTAACTGGCGGCACCTGAGCGCCCGGCCGCACGGCGCAACACGGAACCTCCAGCTCAGCGGCCAGCCAGACCACAGCTGCAGCTCGGGTGCCAGACGACGGAATGCGTGTGCCGTGCCCTGACGAGCTGTGCTGCATGCCGAATTGGCCTTCGCTCCGCTTTCTCCTCCCGAATCGCCTGCCATCTGCCCGTCTGCCCGTCTCAACTCTCCACGGACCGCGGACCAGTCCCACCGCCCTATCACTACGTGCGGGAACTGCATTCTCATCGAACCCCGAGCGTCCTTTCAAGCACCCATCACCCGCGCAATCGCGAGCCAGCGTCAACATAGGAGTCCCCCCTTCAACGCCTTGAGCCTCAACGCCCTCATCCCATCATCCCATCATGTCCCGACAAGGAGCCACAAAGGTCTCGAGGCTCGTCGCCCAGGCCACCTGTCGATGGAATGCGGCCCGTCCAAGCCCGCGACCGCTCCCACGCGCGCCCCAACCCCTCCGACCACTGTCAAGCCGTCTGCCACATCGTCAGCCCTTGTCGACGACATCTCGACGCCTCAAAGGCATCATGCCGGAGACCGACAACCCCACCAAGCACGACGTCGAGGAGACCCGGCCGAGCGTGGGCGTCGCCGAGCTTTCGGACGGCCAGTACCACGAACTGGCCGACGGCTACCTGGAGGCTGTTCAGTCCAAGTTCGAACAGCTCCAAGACACGCGAGAGGACATTGACATCGAGTACTCGGTCTGTGTCCCCCCTCCCCAAACCCAAACCCAAGCCCAGACCCGGCCAGAGAAAGCACACCACTAACTCGGCCGCCTACAGTCGGGCGTCATGACCATCAACGTCGCAGACAAGGGCACATACGTCATCAACAAGCAGCCCCCAAACAAGCAGATCTGGCTGTCGAGCCCCGTCTCCGGCCCCAAACGATACGACTGGTGCATCATCGGCGAGGGCCAGGGGGAGAAGGAGGGCACCGGCTCGGGGCGCTGGATCTACACCCGCGACGGCGTCAGCCTGAGCGACCTGATCCTCCAAGAGCTGGATATTGTCATTGAGGAGCCCGCGACGAGCTAGCCGACAGCTCGGCACGACCGCCTGTCCGCCACGCACGAAATCCTGTATTATCGCTTTAGCTCCGCCCCCCCCAGTCCCTCCCAGTTTGAATGTATTATATTCCGACGCTGCCCCGACCACACACCGCGACCCGTGCAAGCCCATTCGCAAACCGCCCTCACCGCAGACAAAGCCCCATGCTCCTGTTCAACATGGCAACCGTCATATCATAGTGCTCGAGTGCCGTCGCGCTATCCTCCCTCATGCCGTCCCTGCAAACGTCAGCCTCCACGGGCAAGTAAAAGAAAAAGAAAACGCAAAATACAAACTCACTTCTGCGTCCTCCTGTGCAAGAGCGCCCTCCAGCTCCTCACGTCGCGGGCCCTCTCCCCCCTCACCCTCAGCAGATTCTTCAAGACCGAGTGCTCCAGCCCCCTCTCCCTCCGGGCCGCCTCGAGAAACCACAAGGTGCGCTTCACGCCCTCGGCGTCCAGTGCCCGCGCCTCTGCAAACGCCGCGCGCAGCTGGTCGCGGGCAATGTAGCGCGCCGGAGACGAGTACTGCACCGCCCGGAGCAGCCCGCGGTACAGGTGCCGGTAGGCGTGGATGACCTGGCTGGCCATGCTGCTCGTGGCCGTAGGCGTGGGCGTGGGCGGCTACCAAAGCTCCGGCGTGCGAAGCAAAAGCTCGTGGAGTTGCTAGTTGCAGGAGACGATTAAACCACCCGAGCGAGTGAGGCAAGTGGAATGGGGCGGGGCCGTGCAAAGACATCCAGAACGCACTGTACGAGAACTTCCGGCTGCGACTCACGCATTCACTTGCACCGGCAGGGAACAAGGCAAATGTAGGTTGACAAGACTTTGACTCCAAAGATTTTTCTTTTCGCGAAAAGGTATCTCAGCGCTCGTGCTCCCGGGGAGGGCTGCCGTGCAAGCGCCTCTGTTCCCGTCTAAACTAGTACAAACAAGCATCGCTCGTCTGAGCGACGCGACGTGGAATCTCTTGTGTCAAACGCCAATTAGTGTCAACGCCTCGTCATGTATATCCGCCTCTGTTGGCGGTCCCGGATCGTACACCCAACGCCAACTGAAAGCGTTCCAAAACCTAGCCACGACCGAGGTTCCGTGGCGAATAAATTCTACTCCAACAAGGACGCTGAATGCCTGTCCATACGCTCTGCCACTTGTTTGGTCTATATGCAAAAATTCTAATCGCGAAAAGGCTCTCTTGCTTGTTTGTTTCTTGGGTCAATCATCGTTGCGGCGGCCCTCATCCTGACCCAAAGGAGCATACCGACCCTGGCTGCTGCGGACGCTCGGCGACCGGCCGCGAGCTACGACTCTGGAGAGCCAGCCACCGACGCTTCGGTCCTCGCCGCCGCCCGTCTGGATTTGTGATTTCCGATCGTCGTCTATTTCCGCGGCGGCATCAAGTGACATTCCGGGAAAGTCTCTCGACGGGCCAGGTGAGCCGGCTCGGATGAGGGATTCGGTGTCGGCATGGAGGGATGGGGTGCCCATGACCGTGCTAGCATCACCAAAAATGGAATCCATTTCTTCGAGACGCACGCCACAAGTCTCGGGGTAGATGAAATACACTGAGCAGCCGTGTCAGAAGACGCCCGTGAAGAAGCTGTTAGCGGGCGCGCATGGCTCCACTTACCAATCACAAAGGAGACTGTGCAAAAGAATGCATGGACGAGATAGAGCCGCCATTTGATCCATTCCTGCAGAATCGGTGTCATCTCGCCAACCAACCAATTGAACGCCCAGTTCGTGGCCGTGGACAAGCTGGCACCCTTGGAGCGAATGCTGAGAGGGAGGATCTCAGGTGGGTATAGCCATGGAATCGGCCCCCAAGAGTAGCCGAAGGCTGCGTTGTAGATCATGACGAACAAGACCACCATTCTCGGTGTCCATTTGACATCGAGGTAGATGAAGTAGGAAATGAGTGACAAAGAAATAGTCATGGCAACTGCGCCGGACAGCAGAATGGGCCTTCGACCCCATCGATCCACCAGATACCAAGGCGGGATTGTAGACAAGAGGTAAGTAATGCCGTTCAAGCCCGTCATCAGAACAGCATCGTGTCCAACCCAACCTGCCGACTCAAAGACGTAGGGAGCGTAGTAGGAGATGACGTTGATGCCATTCAGCTGCGCCAGGGCTTGCGCAGACATGGCGATGAAGACGCGTGTGGAATATCGTTTGAACATGTCCGAGTATGTCCGTTCGCCTTCTTGTCGCTGGAGAAGCACATTCATTTTGATTTCGCGATATTCTTCTCTGGCCTTGGGGTTGTGAATATCACCGCCTCCGTACAGATTAGCGATGACCACCATGCCCTCCTCGTCGTGGTCATTGTCAAGAAGCCATCTGGACCAGATTAGCACTGTAAATGAAAAGCATCTGCGTCCAGCGCGGATACGTACCTCGGAGACTCGACAATGATCAAGCTGCCAAGACCGAGAAGAGCTCCCATGATACATTGCATGAGAAGAGGGACTCTCCACGACAAATCGCTGTCGATGAAGCCGCAGCCGTAGTCTACCCAGACCGAGGTTGTGTAGCCGATAATGTTGCCAGAAAATTCTATGCAAGCAAGTTTTCCACGGTTGTGAGGAGGGGAAATCTCGGATTGGTACACGGGCACAATGGTAGACAGCATGCCAACACCAACACCAGCAATGATTCGGCCAAGCATCATCATGGCCATGGAGGTTGCCAGTGTCTGTAAAGCGCCGCCAACGAAGAATATGCAGGAACCATACAGGATGGTACGCCTTCGGCCAATGATGTCTCCGACCCGGCCGACGATTAGCGAGGAAATGAAGGCGCCAATCTCCAGAATTGCCACCATGGTACCAACATGGGCTTTGGAGGGGTGGTTGAAGTAGTCGATGAAGTGAGGGCCACTAAGGGGGGGAAAAACAAGGGAAATATAGTTAGTAATGTTGCAAGTTATGGGATGGCTTGGAGAGGGGCGTACGTGATGATGCCCGACATGACGCCTTGATCATAGCCGAACAGAAATACGCCAAGAGAGACAAATATGCTAGTGAAATAACTTTGAAGAATCGTGTCAGTACGTTGGCTGCGGATCAAGTGGTTCGCAAAAGGTGCGGTGGTGTCTCGTACAGCAGGGCCTTGCCGGTCAGGCCATGGATGGAACCCGATGGTCCCGACATGATTGCTCCGATACAGCGCTGGGCTCGCGAGGGAGGTTGCGGTTGAATGTAGGGGATTTCAATGGCCTCCTTGTGAATAGTCGGCGGAAGCGACGGGGATCGATGGTATTGCTCAGACGGGGGGTCGCGTATGCGAACCTGTTTGGCGTGTTTGGGCTGACGCTTCTGCACGCCGGCGAGGAGCTCTTGCTCGAGCTCTTCGGGCAGCTGAAGACGCACAGGGTCGTGCTCGTCGCCGAGTTGATCACCAATATCGCCGGTGTCAGTCCAGGATGACTCGGAACTGGAGGACTGCCGACGATGACCAGAGGCGGCGTGGCCCGGAAAGCCGAGGAGTGAAGCGGCGTGGGAGTCTTGGTCGGCGGGAGATCGGGCAGGGAGGGTCCGTAACGGAATGTTGGAAGGGAGACGAGACGGAGTTGACGGAGAAATTATGGCGATCTGGGGCTGTTGAGCAGCAGCACCCACCTGCGTCTCAATTGATCAGGCACAGAGGAAGAGGAGAGGGGAGGTGGATGGAGGACGGGGTGGTCACTGGTGACCGCAGCCAGAGACAAGGTTTCCAACCGCCAACGAGTGGATAGTTGGATTTTTGTCTGGTCTGTGGTTGGAGTGAGTCTGGTGCTGCAGAGAGACTGAATGGCCAACCCCAGACCCCAGACTGCGGTTCTGCGGTTGTGGTTGCGTCAAGTTATGGTGGTCTCAGGCGGCGCCGGCCGGTGCTGGCACGGGCGGAGAGGGCAGAGCTGGAGGGCCTGGGCCGCCTGGAAGACGTGGGAACCGGCGACACGTCGGACCAACCAGTAGACAAGCAATGACAACACACGCACGCGCGCCCGCACACAACCGCACTCACACACTTGGCGCGAGTCGGGGCAGGCCGATGGATTGATGCCAGGCTGCGGATAGGCGGCGCGCAATCAGATGACCAGTTTGCATCACCCACCGTCAACCACCGTACTTCTTGTCCGGGTTTAGCCGGATTGATTGACGCGCGATGATGTCGAGAGGCGGCGAGAAGCGGAGCAGAGAGCCAAGGGCAATGTCGGGTCAAATGCGACGGCGTCGCCAGAAGCTGGAAGCGGGGGGGTATTGCGCACAACAAGCGACCGAGGAAGACGATGTGAGAGACGGAGAGAGAGAGAGAAAGAGAGAGACAGAGAGAGCGAAAGATAGCAGTGGCGTTGGATGGGGGAACACAAATGCCAACTTTCGATCAAGAGAGGGGGAGAGAGAGCAAAATTCAAGAACGGAGCAGCTGCACAGGACAGGACAGGACCAACACGGATATCAATCACAGCCTCGCAGGAGAGAAAAGTTGGACTGACTGACAGCCCAGCCCAGCCAAGCCAGGCTCTGCAACAACAAAGCGATGGCAAGAGGCAGCAGTTGAGCGGGTAAAATTAGGGGCACAGGGGCACGCATATTGGGGCTGCCTCAGCCTGCCGCTGCCGAGAACGGGCATACATGGATTCTGGTAGCTGAAAAATAATGATACGCAGTGCTCCGTACTCCATACTGCTACAAGCAAAGTACAGAGTACTCCGTTGGAAGTCTGTCTCGGTCGTAACTGCCACTCGACTTCTCCTGGCCTCGTCGACTCCTGATTGGCTCCCGCTTGTTCCGCTGGAAATACACGTCAGATGTTGCTCGTCGATGGCAACGTGCAGTATCGTCAGTGTAGGTGCCTTTTATTTCCCATTTCCATGCAACATTACGTTTGCCAATTAGCCTCGTGCATCATCTGTGCGGCCAAGGCTTTTTTTTTTAAAGTTGCTGCCACCACAACGCTGCTCCTACTTGGTCCCGCTACGCGAGCTGACATCTGTGCCCTGGCTCCATCGATCGCGGGGGACGGCAATGTCGGGACTAGGCAAATACCTACAAGTTCCTAGTTACGCCGCTTAAGTACTTAAGTAGGTAATGATGTATAAATCACTGCAGAGCATGGCGTGGCATGGGGCTGGTGCCGGTGGTACGTATGTACGGATCACTTGCACTCTCAATTTTGCCCTCTTGCACACCAAAGAGGCTGCGCGGGAGTGCTCCGTTTTGTGCCGGCAAAAAAAGCCCACGAGGCTGAGACATGCTTGAGACGTGCAAAAAAAATACGTAATATCCCGCGTCTAGCCACTTCGACACCCTGCATGCGACATTGAAACTAAATCCAAGTTACTCAGCAGCTTTCATCCACCCCCGGAATCATGCTCTTCAGACTCTGGCGTCCTCACCTCTGCATTCTTCTGGCTGACTCCTTGCGCCCTGTCCAACGGTTCCTTGCCCGCCGAGCCGTCGCTGCCCGCAGTTCGATCGCACAACGTCTAAAGTGGCCGTGATTACTGTCAAAGCACAAGCGATGAACCGTGTGGCAGGCTGCGCCGTCAACAAATCGACATCGAACTCGCCACCGTGGGTAAGAAAAGCACCGTCCAAGAAACAAGTCGGCCCCGACGATAGGTGCCAGCGACGCGAGCTTGTCCATGGGCAAGACGAATGTCAACTCGTCATGGTGGACGGACTGCGCCAACCGTCCCTCTTTGATTGTTTGCCACGGGATCACGTCGTGCGAGCCTACAGTATGCTTCTTGAGACCAGCGCGGACTCGAGGACGTTGCGTCCTAGGCAGTCCTCCTGATCCGGACATGCCGTCTCCGCAGTCCCAGGCCTTCTCCCTTGAAGGCGGTACTTGCTTGATATTGTCAGGCTGGATTGAATCCCGCCTACCTGAAGCGACCCGAGGTTCCCCTCCTTGCGCATATCTCACAGCCCGCTGCTGGTCTGTTTGCTCTCCTGGTTCTACTTGCCGAGGACAGTCGATGGATCCATCTCGGGCTTTTGGCTCCAGCAACAACACCAGTTGGCGTCATCGTCTGCTCCCGCTCATTGCTGCAGCATTTCCAGCTGAGCCATCAAAGCTTCTTGACCTCCCCCGTTAGCCAACATCTCAAGGGCGCGGCAATATCGTTCCACTCCGACATGTTTTTGCTGACGTGCATCAAAAAAGGGCGCTGCGAAGCGAAAAAGTATAATACTGAGCAGGTCTAGCCATGCCTCATTGAAAAAGAGACAGTATTCTTTGCCATCTATCTATACGACGCTCTGTAAATGCCAAAATTACCACAAAATATACATGCACGACAAACAGCCTCCACCCCTTCTTTACGCCCGGCACCTCAGCCAGACGCAACCTTGACAGCCCGGCCTTCCTCGGTATCGAGAAACTCCCGGCTAAAAGGATAGTCGATGTAGCCAACGGGACTCTTTGGAGTGTAAAACGTGTCCCTGTTGTACTCGTTGAGCTGAATCCCGTTCTTGACCCTGAACGGCAAATCAGGCGTCGCGAGGAAACGCCTGCCAAACACGACGACAATGTCCTTGTCGCGATGCTCCTCATCCACCAGGCTCTTGGCAGTCTGTGGCAGGAACCCGCCGGCAACCAGGAGCGGACCGTTCCACAGCTCGTACGCGAAATCCAGGCTCTCAGAGCTCTTGGCCTTGACATCGGTGTTGCCCGCAACTCGAGACTCGACCAGATGCAGATAGGCAAGGTTCAACCGGTCCAGCTTCTGGATGACGTCGGTGAACTGGGGCACGGGGTCGGCCATGCCCATGCTGCCGTATTTGCTCCAGGGACTGAGACGCACGGCCGTCCTCTCCGGGCCGATGGCCTCAGCGACGGCCGTGGCAACCTCGACGGCGAAGCGGGATCGGTTCTCGACGCTGCCGCCATACTCGTCGTCGCGCTGGTTGGAGACGTCCTGCAGAAACTGGTCGATCAGGTACCCATTTGCGCCGTGGAGCTCGATGCCGTCGAAACCGGCGGCAATGGCGCTCTTGGCGGCCGCCACAAACGCCTCCTTCCTCTGCTGAATCTGCGCAAGGCTCAGCCTGTGCGGTTTGGGGGAGTCGGCGGTGGTGGGGATGGTGTCCGCTCCCACGACCGAGATGCCCTCCTTGGCGGCGACGTCGGGTTCAGCGACACGGCCTAGGGACCAGAGCTGGGCGAAGATGTAGCTCCCGTTTTCGTGGACCGCGTCTGTGACTTTGCGCCAGGCGTTGATCTGGTCCTCGTTCCAGATGCCCGGGACGTTGTCTTGGCCGCCGTCGAGGGGAGAGATGATTGTGGCCTCGGTGACGAGGAGAGTTCCCGGGACGTGGCTGCGTTGTCTGTAGTAGTCTACCGTGATGGGCAGCGGGACGTGGTCATCGGAAACGCGGAAACGGGTGAGGGGCGCGAGTGCGAGACGGTGCTTGACGGTGATGTTTCCTATGGACAGGGGCTTGAACAGATTCGAAGAGGCCATTTTGGAGCGAGGCTTTCGCGTTGCCACGGTTTAGTTAGATGTCGGCTGGTTGGCGATTTGGCGTACAGGTCCTCAGGTTTTCAAATGTCGAATGGCTGATATCTTTCTGGCGGGGGAAAGGAAGCGGACTCGTGGCCCTTTATTATAAGTCGACGAGACGGGACGAGATTCGAGCGCGAGTCAACGCTCAAGTAATCCATCGCCACGAACTTGAAGCATGGCCGTGTAGTTTATTAATCAGTCACGCCATTGAATCCCCCGGGGTCCAAATGACGGCATTCCCCTGTGACTAGGTGCTGCTAGTCTCTAATGCAACAAAAAAGGGCCCAATCGTGTTGACCGTGCGCGATGTCGGGAGCCTGGATCTTATGTAATCAAGATGCTCACCGTTACAAAAAAAAAAAACTTTACCGGTCCAGACTTTAAAGTATTGCGACGATCAAGGGGCATTTCGGAAAGGGGGCCCAGGTCCGCTCTGTCGACGGCCCCGAAGCTAGCGGCGACCAAGGTTCATCGGTGCGAGCGATTCTGAGGGCCAACGGGATGAATAATATATCTAGTGGCACTGTATGGGTACTGTGGGGGAACCATGGTCCGTGCAGGCCATCTTAGTAAGTGACGCCAGAAGCAGTTGGAAGAATGCCACAGTAAAAGGACCACCAGAAAGAGAGGCAAAAGGACATGCAACACGAGCTCGAACACAACGACGACTGATGGGTACGGACAGCCTGGCACACTGTCTCGCCGCCGCTCTTCATGCCCATTAGTTCCGGGCGACCATGGCAAAACGCCACAGCCAGGCAGGGCGCGTTTGCGAGCCTCTCGCGTCTTCTGTCAGCCCAAAGCACACACACCGGCCGAATGTATGACCAAAAGCGCGGTCACCCAGGGGAGACGACCTCGCAGAACCAGAAGCTGGCCACGAGTTACAACGCCAAGGAAAGCAGAGCAGGGCAAAATGTAGCACATCACTATAATGCTGAAATGATCAACTGGTCAACGCCTCCCAATTCATTCATCGGTCTATATTCTCACAAATAATTCATGTGATATACCACCAAAGGACTCGCGCAAGATCTCAAACGCATAGCGCACGGCTCCGTCTCCAAAAGCACCATCCAAATTATAACCACACACCTCTTCTTTACAGCTTGTTTGCCAGATATCCCAAATAACCAGTGTACTGGCATATCCAAGTCCTCGACCTATCACAAGCTAGCGAGCGCTCCTGTCTCCCCTTAGCTAGAAAAATTCTGCTCTAGAGGCGCCTCTGAAAGCAGGTTAGATGGCATATAACAGCGTCGTGAATCAAATCGTACATCCACAGCGTTGGTCCTGGGTTAAGAAAAAAGAAAAAGAAAGCCCAGCCGCAGTAACCGAGACCACAAACGTCAGGAACCCGAAAGGAGAATATCGAATATTCAAGAGACTCGTTATCGCTTTTCAGCCGCAATCTTGGTCTTGACCCAGCCTTCAAGTCCGCCGCAAGCAATGATTTCTTGCACGTTGGGGGGGATCTCGCCGACTTTCTGCTCCCATGAGGAGCCATCCTTTTCGGTAACGACAACTTTGGAGCGGCGGATATCCCAGAGCAGCCTCCACCCAGTGCGGCGGGTCAGGACTTTCTCAGTTTCGTCCTTGTACGTTTCGCGGAGACGATGTACAAGTGCTGGCAGTTCGACGCCGAGGAGAGCATTGTTGATGCTGTTACGGCTGAAGATGTTTCCGAAACTACCGGCAACGACGAGAGGAATCTGTTTCGCTAAGATGGCAGTCGCAGCTTGTTCTCTTGAGGATCCCTAGGTCAGGTCAGACATTGCTCCCCACAACAAGATTACGCGGGTGATATTACACAGCCAAAGTTGAAGCCTGTCACCAGGATATCACCAGTTTTGGTGGTTGTGCGGAATTGAGTGTCGTAATTCTCCATGCACACCTCGGCCATTTTCTCCTTGGAGATATCATCCTGGTAGGTGTATTTCCCCCTACAACACTCGGTTAATTGTGTGTTTGCTTCTCCAAGTTTTGGCGAATGATAGGCAATGTCTCGGGGGGGGGGGGGGGGATGTTATCTTCGTCACAGAAGACGATTTCGCCTTCAATTCTCTCGGGAAAGCCAGGGAGAATCTCGGTCAAAGCTTCATCCTGAGGCGCGGCAGGGCTGGATGACTGTCCTGTGGCAGCGTCTCCGGCGCCCTCAGCAGTGGCGATCATACCATCAACCTCGAAAAGAAGCTTGTCAAGAGCAGCCTCCACAGACCGAGCCTTGTCGGCGACATAATCACCGCTGCCCTCGCCGATGATTACCTTCTCGACAGCCTCGGGCTTCTGGTACCAACCAGCACCACATATCTTACCCCGAAGAGCGCTGGCTGCGACGGTTTCCGGACTGGCTAGGTAGGCCTTTGCCTCTGAGAAATCCTCAGTTAGTTGCTGCCGTGTAGGAAACGCCTCTACAGCTCAGAGACATGTTTAAGGAGCACTGTTGTTCAAGAAGCTGTGTTCGAGCAATAAACCACGCTTGAAATTGCTGAAAGGAGAGATTAATTTGATAGCACGGGGAAGTTCTTACTGGTAGATCCCATGCGACCTTTGAAGTTTCGGTTGGATGCACTTATCCCGACCTCGCCGTCTTCAAGAAGACCAGTACCCTAGGACATGCACGGTTAGTCATGGACTTCTTTTTATTTCGAGTTTTGCGGGGTTGGAACTTACAAGACCAATACAAGGACCACAGCCTGGAGGCAGAACTTGGGCTCCAGCATCAACCAAGACCTGCCAGTCGCCTGCCTCCTCGGACAACTCCTGCTCGGGAACGGAGGCTGCAGCAATGTAAAGTTTGACACCGGGAGCAATTTTGGCGGGCTCGCCATCCTTGGCCGCCTCGCGGAAGACACGAGCGGCGGCAGCGAAGTCCGAGCTCCGTGCGTTGGTGCAGGAAACGAGGCTGTCGTCAATTGTTAGCTGGACCTTATCAGTTTGCTGAACTGGAGCTGGATGAAATACTAAGCCTTGTCGACCGGGATATCCTGAGACTCAAGAGTCCGGAGAGGGTGAACAAGTTTCACAGAGTTAGGCCCAGCAACAAATGGGGATAGTGTAGATAAGTTCCTAGGGCATAGAGTCAATGATGGCCTTGAACGGGTGTATGTTCTTTCAGGTTTTATTTCTGTAGCGGTGCTCATGGGACGTATCCCAGGGGAAGAAGCCTGACGCGGCAAAAAGACTTACAGGTAAAGTTCCTTGGCATAAGAAGCGCCGGGGTCGGCAACCAGCTCGTCTTTGACAAGCTCGTCGATGCGCTCGTGGTTGATGCGCTCCCGGAGGGGGCTCTTGGACATGGCCGCGGTGGTAGCTTTGGCGCGGTACCAGGAGATGAGTTTCTTATCCACTGGAAATAGCCCTGCGTCATGTTAACACCGGCTCGTCTGTTTCCTTTCGCCTTCCACTGACCACTCAAAGCACCCCACTCAGTACTCATGTTCGCAATTGTCAAGCGATCATCTATAGGGATGCTTGCCAAAGTCTCTTCGGACCCTGTGAATTCGAGGGCATGGTTCAAAACCTCGTCCTGGTTGAGTAATCCAACTAAAGAAACGATCACGTCTTTGCCAGTGACGCCGCGGGGGAGGATGCCAGTGAATGTGATCTTGGCAACTGGAGGTATTCTGCCACATCTTGTGTTAGCAACGGTCGATTCGTGTGTGCGTCACAGATTTGTGAGTACAGTCGCAGGAGCAACATTCCTGCGAGATTTTGGGACGGAGATCTGCTCCTGAGATGTGCGGAGCAGAGGAAAGAGGGCCGGGGAGGATACTCGCCTCCACCAAGTCTTGGATGTACTCCATATGCTAGCGGCGTCGGTTCTTACGACGGGTGTGCCAAGCGCTCCGATACCACCATAATGACAGGAGTGGCTGTCACTGGCGACGGTCACAGTCCTTGGCCAGGCGTGTCCTGTTCATCTGTTACCATACCGCCCGTCAACCGTGTGGGCTAGAGGCTCTACCTTCTTCGACCATGATTTGATGGCCTATCTGATAGTTAGCAGGTCCGCCATTCTGAACTTAGTACCTTACTGGCGAGTTTTGTATACCTATCCCTCTTTTTGCGGGGTAACTACAGGTTTGTCAGTCAACGAACGCTCGAAGGGTTTAGGTTTTATTTTTATTTTGTTGTGGTTGGGAGTGTCTCAGTAGTGAGATATGTCCCCCGGGGAGGAACTCGTCAGCGAGAGAACACTTACAACTTAACACCATGCCGGCCAGCAAACTCCTCCACTGCAGGTTCCAGTCAACAATTTCCGTGTACGACGATATTCAAGAGGGTGTCTGCGGAGCTATCCACCCAAGGGGGAGAGATCAGCTGCGAGAGAATACTGACCCAGTCTGTATTTTTTAAGGTTTGCAGGTGATTCGTTTTGCACGTCGTGATCAAGAGTCTTCCAATTAACCAATGTTCATTGCTCCCGGCCGCATACTTGTAGACTCACCATAATGACCTGGCGGCTATCATGGATCTTGGAGGCCCCAATTTGCATGAACTTCATGGCGACTGGCAGGGAATTGTCGTGGGTCATGACCCTCTCAGGTTTGAGCGTGACATAGTCGCCGGCCTTGACCTTCTTGCCGGGGGGGAGGTCCGTGGCGTATCGTTGGACAATCTTTTCGGTGAGGGTCTGGGGGTAGGCCTGGCGGGAGGGCGGCGGAGAGGACCCGAAGGCTGCGGCGGCGTCAGGGGCGCTTTCAAGCTGGGAGTGAAAAGCATATTGCCGTCGGTCACCGGTGGAAAGATAGGCGCGGCAACGAGACACGGCGGCGGAAAGAGGTCGAGGGCGGACGACAAAGGTCTGAGGCTGTAATCGTGTGCCGACATTGGGAGCAATAGCTCTCCGCTGGAGACGTCGCCATGTGTGAGTCAGCATTCGCTGCGTCAATTGGGAGAGGGAGCTTTGTTTTGCTCTGGAGAAAAAAAGCAGCGAGACAGCTGACGGCAGAGGAACTCACAAATGCAGCCATAGCCATGATGGACACTTATTGCCGTAAATTTGGGCTGGCGTGGACCACGCTGGAGTGACGTTGGCTGCGAGACGTGTGTACGTCGAGAAATTCCTTGTCGGGTAGAAAGCACACCAAATAGGAGGCTCCTGATTGGCCAGATGAACCAGAGGTGCCGCGGTCGCACTGGTCCGTGTCCGATCTCGGCATGTCAGGGGTGAGTCCCTGGTGTCACGTGACAGGACAGGATGAGCGAGCAACTATAAACTGTAAACTTGGCTCGGGGGAGGAAGAGACGAAAAATTTCCTCCCCTCTTTCTTCTCATGCTACTTTACATCCTGTCTCCTCGAGTGATTAATTCCAAAATCTCATTTGCATTGTCTTGGTCTGTAGAATCGTGGGGGCTCTGTTGGTATGGCCATGCCTAATATACGTTTCCCTATGGTGTCGAATGCTCCTGCAGCACAGCGACAGCCAGGCGATAACAGGGCGAAGCTCAGTACGCAGGGTGGTGTTGCGAAGAGAGAGGCAGAGTCTGGCACCAAGAGGCCGCAGTACTGAGCTGTACTTGGTCAGAAGCCAGGCAGGAAGGAAATGTTGTCAACTGGCTCGTGCAGGACGCAGACTCACTGCCCCACGCCCATGAAGCAGCCAGGAAGTTGTCGAGACTCGGGAGTCGGGATGCCGCGTCCGCACTGTCAACTTTCCTGACCCAAACCCGAGAACCGAAACGGCCCCGCCGTGGCCCGCTTTTCCCGTCGGCCTCCGTTTTACCACGCCCGATGGTTCGGAAACCAGGAAGTATTGTCTTGGCGGCGAGTCAGCCCCTACAGTGCTCGGAACAGAGGCCGCTGCATATACATAGATTGAGCATGGCGTTCTACGGGCGGACACGACTCATGAATTCACCATCTGCACCAACTCCCTAGCGTATCTGCCAATATGAGCTTGACTGGTTTGTCTCGTAGGAACCCTAGCCCTTACAGTTCGATTATCAGATTGACAACAGCGGTTGTGCAGGACGAGCGTGACTGGCATGATGTGACAGAAAGCCCCGGTGTCGCTGGTTCCGCTGGTTCTGCCAACAGTAGTAGGGTAAGCCACATATAACGGGAGCATCGATAACAGGATAACAGCGTTATTTTATCGTTGCGGAGCTTGGTAGGGCTTTGTTACATAAGCCATTGACTATAGGGTTTTCATTCAGACACCACATTTCAATGTTTCGGCATGTCCGGTGATATGGGGCGATAGCAAGGAGCTATGCACTGTTGGAGCAAGCGCAGCTCGATTCGCATATAACACGTTTCGTGTCAAGGACTAGCCCTGCAGGCGTCTGCATGTAGGCGTTACTAGTAACTATTAACCACAAACGCAAGGGGAAAAGGGAAAAGGGAGGGTTCCTCTATTTCCCCTTTACGTGTGACGAGCCCGACCAACGAGGACTACAAGGTGCCTGTGTGTGTAACCTGACAAGATGACTGAGGCAGCAAGAGTACATGGCACGTGGGCAGGCTGGGACCCGAGTTCTCGGGAAATTAGTCCCTGCAGGACGTTGCTCCTCTGCAAGCTAGCTCCATCCCTATGTGATGTGGTTGATAATCTCTCGTAAAAAAAAAGAGAGCAATTGTTGGCACAGACGGCCCCTCACAACGTCCTTGTCGGGCAATAAATACCGACTCCCCACAGCATTCCTTGTCGAGTTATTGTCGCCTGAACTTGTGGGCTTTAATATATCTACTCAAGTGGGTAGCTGCTTACGGAGTAATAGCTCGGGATAAATTCAACGATAATGGCTGGGATTCCCGAGAGAGAAACTCGTTGGAATTTGCAGCTTAAATTCCAAAATCCCTGTCTTACTATGTACAATCAATTCACTTATTGTTATCAGCGCTGCGTGTTTCTTTTCAGCAGTAATCGCCTACACTGCGTACTCTGTGCATTCGAGTGCCTGTCACACGGATGTTGGTGACACGGGGGCTATCATCAGAAGACGCAGCCCAGAAGGCTGCTGCAGACGAGCCCTTGTCACGCCTCACCCCCCCCCCCCCTGGCGAAGCTTCCATTGTAGATTTTCAACCTTGCACATATCACAGGCAGGGCGGCCACGAATGGGGAGCAATTAGTCCGCGGAGTCCAGCAGGCCCTCGCGTTGAAATAACATCATAAAGCGTCACACAGGCCCACGAAGCCCAGTATCTGGCTGAATTACAAACGCCTTGACTAGGAACTACGCGGCACTGAGCCCCGTTCTCTTCAGGTTGCTTGCACCATGAAACTAAGGCATTGGGTTCTGACGACGTTGGCCTTCTCGCTTGGGCTTTGCCACAGCCGGCCAGGGCCAGGAGCCAGCGTCGAGGCGACACTTGAACGTCGCCAGTGGGGCAACAAACCGGCCGGTGACTACGACGAGGCGTCCCCGAGACACGTCTACCGCGGCGAGGTGCACAGGACACCGGAAAAGGTCAAGGAAGAGGGCGGCTTTTATTCGCGAGGCCTGCAAAAGTCACTGTCGGGTGGACTCGACGCGCATGAGCTCGAGGAGGGCAGCAGCCTCTTCCGCCATGCGGCAGGAGAAACACCCGAGGTCACCCGCTACGTGTCGACAAGTGCCGATCCTGCTGTGTCGCTTACATTTGCCGTTGACGATGACAATCCGACTGTAAAGGGCTACATCTACAAGATCCACGCCGACAAAAAGATGGTCGACGTGAACAGGTCCCTTGGAAAGTACTCACTGTATCCCGGGCAGTATGAGCACGCAGCACTGGGCTACATTCCCTACGAGCAGGTTGAGGGCTGGTGGTCAGTCACATATGGCGAGGACTTTTCTGACCGGGAAACCGGGATGAAGACACAGAAAGAGCTGCGCCAGGGAACGTTCAGGGGGTTTCAAAGGAACCCGACGTTTGACTCGACGAGCTTTCAGAAGCTAAGGGGGAAAGGCCCGGCGCCGCAGCTCGCTGGGTTTCCTCCACTGTCGACGGCATGGGAGGAGGAAACGTGGCGCAACTACAGGGGTCTTCGGGTGAGCACCAGTCTCGACGACATGCTCTTGGAGGCATGCCGCGGCAGGGACGGGTGCGATCTGGAAAAGATAACTCCCAAGACACCCGCAGGTACGCCTGGGAAGGCACCGGGGGCACCAAAGGGTCCAGTCACCGGTGCCATGGACCCAACGAAGCGAAAGAGGCTCCTGACGGGATTCCGTGCGTACCAAAGAGCAGGCACACTCGCGGGTTTCAAAGTTGTGGCGCCGCTCATGCGTGGCGTGCTGGATTTGCTACGAGGGTGGGATCACCCCGTGGGCGAGGCTGTGAGATGGTTGGATGACCATATTGACAACCTGCAAGAAGAGTATTTCGGGCCGCGGAGGAACGATATCAGCGGAAACGACAACCAGGCCGCTCTGATTAACTTTTTCAGGAAGATATTCTGGGCGCTACAGCTCAACAAGAAGAAGCCAGAACAGCTGAAGCTCCTGTCGTATGGGCGGAAGAACAAGATGCGGCTCGTGAGCGTCAACGCCATTCTGCGTACCTGTGATCGTGTGGACGAGCAGCCGCCGGAGGAGCCACAGCTGGGCATGAAATTACAGAACGCCTGCCATAAAATGCGCAAGGAGACGTGGGAGGTTGAGGCGCCGACAGAAGAAGAGCTCAGGATAGGGCGCGAGGTCTGCATAAACTGTGCGCTCAAATGGGAGCCAGATGTTGGCTTCTGCAGGGACAAGAACGACACGATTATCTGGCCACGCGAGCCGATTCAGCAAATGCCGTGTCACGATGACAACCCCAACTGTGGCGGTGGGACAAACGCCACCGAGCTGCAGATAGGACAAGCTACTTGTGAAGCCTGCGGTGATGACTGGGATCCGGAGGAGGGTAAATGCTGGGATGTTGCCGGGCTGCTCCTCTGGCCATGGAGGATGTGCGCTTTTCGGGGTGGGCGCGTGGAGTGCGAATATACGCATAGGATGCCAGAGTCGGTAACGGAGATGGTGGAGATTACGGAGGAGGAGGAGAATGAGCGGGACGCACCCGAGACAGAGAAGCCGGCGTCCAAGATGATCAAAGGTTTACGGGTAAGACGCATGTGCCCTCCCCGTCATATGCAGTATCTGCTCTGCTTACACAAGCTGCAATGATAGGTGGCATACGGTGACCGACCTCGGGATGCGGTACGCGAAATCGCGGACAAGTCTGATGACATAAATCACGGCTTTGGCGGAGAGTAGGTCACATGTAGCCGCTGCTTCTTGCTCGACTCGAAGAGCCAACTGACGCTCTTCAGATATGTCTGGCTCGTCCCAGAGTACACGCTCGACCCTGACGAAGCATGCACCGCCTTCATGACGTCGACTCGCCAGCCAAAGGAGGGACATCCGAGTGTGACCAAGGGAGCCGAGGGCACTGCGATGTACATCAGGTGCGCCAAGGCCCCAGATGGGGAGAAAATCCGGAGGGCAATGCTCGTCCGGGGACTAGGTTCCGAAGAGAGAGTCAAGTTTTTCGACAACGGTACCTTTGACGGCGAAACAGCCAATCTGAATTGGTATCGCGGCACCGACAAAGCTGAGTTATTGTATCTCGTGTGGTCGTACAGCGAGGGGCAAGCAACGGGGACGGCATGAAGTTTCCCAGGATAGACGAACTCTCAGAGCCATGGTGACGGAGGACCCAAGTCCAATCAGGAGTAGCTACTCCAACTGATTCTTGATCTTATCTTGGCCATGCTGTAACTATCGACATTGACTACCAAAACTCGGAACAGTGAGTGCCATGACAGCAGCAAGGTGGAAAGGAGATGGGCGACCTCCTGTCTACTTGTCTTGCCAGACGTTGACGGGAATACAGATGGCCTGACCTGACCATTCTTTCCTCATTTGATAGACCCGACCGACAAGGGCTATATATTCAAGAACATGCCTGTGTCTGTCACTCGATCGGCTGACCGAGGCATCAACCGAGGCATCAATCCCTTGATGCCTCACGCTTTTGTGCTTTGACGCCCGGACCCACGAGTGGCCTGCGAGGGCATCGTGATGGCCGCAAACCTTACGCATTGCAGCTAGCCATGTGGTTGAGGTTTGACGGCAAGTTCCGTGTAACAATGGGGCTAGAGTAAGCGGAGGTAACACTTCCATCGCCGCATAATTGATTCATTATTGATTTATTATTACACCTTTCCTCTCTCTGCCCATTTCATCTGTCTTCTAGCAATCTGGCCCGGTTCATCATGTTCCGTCGGTAAATATGTCTGGCCCCAAGCCCTGTTCTCAAGTGCTGTTCTACCTCACAGCTGCGAACTGCGAAGCAGAAAAGGCTGTCCAGCACCAGCAAACCCCTCGCCGTGCAGGCTCCGTATTGGGGTATTGGTTTAGGTATTGGCCACGTCCGGTCGAAGTCCAACGTTACGACTCTTGCAACCATCGGGCGTGAGGGCGATGTCTTCGTGGGGGGCTCCAGCACCTCCAGAGTCCGATGCTCATTCGAGGTCAACACAGCCTCCCAGGTTATCATGTTCCATGACAAATCAGCAAGATTCTATTTATTTAACGCGAGCCCCCGCAATCGGCGTAAATGCACTGTGAACTCTATGTAAACCGCGCATATACCTACGCACACGTCAAGTCAAGCACGAATGGCCAAAAGTCGCAGCGAATCTGAGTGGGTATATACGTTGTAGTCCATCTCCATTCAGGCTCGTCTACGACTGACAGCTGGCGTGTCTAGTTGCCCTGCCGAGGGAGACTTCATTCATTCAGTCAACCAATAGACCGGGATGCGGTTGTTTGAAGCCCTGGCTAGGCTGGTCGAAAATCAGGAGCGACTGGATCGAGCCGGAAGAAGCTTCCACCAGTCTCCAAAGACAGAGTCGTCGTCAAAACGCACGAAACCGCGATGTGCGACCCCTGACTTGCCGAGTGAAGAACAGCGCCGCAAGGACCGAGGGCGGGAGATGAGAAGAGACTATCACCGATCTTACCCCTACCGCCAATTCAAGGACCAACTTGTAGAAGAGCAACGCCGCATCACCGCCGCAAGATTTCGTGAAACCCGGGGCGATGTTTCCGGAGCCTTGGGGAGCCTAGCGTCAAACCAGAATGACTACCGCCTCGCGGAGGAGACGGTTATGGAGTGCTGGGCTAAGCAGGGCATCTGGAACGACAAGCGGCAGCCGAAAGGCCGCAGCTGGCGGCGGAGGCACGAGGAACCGCTGGCGCTTGACGCAGACGATAAGCGCGACTCGGAGTCATACTCCCTCTTTCACCTTTGAATACGGGAGGAATGCTTTTTCATTTGGAGCCGCGTAGCAGCTGGCACTGTACATACAGCGGAAATATTGAACCAAGCTACAGTAGACGTTCTATGCTCCTAAAGTCATATTTTTATACTCTTAGTACCGAGAACATCTCCGGCGGGACCCAAAGGACAGATGCTCCCGGCAGCAGCGAACTTGAACCGGTCACTGACGATATAAACTCTTCATGCTGAATGCTGAATGCTGAATTCTGAATATTGCACAGAGGCTTCTCCTGCTTCCGCGACCGCCCCGTGCTTGACGTGTTCGCAGTTCTACTCAGACTACTGCTGGCCCTTTCCAAGCCACAAGGGAGGCGGAGGCCGGCAAGCTTCGCCCGCTTCGGGGGGCAAACAAGGCTGCAACGGCAGTGGCGAAGGCGGCCCCGTGAATGTTGGATATTGGAGCGGACTCGTTGGCTCGATGGCGAAAATCACAGGCAGGCCCTGAGCGTCCTTGACGACCTTGTGCACCTGGTCGGGCTCGTCTCGTTCGTAATTCCCGAGAAGCTTCCGACCCGCTGTTGCCAGAGAGCCCGAGCCCGTCACCATTGGGCGCGCGACGGCAAACAAGGCGGTTGTGTTGTCTACGCCCTCTGTCTTCGGCACCACGACCATGTCGCTGATGTCACGGTCAATCTTGGCCCTGGTCCCGGCGAGAACGAACCTGGAGAAGCTAGAGGGCAGGATGCTGGCGTCTTCCAGGTCCACCACCGTGATGGCGCCCTCGTCATCAAACATAAAGTTGCCCAGCCAGACGTCCGAGTAACAAAACACCATTGGCTCCCGGGCAAGGTTCTCGACGCGGCTCCGGGCCTTGGTCAAGGAAAGAATCTACCGCGCGGAACGAAATGAGCATGGTGCAATATCAAGTTGCCCAGGAGCGGGAGAGGGACGAGGGACTCGCGGCGCGACCCACCAGGTTGAAGTGGTCCTCTAACTCGGTCACATTACGGTAGTGGAGTGAGGCCTGGTTCTCATCAAACAGCTCGTGCCGAATCCTGCCGCCGTTGACTGCGGCAGGCCTCGCGCCCTCTGGTACCGGAATGCGGTGCAGCTCGGACAAGGCAAAGGCGATCTGTTTATATGTGCTGTCTTTTTTTTCTTCGTCATGGCCCGCATCTTGCAGTAGCTGCTCAGCCGTTTGACCCTTGACGTATTCCATGACCAGATACGTTCGGTATACGGGCACCCTCGAGGGGTTGTCTTTATGGGGAATGGCTAGTCGACAGCCGTAGTAGACGGCTGGGACTCTGACTGGTGAGCCAAGACTGCGCAGCCCTTCATAGGCCATTTTTGTTGAAGCGAGCTCATTCCAAATGACGGAGCTCCCATATTTGATCCAGTATGTTGGACATTTTGCATCTGGCGGGTAAGTCAAGCTCGAAGTATAGCCCAGCTCGTGAGTTTTGTTGCAGAGATGCACAAGCTCTGCTGCTGTAGGAAGCGGTGTGGTGATATATTCTGGGACGGGCAGGCCGTGCCACTCCTTGTTCATGTACACTTTTTCCGACATTACAGCGCAATAATTCTGTCGGCTTGGCGTTGAAGGAGTTGACGGGGTTGACCAGGAATTGATGAGGGTGAAGGGTGGGCAGAAGGCAGTTGGGCAGGTGGGGGGCCGCTGGAAGTGAAACCACGTGACTGATCCACTTTCACAGGGTGCTACGATCTATAATTAGCCGCAGGCTGCTGCTCCAGTAGTATTACTTGGTTTGACGTTTGTAAAGTGGGGCTGCACGTTGGATCCACGGCTACGTGATCCATTCCGCGGGCGCTAAGCCCGCCTTGGCGATGCGCGCATTGCCAGAATCGGCAAGCACTGACAGAAAACAGTTCACCTCTGAGTTGGCGCGCATGAATTCGGAGGAGCCATGCTGTCGAAGACGGCTGTTATACGCGACCTTGCGGTCAACCCGGCCTCAACCACATGACTGGCTGCAATGCACAGAGGTTGCAGCTATCACGATGCCCTCATAGGCCACTCAGAGGCTCGGGCATCAAGGCACAAAGGACTCAACAAGGCTTCAGGCATCAAAACCTTAATGCCTCAGTTGCTCGGGTGCTGATATGAGTATCCGCTCCAAGCCCTGATCTATGTGGCCAGCCTTGGGTGCAGCGGCTGTCTGCAGGCCTCAAGGCTCTGTCCATGTACTTCCCTTAATTCTAGCAGTCAACTCCCTTGAAGGCTCGAACACGAGCCACACATGAAAAAAGTGTCCATTTGAATATAACCATGCTGCTTCAAACGTCTCTTCCCTCTTCTCAAACATTACATAAACTTTCTTCTTTCTTACCACCCCGAATCTATCCCAGCTTTCATGCCGACTGTCAAGAATGGACAAGCTGGTCTATCTCGAGGAAGGCTACAATCTGACTGAGAATCCCTATGCGCTGCCGGAGAAATTCATGCGTGAAGCTAAATGCCTCCACTTGTTTGTCGAATTTTTAAAGACAACGACGGAACAGCAACCAGTTCAAGAGAAGAAGAAGGCTGCCAATCATGCCGTCTTTAAACTTGTATTTGAAAAGAACTACGAGGACTTTGCTGGCCTCCGGTTAGAAATGGCTGTCAACTACAACTACAAGAGCAAATCAGAGACTAGTAGCAACGGCCCCGTCAAATACAAATCCGGGTACCTCTGCGCTAAGCCAACCTTGTTCTCAAGACCTTCAAGCAAGACCGCTTCGACCTGTGAGCTGGCCATTGCACGGAATTGGCCGGTCGGCAGTGTCATTCGACTGCTTCTTCATTTTCAAATGTCCCACTTTGATTTTGTTAATCTGCAAGACCGGTATTTTGGGTGTCGTGATTTCGTGTAAGTACTCGGCTTGCTGGATTGGGGCACAATTCTGCTCACTACGTTTAAGTTGACGCCATGATGACTGACGCACCTCTCTCGTAGCTCACAAGCCATTCACGTATTACATAAACAGGGTTTCATCTTGTCTTGCAACATCTCACGCGTCCTCAGCGGCCCCTCTTTGCCAGTCACTGGCATCTACGACGCGCTGGGGCTGCGGTTCGCGCATCGGGGTCGAGTCTTAATGTGCCCCATAGACAAGGGTCGTTTCACCGTTTACCAACGCCATGAGTCTTCCGCCATACCGTATAAAGGCTCCCACAGGGCACATCAGCTCGCGGCATTCATCCCCGAGGCATGATCTGCACATACTCTCGGTTGAGCTCAAGCTTTTCGCCCTGAGTTTCACGATGACCGGTCTGGCAAAGGATGAAGCTAAGGCATTACGCGAGGCCGCAAGCCTGGCTGGAAAGGTCAGCGGCCACGAATGACAAAACATAAATCATGTGCAGGTGCGTTGCTATATTGCTGCTAGCTACTGCTTCGTTTACAAGTTTATTGTAATACTGCGCCTACCCATAGACTTATATACCTCTGTATGCTGGTAACTGTTGCTCATAATTATAGAGAAAAGCTTTGTAGATATGATATTATCAGGATAAGACTTACGTTTGTGCAGCTAATCGAGGCGCAGGGTCTGTATCTACAGTGTAGGGACTCAAGTGTTGATGATAAGGGGGCACATACTGTCATGAGCAGTACAGCTACATTTCACGCACAATAATAAAGTATCGTCGAGCGTTTGGGCAGTCAACATCAAGCTCAGCGTTTTGATATTTATGGCTACGCGGGTCATGCTGCAAATATTTACCAAGCCTTAATGTTAATCCATGCGCATACGACTGCCGTGCCGACATTCGCCATACACTTCTACGCTTTTCTTGAGGCGCTGAGTATCAGCCTCCTTTCCATCTTCGTCTCTCTTGAAGAGAAATCGCGCAACGTGGCCCTCGGCAGTAGTGACAAAGTATTGGAAAGTAGGTTTGGCTTTGTAGATAATGCCATGTATCCGAAGAAGATCGAGAGCTTACTGTATTCCTCTGGGATTGTCGACTGTGTGGGCCACGGGACTGCTTGCAGCACGACAGCATGGCGTATCGGCGACTCGCGTTAAAACGGACTAGTTAATATCAAGCTGGTCTTGTGCTAAATGTGTAGTGTCGAAGCTTGGTATTCTGGGGATGAACAATGTGGAAAAGTCCGTCCAATTGGTCAGCTCACGTGAAGTTTTACAACACTGAAGGTGACCAGAATATATCCGGACACATCTATGCGCATGGAGCACTGATAGAGGAAATTACTCAAAGTGAGATGAAGGAATTTGATGTTGATAGGTATAAAACGTGTACTAGTAAAAGCGAAGAGCAAAAACTAACCCAAACTCAACTATCAAGGGGGACTGCTTCAGCCTCTCGACTCTCACTATTGTTACCAACACACCTTTCTTCAACGTACTCATTGATTCAATTGTGAACTTACCAGAAACTAAACATCTTCTCTCAATTTCTTTTCGAGACTAAAACCATAAAGCCCCACACTTGCTATCTTGGTGTCTTTGGCTGGATCTGCCTTGGCGGTGCCTGCTGCCGTCCCAGTGACAGCATCAACACCTGGTCAGAGCGGCTCAGGCACAGCAGACCTAGACAGACCCGGAATCTATCTGGACCGAGAGGGAACGGCCAAGTCGACAATCACGTTCGTTGGGGTGGGTATAGCCCAGGTTCCCAGGTTATCACGATAAGCTGGTTTCCACTCTACTATTCATGTGATATGTTTTTAGACCTGCTTAGACTCTAGTTCGATTGTAAAGTAAAAAACCGCTGCAGCGTCTCCGCCTTTTTTGTCTCTGTTCTCTCTCATGTGGTTCGAAGGAGTACGTAGTAACTTTTGTGAGACAACATAAGTGGGCTAATTCGTACTAATTGCTTGGCAAAAGAGAGCGCCCTTTTTGACTTAAATACCCGCCGACTTGTACTTGCACAAAAGGCCGCTTGGTTTGGCTCCACAAAACCGGAAGCCGCGACATTAAATATTCCGCTCCTTGTGTGCCATCCTAGAATCCGTCGTCACGCATCGGCAAAGCCAAAGTAAAACTCCGTCATGTCGGCCTCATGCCAGCCATGGCCGTGTCAATTTCAGCCGGGGAGTTCACCCTGGGTTTCATTGCCGGATCTATTTTCACCGTGACGCTGGCGGCCTGTTTAGCGTTCGCACTTCTCCGACCTAAGGATATTTACGGACTAGGCCATTGGAAGCTCAATGTGAGGACTCCATTTCGGTCCCTGTGGATGAATCTCGGATTCTGGTAAGTCCTCCTGGGCACGTGATGAAGCCCAAGCGTCCTAACTTCCGCGTTCCACAGGACCGCAGATGACGGCAGCCGCATTGACCACCTTGATGTTGCGGCGCGGGCTTTGCTGGAGAAGATTGTCCAAGCTGCAGGCCTCCTCGTCGAGAACCAGTCGGGAGAGACTACCTCAAAGACCAACGACTCCGTCGCCGTGTTGGACGTGGGATTTGGGTGCGGCGACCAGACTGTTGCGCTCGCAGAGCTTATACAGGCCTCGTCACGGCCACAATTTCGCTATGTCGGGCTCACCCTGAACGCGGAACAGCTTCAAGCGGCACAGGAGAGGCTCAATAGGGCGCTGTCGCGTGAAGATGGGAGGATTGGTGTAAGCACGCCGTCTCAGGGCGCTTTCAAACTGTTCCGAGCAGACGCGGCAAGGCCAGAGTCTTGGAGTAGCGCCGTTCACGCATCTGTGGATAGCTTGGCCGACGAGGCTTTCCCCGAGCGTTGGCTCGTGGCATTGGACTGTCTCTATCACTTCTCGCCCTCACGAGAATCCATCTTCAAGCTTGCGGCCAAGACATTAGACGCAAATGTCATGGCTTTCGACTTGGTGCTAAACGAGAACGCATCCATGTGGCATACCATAGCAGTACGGTTTTTGGGTTTCACTCTGTCCTGTCCGTTTTATACCTTCCTAACGGCGGAACAATACCGGGAGCAGCTCATCGAGTGTGGCTACGACGAAGCGCACATTGAAATCCGTGATATATCAGACCATGTGTTTGAGGGTTTATCGGGCCATCTGTCAAAACAACAGGTTGCTTTGAGCCGCTACGGCATCTCTTTGGCTGGCTACAACCTGACTGGAAAGGTCTTCAAGTGGTTTGATCAGACAAGAGTTATAAAGGCTACGATAGTCATTGCACGAACAAAGAGGAAAACTTGATACATGGCACTCATTCAATCATCAGAACAGAGTGCACACAGCGCGTCTATTCTCTTTCAAAATCTAAGAAGTAACAGCGTGAGGTATCGAGTCCAGCTGGGCCAGTCGCTGTTTTGTTGGCATTTCTCAACTATCGAACTTGCGGTCTAATGGACTGACGCCAGGAGATTGTCCGCAAAGCGTCAGTCAAGGACAAGGTCGTCTTCCACTCCGTCTTATTCCCCGGCTCGCAAATCGGCTCAAATGAGCCGTCCGAATGTGCGGCGGTCATCGGCATGGCCTTCAAATTAGTCCACCTTGTGGCCTCGGCCGTTGCTCCGTATATGCCCGATACAGCAGCGTCCATCAACCCACAGCTACGCGCGGACCTGCTTCCCATCCCGGATGAGTGGCACGCCGATCCCATCAGGCCAGGCCATGATATCGACAAGTCAAGACACTTGTTCGGCCGCATTAGGCCATCGGAGGCGGGACTGCGGAGGAAAATGCTTGGCAACGAAGAGATGGAAAGCCCAGGGCGGCGGGAGCGGCAGTTAAAGCAACCGCGCGGCTATAAGGGCGGGAAGAGCAGCAGAAGGACAACGAGACAGCTGCGTATCTTGACAAGGACGCTTCGATGCCTGTCGTTGATGACAATCAGAATTTTCTTTTTGGTCGACCTTGAGGCGATACACGTCGTCGGGTACGGTGATTTATTTCCAGAGCAATATTTTCGTGACCGTTCGAGAGTCGATACGCCGCAAAATAGAAGCAAGGAAAGCAGGGTCAATCTAGCCTGGTCTTGATAACGTGGCAGATCCATGGCTGCTTCCGTCTGCTTGAGGCTGGTTGACGTCAGAGCTTGGTCGTCGATTGCAAGACCTATTGATAAGGGCGCCGGATGACTAGATGGCTCTCTCGTTGACAAGGTCAATGTGTTGCGGCATGTTCAATTCATGTCTTGATGCACCAACCGTCCAGGCATTGAACAGCCTTGGTGTATTCTAGCGCCCAGGACAGGCAAGCAGAGTCTGTTGAGAGCCGTGCCATACATGCGCAGCTACGGACGATGTAACCCACATGGAAGCACGGAATCCTAATGCTACGCCTTTATAATATGTCTTGTCGTATAGACGCACTCCTACAGGAGCTACAACGTCATCGAAGGGCTCGTACACTACACTGCGGTCCATCGCCCGCGCGAATAGATGCTTTACAGTAAACCACCCCTATAACGATAACCTTCGTGAGCCTTTTTTCATCGTAATATAGCGACTATCGCTAAGATGCGACTATTGTGGGGTTGTACCTCCCCTTAGAAATTACTAGTAAAAGTACATATTAAGGGATTATTAGCGAAATTTACCCCACTATTAGGAAACCCAGCCCCACCTAACCCCACTATAAGAAAATTCAGCCTAAAAAGTGGGGCCTTATAACGATAAAATGCATAGTGACTAAGCAAAAAGTCAACGATATCGTCAGTAACGCGACTATTAACGATTTACTAGGGAAAAACCTTAGATGACCGTGAATTATCGTAAAAACCCGAATATCGCTAAGATACAGGATCGTTATAGACATGGTTTACTGTACTCCCGTTCCAACCCCTGGCTATAGGAGACTCGCCGTCCTTGTGGAAGTCAATGTACCTACTATTCGTGCTGCACCGGTAGCCTCTGCACAATACAAGCAGCCAAAAGAGCCTATTCGCGGCGGCGAGCACAAGAAACGCTGCATCAACCGGGTGTGCTCCCGCGCGTCGCAGTGCCCGCCCCCGTCGGCCATTGCGTCCAGAAGTCGTCTTCCGCATCAAGACTTTGCATGAAATCACTACGTACGCCGATTGAAAAGTGCGCTGATATGTGGAGCATCCGTAGCAAGACGGCTCAACATGTCACCCAAGCCAAAGCACAAGCCGTCACGATGCCCTCCTCGACGAAATCTAGAACGAGCTCAGCATCAAGCAGTGTCGTCGAAGGCGGGCCAGTCTCCAGAATCGGTGCATGGCCAGCCTTTCTCGTCCATGACTTGAGCAGATGCCGAGCAAAAAAGACCAGCAGGCGACTAGGAGCGATCTGGAATCCGTCCGCGCACCTTGCGAGCCTGATAACCAACTACCGCTCGGAACAAGGACGCAAGCCCACGACTATAAAAGAGGGCTTGAGTGCCGTCCGAATTCGCAGGTTTGCGTGTGAACAAGTCACTTCCGCACTCTCGTTTCAGCGACGTGGTACGGCTACACTGATCGATAGCAACAGGACGCGTACGGGTTTTTTTTTTTTTTTTTTTTTTTTTCTTCAAACCGTCAGCATGAAGACTTCCATCGGCCTCGTCGCTGCTACGGCCGCGCTGGCTCTGGCCAATCCGATCCATGGCTCGAACAAGACTGCGCTCAGCCACGTTGACCGCCAGCTGAAACGCCAGGACCTCTCAGATCGCCAGCTTCAACTGGCGTTCTGTCTCGAAAGAAATGCAAGTTGATCTACATGTCTGCGGGGAAGAGAGACGCTAACCCCCGTGGCTATCAAGACGCCTGGGGACCAAATGCTGGAACACTACGCGACTTTCCAGGCGTCCAAGTACAATGTAAACATGCCCGTGTCTCGAGCTGCACTCAGCAAGATGCTGACGATATATCCAATATCCAGTCTCTGGAGGAGGTTGACCAAGCAATCGAGGAATGCTACAGGAAGGGCCGCGAATCTGGCAGCGCGTTCGGCGCTTAAACATGGGCCTGGGAGAGACGCGGCGGGCTCGGCCCGAGCTCAGCAAAGCCTCCATCTTTCGTTGGTAGAAGCTGTTGATCGGGGTGTTTTTCAGACTCCACGGGGTGCATGTGCGCGGGATCCAGGACAGTTTCTTTCGACCTCGGTCGCGCAGCTCCCGTGTCGTGTACGTCGTGCCAGGGTGCGCTGCCCGCAAGCACAGGGCCCTCAGAGTCGGATAGTAGAAGGGCGTGCGCAGATGTGCAAGTCCCAATAGATGCCTGACCATTCATCGTGACCGTGGGAATCGAATCGAGGCACGGCGCAGAGGTAAAAGGCCGTATGTCGTCGCCCTCGGCGGTAGACCTGTGAACGTGCATTCGACATGGCGATGCCACAGCGCCCAGGGGCAGGCAATGGTGGCATCCGCGTCTGATCTGCAAGGGGACGTGTTCCAGTCCGATTCTGCTCCTTGTACATGATGATGCTCTGAGCTAAAGGAGGTCGTCGGGCGGCCCTTGGCAACATGGCCAGGGCCTGGGGGCTACGCGCAACCTCTCGTCAAGTGTTGGAGTATACGAAAACCATGTACACAAGTGTCGTACCATCTATCGACATTCTCGAGGGACCTATGTACGGGAGGTTGATTCTGAAGCTCAAGCCGGTAGAAAAGAGGCGTCATTGCCGTTGGGAGAACAAGACGTCAGGCAATTGGTAGCAGCCATTGCCTGGGGAGAGAGAAGGACCAACAACGGCAAAGGCTCTGTAGAGGACAAGGGTACGTCAGCTCCCGGATGTGGTCTTTTCCAAGAGACAGCCGTGGCTAGGTCGGGAAGGGTTGATTGCACCGTGAGGACGCCGTCCTTTCAGAAGCATCAGTCGCATGTCCCTCTGAATCAGCCCTGTACAGCAATACCTCACTGTCAAGCACGTGTCTGGGGATACTCATCGTGGCCCCGGGCGAAAGGTTGGTCATGTACGCCGTGGCGCTGGTTACGGACTAGACATGGAGGCCGGCATGGTTCGAATGGATGCGTGTGGCTCGTTCCGCTCTACACTGCACGCCGCGACGAGGCATGCACCTCCACCCGTCATTGCTGGAGATTCGCAAACCGGGCTCGAGAATCAGGGCGTCAGACACTGGAGGCGACTTGCGTCGTGTCCAGTGCGGAAAGGCCCTGCTGGAGGAGAAGATTCGACGTTGGGGGCTCCGTCGCGGGAGAGGAAAGCCCGCAAACATTCCCACTCGACTTGCCACGGCTTCGTCGGCAGCATGAAGAATGTCAACGAGGGCCGCAGCGCCGATCGAGAGAGGACTATTGTATGACCCTACGAATACGACGAAAAAGACTCATTGTGCAGCAACAAAGCGTGGGATCCCTGCTGAGGCCTCGTACGGACGACAAATCCAGTGCAGCGTCGTCTCGCCGTTAGCATGGGCTGCCAGGCAATGGAGGGACAGACGTGTAAGCGCTTATGCGGGACATGACTCAAATGTGTGCAAGCTGCATGCGACGCAGATCGAGGTCCTCACGCCCAAACCAACATTGCGCCCGCCATAGTCCGCGGGACGAACGAAACAGCCGGAGCATGGGCGAGCTAGCTGCGGGCGGCATCGAGACAGGGAGGAGAGACAAGGACTATGACGGAGGCAGGCCGTCGTCAGAGGACTGTAGGGAATGCAGAGTCCCGAGACGGACTCTGGGACAAACAGTCCGGGATCCAACCGAGAACCGCCGGCGGGAGCGGAAGCAGCCGCGGGATGGACATGGACAGACTCTTGTATGTCAACGTGGCGCCGAGGAGACGAGCCGGGCTGTTCGAGGACGTTGACTCCGGGATCCACAGCGCTAGCCACGTGTCTCTCCGACGGTTAGCGGCGGATGGCCCACTACCGACCACCCGCCGTGCTTCGAGAAGGCGGGACGGGAGGGTCATGGAAGGTTCATTGTCAAGTGGGGCGGCTGAGGAGGGCGCTGCTCCAACTGGCTGGCCCACGTGGGGGCCCGGTCCGGAGCGGCCGACTGGCCAAGCCCCCCACGAGCTTCCGATCTGACGTTGGACCCGCTCCAGGCCTGGATGGAGTCTCCCAACACGCTTGGCCAATGGCGCTTCCGCCAAAATCAATCCACAGGAAATGCCTCATCTCCGCGGCGCAGTCGCTCTCGACGCCACGGCACAAGACTTGCCAGCCAACTGCCAAGGCTTGATTGTCCGCAAACCCAGCACAGCATCGCGTCTCCGCGCCATGCAGCCGTCGTCAAGAAGAAGCACCCGCACCCGGCTGCCGTCCGTCAACATGCCGCCAGGAGATGATCGCCCTGGTCCTCGTGCCTTTCCGAGCCCCGGCCCAGGGGGGTGTTTCACCTTGGCGGCTTCCGACTTGGCGACTGCAGAGACACGCTCTTGGGGGTTTGTTCCTCTGTGGCCGGCCTGCGGGGACAAGCACGATGCCAAGGCCAAGAGGGCAGCGCGAGAGCGACCTTGAGCAACGCACGCTCACGACGAGACTCCAGCGTACGCTCCTTTTCAGGAATATCCAGTGTCTACATTTTCCTGGCGAGCCTTCTGTCTGCCGTGTCTAACCCTCCCACGTGGGCGATGCAGTATGCTGACACTAATCTAGTTGTACAACGTTTCTCCTTGGTTGACGTCTGTTGTGGGGGGTTACACGGCTGACCGAGACGACGAGTGCCACCGCCAGTACAGAGTACTCCGTACGGAGTACATGATCTAGATAAACCCGGAGGAGGAAAAAGGAAAAAAAAAAAAGAACCCATAAGCTCGACACGTGGCTCACGTCGCATGCGGGTGCTGCCGGCCATCGAGCCGCACGGCAGGCGGCCTTGGGCGACGCCACGCGGCTTGATCACACCACTTTGGAAGAATAGAGGCCATCCAAGCCAGTGGCATGGAAACCACGACACAACAGGGTCACTCGGCTGGCGGTGCCAAGAAGGGATGCACAAAAGGCAAAGAAAGCAAAGGACCCGGAGCGGGAAGGGCAAAAGATAAAACACCCCGTCCTCTCTTCTCTAGTAGGTAGACTACAACTAAGCACAAGGAAGCAGAATAGACAGCTATGCCGGTGAATAGAATAGCACTACTCCGTATACGAAAAGGAAACAAATTTCTGTCGCGGGCTTTCCGAGCTCCCGGAGAAGGAGAAGGGAGTTGCAATCTCGCATCTCGGACAGACTAATTGCTCATCTCGGTTCAACGCCTGCGGCGGGCCCTGGACGAAAAAAAAAAAAAATGAGATGACGCTATGTTGCCAATGTGCGTGCGCATGCATATGCCATTTTTTCCATGTACTATGTACCACCCAGCACGGTCATTTTTCACCTCCCCAACCTCTCCACCTCCAGGGCGGCCAGGACAAAGGCCGACTCCCCCAACAAACTATTGGGCGTGATGGGCCGCGAGGTGTAATACTCAAAGGTGGCAGTCGAGTTGAGGCTACACACGGAGACGGTCTTGCTGAAGCCAATGGTGCCGTTGCCCGTGTCGGTGACGAAGTGGCGCAGGGTGTAGTCGTAGGCCTTGAGCGCGGCGCCCTTGTAGTCCGGCTCGTCTCCGTACAGGAGCCCGATGCGCAGCGCCTTGAGCAGAGAAAAGGTAAAGAGGGCGGTGCTCGAGCTCTCGAGGTAGTTGGCCCCTGCGCCGGGCAGCGTGACGATTTGCCACCAGGCGCCGGTTGCGGGGTCGGCGTACCGGAGGATGGAATTGGATAGCTGAAAGGCGATTTCTTTGGTCAGGGTGCACAGCGTGAGGCGGTCGCCCCGCTGGACGGCCTGGCAGGACAGCTTGTCCCAGGTCTCGACGAGGGCTGCAAAGAACCAGCCGAGGGAGCGGCCCCAGACGTAGGGGCTGGCGCCCGTCTCGGGGTCTGCCCAGACGGCGCGGCGGGAGCGGTCGTAGCCGTGGAACAAGAGGGAGGTGTTCCTCTGGGTGCAGTGGTCGCGGAGGAGGTTGACCTGGAGGACCATGTCGGTGAGGTTTGCGTGCGGGAGCTGGGACGTGAAGGGCAGCAGGGAGAACATGCCGTCCAGGTAGCTCCATTCCGGGTAGACAAAGTACCACAGCCCCCCGTCCGGGTTCCTCTCCTGCAGCGCCAGGGACGCGTGGATGGCCTGGTAGGCCTTTCGGGCCTGCTCGGTGACGGGGGCGACTCCCGACGCGAGGGCTGTGCGGATGGCGGTCGCGAGAGAGAACCGGTCAAGCGGTCTCTTGGCGGCGACGGGGGCGCTCGTCAGATCTGCCGAGGCGACGTCGAGGACGGCCGAGAGGTAGCCGCCGTATCGGCACTTGGCGTCCGGGTACAGCGCGACGGCGTACTCCATGGCCTGGGCGAGGAAGCCGCTCTCAAGCGTGCTGCTCGCCGCGCCCGAGTCGACGATGCCTTGCCTGCGGGCGACGATGCTGTCGAGCATGAGCGTCGACATGGGTCGCGACGCGGCGGCCGTCATGGCCAGGAGCCATGCTGCGCCGAGCAGTTGCATTGGGACGACGACGACAGAGGTTGGGGATGTATGTGAGGGTCGGCGAGGCCAATGCAACGCAGCCGATGATGTCTGGTCGTCTCGTCTGGTCTGGTGTGACTGTGCGATCTTTTTATAGCTCGGCCACGACCCCTGGCCATGGCAAATTCGGTGGCGTTCAATAGCCTAATAAGACGCGTGCTATGGGTGATGGGCGATCGATAGCACGTGCAGCCGCAAGCAGCTGTGCCACGTGCGCGCCGGCACCGACGAGCTGGCCAGCTGACGGCAGCTGACCAGCTGAAGCGCCGGCCGGCTTGGATGCTGACGGCCCGACGACCTGAAGACCGGACGGCCTGGCGACCTGGCGACGAGGTGGGACGAGGTGGCTTCGGCCTGAAGTCCGTCATCACGTAATGTAATCATGGACCCGGCATTCTACAACTTATAACTACATCCATGGCTTTGGTGGTCGTTTTCCTCTTGGTGCATAGCACATGCTATTTCTTGCCTCATAAATCACCCGTCTCTGCGAAACAGCTCATCTTGCGAAACCATCCCAGTAAACATGTCATTATATTTATTTGCTTCTAGATGCCGGTCATATCAACAAAGCTGCGTGTATACTCGTCGGAAAGCCCAGCCCAGATGCCAAGCTTCTCCACTCAAAACTAAATCAGCAGCTGTGGCGTCCCTTGGCCCTAACCGTGCCATTATATCCGGCAGAGAATCAAGGAAAGGAAACAAGGTGGAAACAAGACCTTGTCCCACCATGTTCCGCAAGCCAAACTGCAGCGCCTCGAGCACAATGGCTACTTCCCTGCCGATTTCGTACACCAGGCCCTCGAGGCTTCCATCAATCTGTTCAACATCTGACGAAGCAGAGACAAACGTCTGGAGCTTTCCGTGCGTTTGGGCATCTGCTCAATCTTGGAGCCCTACCCACGACACGTCACAGACTGGCCTTGGCCCCTCCTCTCGTGCTGGCCGAATCGGTGGCCCCCATCTCGTGGCTCTCAATGTCAATCACCACCTGGTGGTGGATATAGCTCTTGGTCCCGTGCTTCCCGCCGTTGGCTACCGAACTCGTGTCGTGGATCTCCTTGTACGGCCCCGTCGCATCGCTGCTGCCGGCCGCTTGGCGGACCAACGAGGACCGGTTCGTGCTGCGTTTGTGCAGCCCGAGGACGCGAAGCTTGGACAGCAGCGGACGCACGGCGGCCAGCGAGGCGGCGAAGATGGCCAGCCCCAGCTCGGCGTCGGCCCAGAGGAGGAGCTGGTAGTGTAGGTGTTCGACTTCGTCGCCCTTGGCGTGGTTCAGGCGGATGATTATGATGAGCTTGACAATGGTGGAAGCGCTGGCGCTGCACGGCAAATGCCATGTTAGTCGATGGAGCAACTTCAAGACCCTTGAGCGAGGAGACTTGGCCGTGCCGAGCCACGGCCGATGCATCTTGTTCGACTCAGGACGGCAGTGCAGTGCAGGGTAGGGTAGGCAGGCAGGCAGGCAGGCGGCGCCGAACTTACAAAATACCCAAGCCCAGCAGAAACACAACGCTCAGCTTCAAAATGGGCCGCATCTTGACGTTCCACAGGATGTACACAGGCAGCAGGGCGTAAAAGTAGTCAATGATGATGTTGGTGCTCGTACGAAAGTACCCGACGAAATTGCACGTCTTGGAGCCGGCGTAATTGCTTGTCCCGGCCTTGGCACAGAGATACGACGAGTAGATGGTCATGACGGTGGTCCAAACAACGACGACGCCCATGGACCCAATGAGGAGCCATCGCATTCTCTTTGTGTTGACGATGCGCATCAGTACGAGCGCCACGGCGAGCTTGACCAGGCCCGAGTCGATGTAGATGGTCAGTTGGTTGGCGAAGTAGAACTTTTGGTTGGTGCATAGTTAGCCCTGCGCACGACTTCTCGCGACACGCCTGACATGGCCAAGAGACGGGGACACGAGGAGACAAGACGACGCGGCAGCGAGAGCTTGCGTACCTGCTTCGCCTTTGCCGGACTGTAGTGCGGTTGCAGGGTCGAGTACGGTTTGTTGTCCTCGGCTGCGTAGCCGTAGTGCAAGGCCGTGAAGCTGAGGCCGCATAGGATGATGTATCCCACCTGATGGAGAGGTCCCACGTCAGTACACCGTCACGTCCGAAGAATGTCGTCGCCGGAACGACCACCAGCCAAGGACACTCGTTGGTGGTCTCTCGTCAAACCGGGCATCACGGAGGCTCACATAAGTCAAACACAGCATCACATCGTCGACGCCGAACGATCTGGTGATGCGCAGCCGCGAGTACAGGCGGGCGGCCACGGCAAGGCTGTTGACGACGAGCAGGATGACGGTGCAGGCGACTATGCTGTTGCGGTACTGGGCCATTTTGCCTACTGTGTCGGGCGAAGCCAAGAGCAAGTATTCCGAGCTTCTTTTCGGGTAGGCTGTTTTGCGAGTGTTTGGCTGGATTAGGCGCTCGGGTAGAGTCTCATCTCGATGGAAAAGATGCTGGTCGCGACGGGACGCAGAGTGGAAAGGAAGAGAGAGGTATTTGCAGGATGGACGACCATGGGGATGGAGGCGTGGCCATGCAAAGTCAGCACAAGGTCACGGCCGTGGACCATCTGATTAGGGAAGACCCGACCCGACACACGTCAGCCTCGCACCGAGCCATGATTGAAACGAAACGGTCGAGGTCGAGGCGGCGGCGGCAGTAGACGGACGGTACGGGGTACGGAGTATGCGTTGATACGATCGTACTTCGTACAGCAAGGTCGCATCCCCAGCGCGAGGCAATGCAGGACGAGACTTGCGCCTGCCTTCTTGTCCGCATGTACAGCAGCAGCCATGGCAGGTGACATTTCGATATGGAGGAGCTGAACAGTCGGTAAAGCGCAATCGGTCCTAGCAGGTTTTGAGCTTTGGGCTACACGCAAAACATGTTGGTCAGAGGTTACAGCACAGAGGACGTCGCCGTGGCCATCGACCGGCCGTCCAATCAGCATCGACGTCCAATCCTAGGTGGTTTGGGTCTTTTGTCTTGGCATGGCCTGGCATGTCTGGACTGTACGTGCACGTCATGTACCCAGCCATGTACCGTACGCGACCAGGTACCTACTTGGGGACCCAGGCAGGTACCCAAGAAGCGTGGTGGTGTGTCAGTGGCAGCAGCAGTCTGCGCTGCGTAAGCGGCCCCCAACGTCACCAATCCTGCTAGGCCAGAGTTGGCCTAGTCCTGCGCGGGATGAAGCGAGGGTGGGGTAAACCGTAAGACGGAGACTCTTCCATCCGCCATCCGTCCAACCTGGTGAGTAGTGAGTGACACTCTGCGCTCTGCCATTGTTCTTGGCTGCTTCTTCAGCCGGCGCTGCGCCTTGCCTCCTCTCCAAGGTTTGTGCGTTCCTTGGTTCCTTGAATTTTCACTTGAGCCTTGTCCAGATGCGTCTGAAGAGGGTAAAAGACCTGGGCCGAGTCAGAGCCGAGCCACAATCCATCCGACCAAAGAGGTAATCTTTCCGATATTTTACGCCCTGATCTTCTCACGGATAATTTTTTTCGTCCAAATTGCTCTTGGCGCTCACATCACACAGAGACTCACGCCACCCCACAGCTGGGGGCGTAGTCGTCGAGCCTCACCGCCGCCTCGTACGAATAAAGTTCCCCTGTACGGCCCCAACGCGCAAGCCCAAGAACACGAGGCGCAAGCCCCCCCTGCCCCGGGTCTCACGGCAGGCACTATCTGTGTGAAATTTGGAATTTGCCAGCTTCTCGCCACAGGTATAAGGCGAAGAGAAGAGCATTTGTGCAATATACGGAGTACTGCTTGTGTCTTTTTGCGAGCTACGCTGCTTCCCGCCTTGAACGGGCCTTGATATAATTTTGAGATTTTTATAATGTACTTGATCGAGAAGCCGACTCAGGTAGTGTTATTTCCTTTATAAAAAAAAGAAAGAAAGAAAGATTACTCCGTGTATATATATAGGGATTAAGCTATAGTACTATTTATCACCAGGGTTAGGGTTGGAGTTCCCAGGGTACGTCCGTGCACACCGGCACCACAACCCAGATGAAAAATTCTCGCCAACAATTCCAAAGTCCCCCCATTCACTGATAAATACATCCCAAGCTGCCAAACTCGTGAGCGCCAACGGCCTCGAGGAACATCTGGCCTTCCGTCGACAATGCGGCTCGACGACGACCACGTTTCCGCCCAACGCGAGCTCCCCGGACGGCTTGACGACGACGAGATGCCTGTGTGCGTACGGAGTACTGAGTGATGTAGGCTCCTTGATATCTCAGCCTGGCCGTCGTCGTCGTCGTCGTCGGAACGACGCTCGCTCCCCACGGCTCATCAGGGCGCCACATGGAGAGCAGACAGCAGACAGACAGAGGACAAGGACGACCAGCCGAGATGATCGCTTTCGCGGGGTTTCACGGCAGGCTCCCCCGGTTCCCGTCCAAATCGAGGGAGGACACGGCCGGGAGGCGCCACGGTCTAGATGAAATGGCAATGGCTGCCACACACATGGATCCGCAGCGGCCGAGGCGTCAACTAGTTCCTCTTTCGGCGCTGCATAACTGCAGTCCTGACTTCCACCATCACGCACGCCAACGCTTGGAGTCCTACCAAGGACTGTCGGTTGGTTGGTTGGCCCATCTTCGGCCTTGACATGTTTGTCTTGCGCCCTCCGATGCGATGCGATGCGATGCGGTTGCGGTTGTTCAGTCCCTCCGGGTGCCTGGTCGACGCTCAATCTTCCAATCGCTTATTGGGCTTGTTCTCGTCCTGTCCCCGCCCTTTTGTACACCGAAGAGCTAAGAGCTTACCGTCCCACGATGCTTAACCCTGGAGATTACCTTGTCGACCGTCTCTGTGCTACAACTACCGAGCACGCTACGGCACGGGTCTTCTTCCTACATGGAAGCGTGGCTGATCGGATCGGAATCCCTTCCTACCCACGTACGACAGCAATCACACGCTAGGCAGGATTGGGAAACACAGTGTTGTTGTTGCTGTCTGGCCAGACGGGGAGCAGGAGCACAGCACATATTCCACGGTAGTCGTAGCAAGAGATGGGCCGCCAGATTCCCCGGTTTCAGCAAGCGGTCTGGTGGTAGGCATCAGTGGCGGGTGCGTCAAGCGTGACGAGGCCAGTGGTGACGCGGCTGGGAGCTTTGACTCGACTCAACTATACCATCCCGCCAAAGTATGATCTATCAAAGGTCCTTGGTTCCCTGGTTTCCCGCAAGGCCCTCCCTCGGGCGCCCAAGGACATCTGTCTGCGCAGCGTGCGTTGCGCCCTAGGTCTCGTGATCGTAGCCCTTGTGTAACCGTGCAACAGTTACGACTGGTACGTATTGGGAGTTCCAGAAGAGCGCCGAGACATGGCAAAGAAGCGGCCTCGCGGCCAAAAGAAGCACGTGGCAAAGGAGAGGCTGGGGCCCAGGAAAAACAAAAAGGTACCAGTCACTAACGAGCTGTTGTTCCGTCTGGCAAAATTCATTCCCCGGTGACGCTGCATGCAGTATGAAGACTGGGGTGCAAGAAACGGTCAAAGGCACATGAATGTACGTACGTAGTTCCTTGATTGAGCACAACCCCCTCCCTCCACGCGTGGTTGATAGAGAAGGAATCCGGGGGCCCCGGTAACTGTCAAATATATCGATCCTACTCCGTACCCGGCACTCATCAGCGAGTCGAGCAACCCGCCGCCTTCACTGCCAAGCGCAAGATGCCTGGCCAACGACGTATCTGGTGGATGTGTTGTCTGGCTCTTGGGGATCCAACGCCAGGCCATGGCAACCAGGTAGTCGAACATGTTTTTTGTTCCAGTCCCTCCGGCATGGGTGATGATGCAATCCAACTTGTGCACGAGATGTCCAGCAGTGCTCATAGGACACAGCCTATCCATCCCTACAGGTTGTAGGGCAAGTTACTCACTCCCCGGGGTTTGACAAGCTCTTCTTTCGTTGCCAGCTCTAGCAATATTCCATGCAGGGCTTGTGCTACGTACGCGAATGAGCTGACCACTCTGACGTTGGTTCTCTTCTACCAGACGGGGTCGCGTAATACATCGAATCACCGGGGAAAGATCTTGGGGGGTTTTTTGATAGCTTAATATTGAAGCATTTGGCAATGTCGAATCTACCGTGGGAGCAACGAGCTTTCGAATAGATTGGGTTGCGCTACACTAGAAATCCACGGTGATATGTTGGCGAGTACTTGGTAACGTTACTTGGCAACCAGACAGCAAGTGGAGTCGGGTACCGTTGGGATGGCTACCCTATAGCTCGCAGAGCGAACCCACAGTACGTATGGTCGGTGGAAGCTTCGATCCTCTGCGCCGACTTCGAAGGGAGTGGACATGGTCGCGCTGTCTCCTGTTGAGCAAGATGTCTGGCAAAGCCAAATGCCGATATTTCCAAGTACATGGTGTTGTTTAATTATGTTGCGTTGCGTGGTGGTCGTGGGCGCGTTGGGACAGCACGACGCGGAAAGTTGACTCTGACTCTCCTCATCGTACATGTTCAATTGAGGTCCGGGAGCTGCCTCGACAACTCGCGGTTTCGTCATCACGGCAGACCAGGCATCCCGGCTGGGCATAAGCATGGCTTGGCTTGGCTTGGCTCGGCTTGGCTTGTATCAAAGACTACGTACCAGCACTCCGTGGGTCCTTCATCATGCGAGGACATTATGACGACACTCGGGAATTCAGATACATTGAGACAACACGAGGTGCCACAAGGGGTCAGCTCACACCGTGCAACAACTCGTGTGTCATGATGCTTCTCAACAGTGACCAAACAAATATGCTGAAGCAATGTTCGCAAGATGAAACGCAAAAAGGACTTCAAACGCCAGCAAGGGCGGGCCATGAATAACAAGGTCCGTTCACGTCAGATGATTCAAAACTAAAAGGGGGTGCAGCTGCAGTTGGCAGACTTGGTCAAGGCGCGCTCAAACTCAACTTTGGTGTGCATGATCGTGGCGGGGAGCATGAGGCATGAGGAAATGCTAGAGCAAACGATTCGGCACCGATGGCCATGAAGGCTTCATGTCCAAGCAACAAACAATCACGTCGCTTGTATCCTCGGAGACCTCTTGCAGGGATCCAGGCCGAGATGTAATTTGACGACCGCTCAATGCTTGTCTACTAGCGCGCGGTGCAAGTCGAATGAGATGGCGGACTAGTACTCCGGTAATATTTTAAAATGAGCATGCGGGCCAGACAACCAGGGTGAGACGGGGCAATTCGACGTACGGGGTCATCCGTTATCCCCTCTGGAGTTTGTGAGAATTCGACGAGATGAACCACGAGACGTTCTTTGGCTGCAGGAAAAAAAAAAAAAAAAAGGGTTGACCGTCGGACAAGAAGAGGACGTTGCCATCATATCGTCGGTACTCGTACGGATGTAGTGCAATTGCCAACACCGACCCTGCATTCCACAGACCTTGCTTGACCTTGGGGCCCGCACCGGCAGAACAGCTGCGTCAAACACCACCAAGCGGGGAGGTCAAAGTCATGCTCCGTTCCTGCAGGAAAGCGACGGATGTGATGTGTGGTGTGGATCGAAATGCTAGCAGTAGTACTCCGTAGCTCTGAGGCCAACGGATCGATCACGGCTCTTTGGGTCGGTTCAACAGGGCTGATGCATGTCATCGACGGCATTCTTGAACAGACGTATGTGTGCAGCAGCGTCAGCGGGCCTGTCCGAATGCTCTCATGTCATCAACCCATCATATCCGCATGCAGATGCTCCTGGAGCAGGCCGAGATGGTGCCAAAAAGGCAAATCGGGCTGGTTCCTACCGCTTGCGGTCGCCTTGCGTTGACTCTGTTGAGCCCCTTCCAGTGCTCAGTCCCACCCAGATTAGAGTGCACCTGTTCGTGGAGTACGGGGCAGCGGGCAGCATGAGCAGAGGCATCGGCCAGAAGAATAAAAATAATACGGAGTACCGGGTTGATGATGAGAATGCAAAGGACAAAAAAACCAGGGTCAGCACCTGGCACAAGATGCGGCCCGGCCAATCATGTTGCCCCTGGTCCCTTTGGGCCATCAGACGCCACGCCACGGGCCCCAGCCACTCACCGTCTCGCACCCAGCCAAATCCCCGTAGCGAGCGCAACTTTCGTATTCTGTACAGATCAGTGTGCGGATACAGATCAGATCAAATCACGCCAAAGCAGGGCGGCGGCGACAGGCAGCTAGCCAGCCGCATGGCGCAGACGGCTTCACACCGATGCCCATGTCGACGAGCGGCGGACAACATTTGATGGCCCTGGGCCAGCGCCTCGTTGTCGGAGCCTCGCTTTGGGTTCAGACGGCCTTTTGTTCTGTTGGGCCTGGCTGATGCAGACTTGACGACTCGAGCCTGCTTCAGCCCTAGGCACTGTACATAACTTGGCACCCCGTAACTATTTCCAACCCAAGTACGGGGCACTCCGTGGCGGTTTATGCCCATTCTTAGGCTCATCTGCTGCCGCACGCTTGGCCAAAGCAGTGCTCCTTGTTCCCGGGAAGCTCGAGCGCCAAGGCGCCAGGCAAGTTCGCACCTGTACTCTGTACCACGGCTGCTGCTACTATGGAGGCCGATGGTGGAGTATCAGGTACTTTGGGAGGTGGTGGCCTTCGCCCGCCTGTTGCTGCTCCACGTCCGTAGTGGTGCTCCGTACGGACTACTCCGTATACGGCCCAGAGGCTCCAGGCACGGCCGCAGGCCCGCAGCAGCCTCCAGAGGCTCTCCAGAGGCCCTCCAGAGACCCTCCAAGGCCCTCATCGCCCCGGGTAGCGGCTGGGTTGTTGCCCTCATCGATATTAGGCCTCCTTCGCACCCATTTGTTCCCTCCTTCTCACACGCGCACGCCAGACTCTCAGACACGCCTCTACATCTCGACAACCCGAGGGAGCAGGCGTCGGTCAATTGCCTCACCACTCCCATTCCCTCTGGAAAAAAAGCGAGACTCGACGTTCCTGTCGCCTCCGTCGGTCCGCCTCGACTTTCCCGATTCAGTCGCCGCCTCCATCATCTTGCACCCTTTCAACGTCGTTGCACTGCCTGCCTGTGCGATACCCAGCCTTCATCAGCCTCCAGCCCTTGCCGCCGAGCAGACTGTCTCTGCCCGCCTCCGTCTTCGTCTTCCGGCTCGGCCTCATCGAGGCACTCTCGACAGCGACTACCGCAACGCAAGCAACGACAGTGACCGTCTGATTGCTTCAACCTGGGGGTCAGCGAGCTTGGGGGACTTCGGCCAACCCAACCGCTCAGCGCGCCCATCAGCCTGCGACGACGCCGAGCCCAACCCGTCCCTGGCTCGAACCTCGCCCATTCCTGAATGCGACATTTGATTGAGCTGCAACACCACCTGCGGCCAAGATGGTGTCGACCGACTTTGGAAATTTCAACGTATGTCTTTGGTGCTCGTCTTTCGGAAGCCAATTGCAGCTGTGCTCTGGCTAACAAAAACCTCTGCAGAACTTTTGCGAGGACTCCACCTTGCCAGTGTGTAACGTGAGTCGACCTCCGACAGCCCAGACCGTCTCGTCATCTCTGTGGCCGCCGAATTGGGCGCCCGAGGAACAATCACACTGACGTACATTTCTCTCCAGCTGTTCTCGGGGCCGAGACACGATCAGAATGGCCCCTGGGGAGGGTGCCAACTCACGGGAATCCCCTTGAGCAATAATCGTCATTTGGCCAATTTGGGCTCAATCCTTCTCTGCGGCGCCGCCATTGCTACTTCGCTCGTCCTGCTGCTAAGATCCGAGAGGAAACGGGCGGCTGTTGGTCGCAGGTAAGCATGGGCATGTGCCCTTAGCCTCGACGCTCGCCATGGTCACTGACATTGGACCCTGATAGGGAAATGCAAATATTTCTAGCTGGGTACATCATTATTAGCGCATGCGAAATTTTCTCCGTCGGCGGCTTCCCCCTCAACCCGACCGCTCGAGTGGTGAGCCATCCAACTCTCCCAACGCGTCAAGCAGTCGAGTCCAGCCATTGCTAACAACGCGTGTAGGTCTTCAGCGCGATCCACATTGGCGCGATCATTGCTACCACTTGGATTCTGATGCTTAATGCTGTCATTGGTTATCAACTAATTGACGATGGGACGCCGCTCTCCGTGGGACTGCTCCTCGTTTCCGCCGCCGTCTTGTTTATTGGAACTGGATACGTTGCGCTCGATACTGGTCTCCGGTGGACCGGCTTCTGGAATAGCAGCTACGACTCTCCCAACCGAAACATTGCCCTCTACGTCCTATATCAGCTTGTTCCTCTCATTTTCCTCGTCGCGTTTTTCGTCCTGGAGGCCATCCTGGTCCTTCGCATACTCGGCGAGCTTCGACCCATGATTTATCTTACGGTTGCCGCTTTGCTTTTCGCCGCTGGTCAGGTCTTCAACTACGCTATTAGCAAATATATTTGCAGCGGCACGAGCGGTGCGATTGACGGAGCCTTGTTTGAGACGCTGTTCACCCTGCTGTCCGTCGTTGCTGTTTGGATCTTCTGGTCCAGCATTACCGAGGACGACTGGCCAATGCAAAGCGGCGCTTCATACGACTAATGCGCCAGCGACATTGTCGAATGGCTCGGCGTTCCATTCTCGGATACGGCGTTTAATGGCGGGAGCATTTATTAATTTTTTTTGGCCGTGTTCCTTTTCTCTCGTTTAAAACTGGACGACTTAATCGACGGTCGGACAACGGAAACATGTTTGATGGAAAATACCAGAACCTGTGTATTTGTTTTTCTGATGCGGTAGCACAGGCCTGGTGAGGCCATTCCAGTTGATTTCTGGACCCAACACTCCTCCGTGTATGGCGAGGTGATTGGATATTTTAGAGAACGGAGGTGCCCTATGCCGTCTATGAGATGGGATGTGCACCGCTTTTGTCGGCTTGCTGTGGATGTAGCGATGGGGAGGAGACGAGTTCGGCTGGAGATGCACGGGTGAGAAGATATGGCTTTCGTTGATGAGCTATGCGGATAGGATGCGTTGCCGTCTATCTGGCATGTTTGCAGCGAGTGACTGCTATAGATACAACTTCTGTAATATACCCCAATATAGCGACTTGATGCAAATTGAAAGTCTTTCAGCAAGATGATGGCGTTGCGCGTGCGCCAATGTTTGTGTGTGAAACAATGGTGTCACTGGGCTACTGCTTCCCGGTGCTATCAATTGATTGGTGGCTGGATGAAGCTCGCCGTATCGGTGGAGCACGAGCCAGGCTTCATTCGACCTTCACACATGGCAGCCTCGCCCTGCTCCTTCCCCTTCATCACGACCTTGCCCACGACCAACGCAGCCCGCGGGCAGCGAATGCGGGCCGAGCAGGCTCGATTCATCTTCCAAGAAAACAAATAAGGACCGAAAAAAAAAGAAAAAAAACGACTGCGATTTGGAAGGAGCGTTTCCAGCCCACCCACCCGCCATGGCCGATTCCGATGGCGAGTTCGTCGCCGACGACATGTCGGACGATGAGCTCGTCGACCACCAAGTCACCGACGACGAGGGCCCTTCGGTCCGCAGCAAGCCGTCTCGGCCGAAGCGAAAGCAGAAGCGAAACGGCGAGCAGGCTTGGGAAAAGTCCAAAAGAACGTGGGAAACGAATCTGCCCGAGGAGGACCAAGATGGCATACTCAGCCTGACGCTGCTGGAAGCCGAGAAGCGCCGCCGGCTGATGCGCGACACGACACCGCTCCAGCGAGGCATTATACGGCACATGATTCTGGTGCTCGACATGTCATTTGCCATGGCGGAGAAGGATTTACTTCCCACACGGTACCGGCTGACCATCAGCCACGCACTGGCGTTCGTCAAGGAGTACTTTGAGCAGAACCCCATTTCGCAGCTGGGCATCATTGGCATGAGGGATGGCGTCGCCGTCAGAATCAGCGACTTGAGCGGGAATCCCGCAGAGCACATGGAGCGCCTCAAGGCCGTGGAGGGGCAAGATCCTCAGGGCAACCCTAGTCTGCAGAATGCGCTGGAGATGTGTCGCGGTGCGCTCTTGTGAGTTGGTTCTTTGCGCTGCTGCAACGTCCAGCAGCGAGAGCCACGTACGTGCTGACTTTTTTCCTCAACCCGAATACAGCCACACGCCGTCACACGGGACTCGAGAAGTCCGCATTATTTACGGCGCACTGCTGTCGAGCGATCCGGGAGATATCCACGAGACAATTGCCAGTCTTGTGACGGACAAGATCCGAGTTTCCATCGTCGGCCTCTCGGCCCAGGTGGCTATTTGTGCGGACCTGTGCTCCAGAACAAATGCTGGCGACGACACCCAGTACAATGTCGCCTTGGATGAAGTTCACTTCAGAGACCTGTTCCTCGCCGGCACCACGCCGCCCGTGACGAGGACGGCGGAACAAAACACGGCGAGCTTGCTGATGATGGGGTTCCCGTCGCGGACACTCGCACCGGGCGGAGCCATCAGCTTCTGCGCCTGTCACAGCAAACCACTCAGGGAGGGATACAACTGTACGAGATGTTCGGCGCGTGTCTGCCGATTGCCTGCCGAATGCCCCGCCTGCGGGCTCACGCTGCTCCTGTCCACGCACCTGGCTCGGTCGTATCACCATCTCTTCCCTCTCAGAAACTGGGTTGAGGTGTCCTGGGCCGAGGCGGCAAGGTCAACGGCCTGCTTCTCGTGTCTGGGTCATTTTCCCGACCCGCCAAAGAAGAAGGTTGATGGGGCAGAGAAGCCCAAAGACGACACCCGCCATTCGAAAGCCAAGGGAGTCAGTGAGAGCGGGAGGTATGCCTGTGAAGTCTGCGGCAACCACTTTTGCATCGACTGCGACGTCTTTGCACACGAAGTGATTCACAACTGTCCGGGATGCCAGAGCGTCGTCCACAATGACGTGCCGGCGGCAGTAAACGGCAACGGTCACGGTCACGGTCACGGTCAACAGACAAACGGGGCGATAGAGGTGGGCACGTAGGAGGACCTGGTAGATCCTCTTGCTTGTAGAAATGTACGGCGAGCCAGAGGTTGGAGGGAGGGGGAATTTGATCTTTCCCTTTCTCATATTTACTACGACGTATAGCGTGGCTTTATCATTTGAAGCGATGTACATTTTGGCGTGTGGAACAAGGGAATGGGAATGGGAATGGGAAGGGGGGGAGCAAAAGTGTCTTTTGGAAAACAGACCGACTACGGAGAGACTTTTTGACGTTTCGCCCACAGGATGGCGCACCTCGCATACATACCATATTTTGGTCATTCCGAGTTTCAATTGTAATTTTTTTTATTTTTGGAAAAAATTTGAAAATTCCAACCTGCAAGCTTCCAAGTCTTCTTGCTAAATAGCGCCTCATGCCACCGCAAAGCAGAGTCAACAACCAAGGCGCGAGAGACATGAGTTGGTCGTGGGCTCATTCGATTTCCATGCATGATTAGTCAGACGATGACTCCTCCCAGCACGCATTGAGAGAAGGGCAAAAAAAAAAAAAGAAAAGAAAAGAAAAATCAGCTGCATGCCCAGCGTTCACATGGTGTCCATGCGACAAAAAAATAACGTGCTTTCCGGCTTACTCGTTCCGCCTCCCTTCTCTCCTCTCGTCTTGTTCAACTTTTCCTCCGGGACCCGAAACAGCCTACAGGTTTCCCCTCTCGGCCTGCTCGCGCTCAATGGCCTCGAACAGACTCTTGAAGTTGCCGGCGCCAAAGCCGTCAAAGTGATTGCGCTGGATGATCTCGATAAAGACGGTGGGACGGTCCATCAGGGGCTTGGTGAAGAGCTGCAGCAGGTAGCCGCCCTCGTCGTAGTCGATGAGGATGTTGAGGCGCTGGATGGTGTCCAGGTCCTCGGCGAGGTGCCAGCTGCGGCGGTCCGTCTTGAGGCGCTGGCGCATGGTGTCGTAGTAGGTGGACGGGACGTTGATGAAGTCGACGCCGCGGGCGCGGAGGGCGGTGACGGCGGCGACGATGTCGTCGGTCAGCAGGGCGATGTGCTGGACGCCCGGGCCGGCGTTGAAGATGACGTACTCCTCGATCTGGGACTTCTTCTTGCCGGGCGCGGGCTCGTTGATGGGCATCTTGACGAGGTTGTTGGGGGAGGCCATGACGATGGACGACAGGGCCGAGAACTCGGTGCAGATCTGCTTGTCGTCGACGGACCAGAAGCGGTGGAAGGACAGGCAGCGCTCGTAGAAGGCGCAGGCCGAGGCCATCTCGTCCCAGCCCTGGTTGCCGACGCAGTGGTCGACGCGGGCGAGGCGCACGCGGGGCAGGGCCACGCTGGCCGTCGACCGCTTGAGCCCGGCCCTGAAGCCGGGGAGGAAGGGGCCCGAGTAGGCGCCGCGGCTGATGAGGGTGTGCGTCGTGTCGCCGTAGGTGCGGATCACGGCCGTCGTCACGGAGCCGTGCTCGCCGTCGTCGAGGCGCTGCGGCGGCTGCACGGCCGCGGCGCCCTCCTTGACGGCCTTGTGGTAGACGCCCTCGACGTTGTCCACCTCAAAGGCTACGTCCTTGACGGCGTCGCCGTGCCGCTCCAGGTGCGCGTACATGGCTGACAGGAGCGCCTTTTCCGAGGCCTCGATGGGCTCCGAGGCCTCGAGGTGCGCGGCCGAGCGCAGCGGCGACGTGAAGACGAAGCGTACGTCGTTGTTGGCCACCACGTACGACGCGAAGTACCGGCTGCCCGTCTCCAGGCCCCGGTAGGCAACGTGCTCGAAGCCAAAGAGGTTGACGTAGTAGGCTGCTGCTTGTTTGGCGTTGCCCACCCACCACGTTACGTGGTCGTAGCCCGTGAAGTTGCCGGGCGGAGGCTGCGCGGCCCCGGAGTCGACGGGCCGTCGCAGGGGGGAGACTGCTGACGGAGCCATGGCTGCGCTTTGACTGTGTGTGAGTGTGTGTGATGATGATGGTGGTGGTGGTGATGATGATGTGGTGTTGGAGGTTGTCGAGCAACACGAGAGAGAGAACTCGTCCACGTCACAGACGAGGGAAAACCCAAAACAAATACCCGCGTCCGCGTCGGAGAATTTTGCGCTCTGGACTGTCAAACTTCCAAAAATAACAGACCGAAAACGTGCTTGGCGACAGAGACAAGGGTTACGTGCGTGGTGTTGGTATGCGAGAGGTGTGTGTGTGTGTGTATGCCAAGGACAAGAACAGGTTTGAACGCGCAAACGGTGGGCAGCTAAGCTCTTTTAATATCGGAATCCCAAGCCCCGGGTTTCCATACGTCAGTGTGCTTTTTCCAACTCGGTTTTTACCTCCTTTCTTTCCCCTTCTTGCTACCCCCTCCCGTGCTTGCGGTGGTTGCGGTGGTAAGACGTATCCTCTGGCGCAAGATTGGTTCCCGCCTCCCTCGCTCCGTCGCTCCCTCTGCCAGTCTGGCCCCGGAAATGGCCCGCGCATGGCATCTCACGGTCTAAGTCGTGCTCCGTAAAGGGGGGGGGCCCCAACGGGTCGGGTCACAGGTTGCCAGCAACGCCGCCGAGTTGGCGGTGGCGACCGACTTCTGTGACACGCACGCAATCTCGGAGGGCAAAACGACCGGTGTCTCTCGGTTGTCTCATTGATGGAATTCTGTTGATTTAGAAGCGAGGCTACGTGTGGTATGTACTTGAGTAGTGCGCATGGAGCACCACCAAAAGTGCGTCTTGTGACCGACGCTGGTCATGACGGCATCTGGGCAGACTCGCTCTCTCTCCCCTTCTGTTTGAGACTCGGCTGCTGCGAGGACGCACTTGTGCAGACGAGGTCTCGCAAGCCTCCGGCTCAGCCCATGGGAACCATGCAAAGCGTGCAGGCAGATGAGATCATCAATCAACCTGTGCAAGAGACAGCACTTGAGGACGCATCGGGCAAAAATGTTTGGCCCGTGAGCCAGCCGCTCTCCACCGTCCGAAGCGGCCCCTCCACCTCCGGAAGATCCGCCGTGACGGTACCATTCCGCACGGCACGACGCAGCCGAAGTAAGCCGCCTGTTGCCGGCACACCTGCGGGTCACGTGCGCCATCTGGCATGGATGCGCCCGTCTTGCCGGCATCTGCCGCGGCAGACCAGCCAAGCAGGGTGAGTGAGGGGGGGCGAGTTCCGCTTTTGCCGCTGCTCTGCGGCTCTGACATGTCACGGCCGCCCGTCCCTTGATTCGTCTCGGCTGCCTGGGAAACGGTTTCGCTGCCGACGCTATTCATAGTGTTGGCATTCCCCTTTGACCATGGTGCCGGGCGCATTATTTTTTTCCATCTTTACTTCTCTATTTTTCGAATCGAAAACGACTATTCGAGACCGGGCCTGAAGCGTAGCCATACCGCGCCACTTCCCGTCCAATCTGGCATTTCCTTGCTCCTCTCGAGTCTTGCCAGCCTCAGTTAGGAAACAGTTGTCGTGTCGTGTCTCCAGCTCCAGCGGAAACCAACCATGACCCACGTCAATCTGAGCACGCGGGACGTCAACGTCCTCGAAAAGATCAAGGACCCCGAGTTCAACCCGGCTGCTGGCGTCATAACCGACGAGTCGCTGCCTCGCGACCCTCACGTCACCGACCCGGCCGACTATGGCAGCCTGGTCCAGCAGGAGCGCACCATCATTGCCAAAATCCAGGCCCTAGAAACGGAGTCCAGCAGCGAGTCCCAGTCACAGAACACAAACGAAACAGCTATACAGGGCTATCAACAATGCCTCGCCGAGCTGGACACTCTTATTTCTGAATTTCCCAACTACGCAAGCGCTCGCAACAACCGCGCCCAAATCATCCGACGGCTCTACGGAGATGCCATGCTGCTCGAAACCACCACGGGCCTGCCGTTGCCGCTGATCGAGCAGCCTGACGCCACCGAGAAGAAGGAGGCTGCTGTCCGCGCCCTGCAAGACTTGGAAACATCCATCTCTTTACTGTCGCCGGCTGCCTCGTCGACCGCCATCTCGCCCCAGGCAGCACGAACCCTTTCCATGGCCTACACGCAGCGCGCCGCCATCTACCTCCGCACATCCAAGCTGCTCTCCGACCGAATGCTGGACACCGACGAGAGCCGACCCGAGGCCAGCTGGAACCGTGTCCAGTTTGAGCAGGCTGCCTCGCACGATCTGGCATATGGTGGTCGCTATGGTAATCAGATCGCAAAAGGGCTGGCTGTGAGCGTCAACCCTACGGCCAAGCTATGCGGGCAGATTGTTCGGGAGGCTATGAAGAGGGGATACGGCCCATCATTTGATGAGTAAACAAGTCTCCAAAACAGAAAAAAAAAAAAAAAGACGAGAGAAGAGGCAACGTTGCCAGGGGCTCCCAGGCTATCATTATCATGGAGTATTTATTAGACCGTTGGATCGGGGTGCTTGTTTGATAGGTTCGGTGTCGTAAGCCGGCGTTCAATTGATTCGAGGCTGATGCAAGAAATTCATGCCGTCTCTTTTTTTGAAAACCCGATACGCCTGAGACGCGGCACGTCAGTGCTGTATTGATGCCAAGAATCGGCAGACTCTACATACCGCAAGCCGTTGTCGATGGTCTGCTGGGTCGTGTATCCCTTTGCCTTTTCCTCCCGACTGATGCGCATCGCGGCAGCCGACATGCCAATGAACACGGCAAACACGGGATCGGCCACCCTCGAGATGATGTACGCGGGGGCAGGCATCGTGGCAAACTCTGTGAGAGGCGTTGCAAGATGCTTTTCAGCCTCGGCGGTACAGCTGGAGCGGGAGAGAAGCTGGTCCGTCCGGCACCCGGCAGCCCCCACACCCGCCATCGACAACTCTCTAGCCCTGGTGCATCACGTGACGGGACACATGCGCTCGCTCGCCCCAAAATATGCGAAACCCACAAACCCCAAAAAATTGCACAGGAATTTCCAACGTCCTTCACGGTCCACGACGTCGAACTCCTCCCGCAACCAACCACGTACCGACCACACAGGACAAAATGAAGTTCCTCAAGGTCGGCCGAGTCGCCATCATCACCCGCGGCCGATATGCCGGCAAAAAGGTACGACTGCAGCCCAAACTTGGAAAACTAAAGAACACGCGCAGCGTCTTGTCCCGGCAGTGAGGCGCTGCCAGTCCCTCCACCAGGATCCCATTGCCACAAGACATGGAGATGGACCGGAAACCCAAACCCAGCACGGGATGCACATCCAATCGAGGAGCAAAAAAACAAGAAGAAAAAAAAGAAAGGGAGGGAGGGCGTAGGACATCGATTCAAAAAAGTCTCCGCCACGCCACGCTGCCTACAAGACGCTGCCAAACATGTTCAATCCCACCCCCAGAAGCGCGGGCAGTCCCCGCAAAGCAGAAAGAAAAAGTCCGAGATAGCTGACAGCAACATGCACGGCAGGTCGTCATCATCCAGCCCGTCGACAACGGCAACAAGCCTCACCCGTTCGGCCACGCCGTCGTCGCAGGCATCGAGCGCTACCCGTCCAGAATAACCCGCCGCATGTCCAAGACGCGCCAGGAGAAGCGTAGCAAGATCAAGCCCTTCATCAAGGTCATCAACTACAACCACCTCATGCCCACGCGATATACCCTCGAGCTGGAGGGCCTCAAGGGCGCCATCTCCGGCGAGACCTTCAAGGAGGTTTCACAGCGAGAGGATGCCAAGAAGACGGTCAAGAGCGTGCTGGAGGATCGCTACAAAAGCGGCAAGAACCGCTGGTTCTTTACCCCTCTTCGTACGTCCTCCCATCTTCCTAAATCTCTCTCTTTTTTTAAAAAATAAAAAATAAAAAATCTATTCCCTCGTGCTTTCGTACAGCGCGGGGCAGGACCCCCCGGGGCAAGCAAGGGGCATGTGAATTTGTACACTGCAGAGCAATGGCTGACTTTGGACTGCAGGATTTTAGACGTTACGGACCGGGAGTTGGCGGGTTACGGGCTGTGAAGAGCGATTGGCAAGGGTCATGGGCTCGATGAAAATATCCACAAGTTCCATAAAACACATGCAAAAATTCAATATTCTGGCATCCAATCGTGCGCCTGTTGCCTCGTGAAGACTTCACAGAAATGGTGAATACCGGAAAGGAAGGCTGCAAAACAAAAAGGCAATGCATCACGAGGCGCCTGGCCTATGGGTTCAAAACTGTAAGGTGCTTTGGGGATGCTGTCGGGCATCGTGGGTTCCAGGCTCAGTGATGACGCTGGAATAGACCACCATTTGCGAATTTTGTGGCTAGGCTAGTTGCGCGATTTGCTTCAGCGTGACGAGACGTGACGGGGACGATTTGTCATGGGCTGTGGATATGAAAGGATCGTTCGAATTGATTTATGTGCACCGCCTTGGTGTATGGTGTCACAACATGCCACCACGTGAGACTTTTCACTTCACAATTCGCTTCACATGGATCTGATGTCGCTCAGCATCAAAATTGCATTGTCAAGATATGATCAATTCATTTCTACGTTTCTATAGGTCAAAACGCCCTGCTAAGTACATCAGATTGGACCTTTCATGATGCCGCGTCCGCGTGCAAGCTCCGCCCAATATTGCGCTCCAGCGCCGGTGCCACCAAGTTTGCTGTATATGCGTGTTGCAACAAAGAGGCGCCCATTTCCCTTGCAACAGAATAAAAAGGTTCAGAGCCTTTTCCCATGTCTCCAATTGAGAATCAGAGTCCACAAAGCTGAAATTTTTGCACGGCGAAAACAGCCATGCCAGAGGTAATGGCAGAATCGAAGGGGGAAAAAAAGTGAAAAGAAAAGTAAGTAGGTGCACACCAAGAGAAGGAATAAAAGGTCGTGCGGAAGAATTGTTTGCAAAAAAAAAAAAAAAAAAAAAAAAAACCCTGACAACTGCGTGCTGCAAAGGCTGGGGAATACCTCTGCAAAACCAACGCCGCTAGCATCCTGCCATGGAAAATGGGGCTGATAAAAATGGCCAATGCTCTACCACATCATCGAGTGTCGGCGGTTGGTGGTTTAATGGGCACCTGTCTTGGCGAGCCCAGCAACCGTGTTGGTTAGCCTAGTAGGGTCGTAGGCGTATGAGGGAGCCAAAGCAGTGAATAATGAGAAGAAGATGAAGACTGCGAGAATAATAATGGAGATCTTGCGCAGAACAGGCTTACGAGCCCCAAACTCAGCCCACTGTCGATTTGCCTCGCCCATATAGCCCTTGATCTGATCGAAGCCAAGCTTATAGTAAACCATGCCGCCAAGGGCAATGGAGTAACCAAAGAACTGGAGAGCAGTGACCGGGGTGCCCCAGATCATCATGGAGGCAGCAACAAGCATGATGTCCTTGAGAACACCGCAAAGGGTGAGGACGACTGCAGAAGTCTTGCCGATCTAAGGGGTAGCTGTTAGCACTCCTGTGGCAATCCAGACCATTCTGTTGCCGACACACAACTTACCAAGAAGACGACAGACACGTTGAGCATCAAGGCGCAGAGTCCGTTGAGGAAAAAGGTGAAGAGTCCAACATTGTAGACATCGGTCATGGAGACTTTGGGGACTTCCCACAGAAGAGCAACGACACCGTTCATGACAGCGCAAACGGGAGCAAAGTAGTACAAGGAGACCAGAGGGTCCATCTTGAAGTCGGCAGAGCTCAGAAGTCGCTGGACCATGGTAAGGCGGAGAGCTTCGAAGATGATGCCGCCGATCTGGTACAAGACACCAATCAAGACGAAGTTGATTTCGCCAAGGGAGGCAATAATTACACCAACAACAATGGCAGACACGTTGAGGAACTGCTTCAGGTTGGGCTGAGAGACTCCCAGAGACCAGCCGGCGATCAGGACGGCGACGGGAGTGGTGGCCTTGAGCATCTGGATGAAAGCGACCGAGAGGTACAGGTAGGTCAAGTTTCCACAGATCAGACTCAGGCTGAAGAACAGGCCGATGGGCACAACCGCACGGAGATAGACGCGGCCAGTCATCTTGACGGTCTTTCGGCCATCCAGAAGAGGGGTGAAGCGAGCCATGAGCTGTGTAGCGACAGTCGCAAAGGCCATGTGGTAGGTGGTCAGGATAACGGGGTAACCTGGAAGACGACTCCCATTAGCACAACTTGTCTGTATTGCTGAGCCCGACACGACCAGGCGTCTGTTGGCAGAAATTGAAAACATACGGAAGTTCAACGTGTCCAGAACCCATTTGTTGAACAGAATAACCGACGAACTGAAGCCAATCCAGACACTGGTAGCAATCGTGTTAGCGCCGCGATACGGGCGGCCGAGGCATTGCGTCGAGGGGCGTATTTGCCCTTGCACTCGTCGGCCAAGGAATCATTTGTCGTCTTACATTACGTAGAAGGCAGGATGAACCGCAGACTTGGGCGGCTGGGGCTTTTCAACCGCAGGATTGACCGTGGGCAAGACAGGCGATGAGGATTCCGCGCGGGCAATCTCGCCAGAAACGCGAGACTTTTCCTCGGACATGATGAATACTTGTTGATGGCGCTGAGAAGTGTATGATTTTTTCTCTAGGAGCGGGCAAGATCGTAGTGGTTGTTGAGGAGTCGAGTCTGAGGTGACGCGCAAAACGAGCGGCCGGACTGTGGTGTCCAAGAAAACTGCTAGCTCGGGGTGGGGAGGGAAAAAAACAGTAAGGGGAAAAAAAAAAGGGGGGGGGGGGGCGGTATTATGCAATTGACGAGGCTTCGACAGAACAAGAAGAAGAGAATGAAAAGAGGCCTCGATCAAGAAGAGTGGAATCCAAGGTTTCGATTCCTGACAAGGCGAAAGCAGGGAATCGGGCGAGGACGGTGAATTGAGGAGCGCGTTAGGCTAGGGCTGGTAAGGAAAGCATTAATTGGCACCGAGATGGGTGAGGGGGAGAGGCGTGACGGGAAACCATGGAAGGTTATGTTATAGTGGCCGGGAATGGAGCGTGTGGCGTGTGGCGTAGGCGTTTAGCACTCGGCACAGGGCAGAAGTACCTTGCGTCGGTGGTAAGTCGGTACTTAAGTACTTACTTACTAGGCCAGCAGCTGAGACGGCCCAGGTGCGCCTCTACCCTGTACAGAGAGTACGGAGTACCACGGCGCACTCATCCTCGAACTCGGCCAGTGCTGCAGAGTAGTTCTCGTAGTACGGACTAGTTCTACCCAGGTCCTTGAGTACTACGTAGTAGTCAGGAGTCGGGACGCAGTAGCGAAACGGTGCTGGATCACGGTGGTGTGGGTGTTGGAATTGAATCCGCTGGAGACGCGCGCCATGGACGAGAAGCCCTCAAGCTCGCAAACGGTCGACTCACTGGTGGGTGAGTGTCGAATCACACCGCCGAATGCCCCCCACGTTGAGGCACATACGGAGTACGGCGCAACGCCGACATCATCTGGGGGTGACGGGGAGACCAGAAGCCTCGCCTGGCATCAGAAAAAGGCGGCAGGCAGGCAGCGGGAAGCCACTCGAAATATGCCGAAACCGCCACATTTCCGTCTTGTTGCCCGCAGCTTAGCTTTTTGACAGGGAGCACACCAGCGGCTCGCAGGGGCTCGCAGCCACGAGCATGCCAAGCTTCATCTTTCCCGCGAGTTCCTACTCCGTACCCTACTGCCTAGCATGTGCCCAGTCCTTGACGACGAAGCTTGGCGATGAACATGCATGCATACATGGTTCCACAGTCGTAATATCCGGGTGCTTCAAGCCATTAGTATGCATCTCGAACCGTTAACCGTCCGCCCCTGTACTCCGTACTCCGTAGCGGGAAAGATTTGCACACTACCACTTTGTGCCGACCTGAGAACTTTGCGGGTTTTGCTCCAGCAGGCATCGAGTCCGACAATCGCCTTGCCGGCGCGTTCTAGAATTTGAATCTACTAGTTTTGAGGACGGTCTACGTACTCCGTGCCGGGTCCCGAATGAAGTTCGTAGTCCGCGAGAATCCGCTTGCATCATGAGAAGACCCCCCCATGGAACCGCTTTGAGTAGAGGCGGAAACAGTGTCCTTCTGCTCCGGATCCTCGATTCACCTTTTCTGGTGGTGCCCTGGGAATCACAACTGGCAAACCTCCAGCGCACAGTCATCGTGCCGCCGTCTTGTCCGAGCCCCCCCCGGGCCTTTTCTGTGGGCGTTGACGGCTTCAGCAGCCCCAGCGCCCGTCTCCATCGCGACCCTTACGGACAAACTACCAAGGGACGGGCGAATGGCCTTTTGCCCCTTTATCGCTGGCAGTCGGGTAGGTTGCAACTTGTAATAACCGACGACGGATAAAGTCGGACCCATCAACAAGGAATGGACGAATGAACCACCACCCAAGTTGAGACCCACGGCACAAGGACGATCTTGATCTGCCCATTGTTTCAGGATTTCATGGTGGACAATAAAACCGCAGCATGGGTGAGCTTCATCAGGGAACCCAGTGGCTCAAAGTGACGCTGCAGCCGTGGTCGTGCAATCTTGCCTGAGAAATGAAACCCATCTCTCACCTCCCTGTTACGTCTTAGGTCAACACCTGACGATCTCGAGTCAATTCTATCACGTCGCACCGACAAGCTGTTTGATAGAGGGACGTAGTCCGGTCTGGTCTGGGCTCGGTTCGTCCCTGTACCACGGATCAGGGTGGCGAGACGGACGAGACGGACAAGACGAGACGAGACGAGACGAGAGGCATCTCCGTTGCACTGGATGTAGATAGCCGTGCGGGAGGCGAGTTGGGCTCATCGCTCACCAGCGCAATCTACGTACGACTACCGAGTACTCCGTACAGGACAACACCGAGTATTACGGCCCACTGCATGGACGCATGCGAGATGTGATAAACAGCACTGATGAAGCAAACACCACCACTGATGCGGTTCATCTGAATGCAACCACTAGATGAGGAGTACGGATGAAAGAAGTGCAAATGCGTAACAAGCCTTCTGGATCCGGTTGCCTTCCTGTTCCGGCCCCATGTGGCAATGTTTATCGTTGTTGGTGTACGCCGTACCGAATACCAACCGGGTATCGATTGCAAATTCACAAGTTCAAACAACAGTGGCAAAGGCGGTCGACGCAAGAACGCGCTTATCCTGTGCTAACCCAGTTGCATGACAGCTGCTACCGATATTTTGGCTCATTAGTTATTTACCGGAGCAACGACCTTGGTGATCTAGTACGTACGTACTCCGTACTAAGCAGAGTAGTAGTCGATAGCCACGATGGGTCTCGGCGACCGTCATCTCAGGAAATTGCGCACGCCGTGCCCTGGCTCGCCACGCCGCCCATGGCCAGACATCATGCGAAAAGAGAGCACGGAGGTGTCATTGCCGTTACGGAGTACGGAGTACTTGGTGGTACATGCCCTAGATTCTTTGATAGCGTTTGATGGCCCAGCAGCAGCGAGTATTTCGTCCAAGAAGCACTCTGTACAGTGTATTTCTTACACCGGCAGACAGTTTTCGGGTTGCTCAATCGAACCTGGGAATGTATTAGACGGCCGCATTGACCAAGATCGCTTCCTGACAAACGACGGTGCAGCTCGTGTCGCTCATCCACGTTCCCCCAACTTGACGACGAGGCAAGAGCAAAATGCTCCGTGCTCGCAACGGCAAAGCAGGCCGTCGATGTCTGGCGACGGATCGGCGAGAGAGATTATGCTGTGTCCACCCACCGCAGCTTGTTTACGCTCGCACTGGGTGGCAAGGGGCCCCTCGTCTGGTGTCTGGACTCGTTGGCTTCAAGTTGATGTTTTTTTTTTAGTTTTTTTTTTTATTTACCGTGGAGCACGTACGGAGCACTCGGCACTCACTCGGTAGCACCCTGCGGTGCAAAGATTGCGTGACGTGTGTGGTGGCAATTGATGAAGATGGAAAAGGGGCAGCGTCCAATCGTTGCATCTTGATCGATGGCTTGTCGTGCCTGGAGGCCCTGGACCCGGCTCACGCCACGGCCACTGTGCGGGCACCAGACGAATGAATAACCAGCACCGGACTTGAGCCGGCTGCGCGTGCGGCAAGCCCAGCCCAGGGCTTGAGTGGCAGCGGCAGTGGCAGGCAGTGGCCGTGACAGCAGCCTGGCCAGGGCTGGCCCAGGTTGTTAGCGGTGCCTACGGAGAGCTGGAGGGCGGGAGGACAAACACTGAGAGGGATCGGGCAAACTGGCCCACTGGCCCGTCTTGAATCCCAAATAAATTTAGCCTCTCCGTGGATGTCTCCTTTTTGTTTTTCCGCATCCTGCCTGTTCAAGGATCCACTAACTTGCACGGGCAGCATTTCTACTGCAACTGGTCGGCGCTCCAGCTTTCCTTCGTCTGTGTTCTTTCGCCGCCTCGACATCGCCCTCTCTCCTCGTCGCTCATTCTGCCTCGTCGAGTCACTTTCCCAGGCGAGGTATTCGTTGTGACTATTTGTTGCCCCCATTGATTGCACCACTCCTCTCCTACGCTCCCGTCACCTCATCACGATCCCCACCATGGGCGCCGACATGTGAGTTGAAAGCTGGCGATTGCTACTGCATTTGCCCCTTCCAACTGCCTACGGTGCCTTGAGCGCCTCGAAACCTCACAGGAAGACCTTACACTGACGGAACAATTGCCCTCCAGTAACGTTGATGTCCTCGTCATCGGCATGGGACCTACTGGTCTCGGTGCTGCCAAGAGACTCAATCAGATTGTGAGCCCTCAGCGCCAGATTCGCATCCCCACACTGTGCTCAATGGCTAACTCCGTCTCTCCCGACCCGCAGAACGGTCCTTCATGGCTGATTGTCGACTCGTCAGACAAGGCTGGTGGTCTCGCCGGTACTGATGTCACCGACGAGGGTTTTGTGAGTTGTCTATCCGAGGAACCGGCCGCTACTTTCGAACGCTTGTGCCGCGATCTCGGCAATTGTTGGCTGACCAGCCTTGCAACAGCTGTACGATGTTGGCGGTCACGTCATCTTCTCCCACTACAAATACTTTGACGACTGTCTCGACGAGGCGCTACCCAAAGAAGATGACTGGTATACGCACCAGCGCATCTCCTACGTTCGTTACAAGGGACTCTGGGTCCCCTACCCCTTCCAGAACAACATTTCTATCCTGCCCAAGGAGGACCAGGTCAAGGCCATTGATGGTCTCATTGACGCCGCCATGGAATGCCGTGTCGCCAGCACCAAACCCAAGGACTTTGACCAGTGGATTCTGAGAATGCAGGGCGAGGGTATTGCTGATATGTTTATGCGACCATACAACTACAAGGTTTGGGCCGTTCCTACCACAAAGGTAAGGCACCATTGTTGTGTAAAAATGGCCAATTAGCGCCCCCCCAGAAGGCTGATTTCTGTCGAAAACAGATGCAATGCGAGTGGCTCGGCGAGCGTGTCGCTGCTCCCGATATCAAAACCGTCACCAAGAACGTCATCCTGAACAAGGTTGCTGGAAACTGGGGCCCCAACGCTACCTTTCGATTTCCCGCCCGCGATGGTACCGGTGGTATCTGGATCGCCGTTGCCAACACACTTCCCAAGGAGAAAAAGCGCTTTGGCAAGCATGGTGAGGTCACCAAAGTCGACGCTGAAAAGAAGATTGTCCACTTTGCCGACGGCACCACCATCGGCTACGGCAAGCTGGTGAATACCATGGCTGTCGACCACCTGGCTGAGAAGATGGGGAACCAGGAGCTCATGAGTCTTACCAAGCAGCTTTTCTACTCCACCACCCACGTCGTTGGCGTTGGCATCCGTGGTGAGCGCCCCGAGCGCATAGGTGACAAGTGCTGGGTGAGTCTGCTGCAAATCGTCTCTCCTTGGCCCAGGCTTTCCATTGACCGAGGCAACTAACCGTGTCCTTGTAGCTCTACTTCCCTGAGGACAACTGCCCCTTCTACCGTGCAACAATCTTCTCCAACTACTCGCCTTACAACCAGCCTCAGAAGGACGCCAAGCTACCCACGCTGTACCTCGCCGACGGCACCAAGACGTCTTCCGAGGCCAAGGAAGGTCCTTACTGGTCCATCATGCTGGAAGTCTCTCAGTCTTCCATGAAGCCCGTTGATGTTGAGAACCTGCTCAAGGACAGCATTCAGGGATTGATCAACACCGAGATGCTCAAGCCCGAAGATGAAATCGTCTCCACCTACCACCGCGCCTTTGACCACGGCTATCCCACTCCTTCTCTGGAGCGTGAGGGCCTCCTGAAGCAGGTCCTGCCCAAGCTTCAGGATATGGACATTCTCTCCCGTGGTCGATTTGGCAGCTGGAGATACGAAGTTGGTAACCAGGATCATTCGTTCATGCTGGGTGTCGAGGCTGTCGACCACGTCGTCAATGGCGCAGTTGAACTGACGCTTAATTACCCCGACTTTGTCAACACCCGCAAGAACGAGGAGCGACGCTTGGCACACTCATTCAACTATGCTGGCTCTGCTGTGACCAATGGCACCAACGGTTTTGTCAACGGCGTCACCAACGGCACCTCTGACGTGCCCAGCCGCGAACGTGCTTCCTCCAAGGTATCTGTCAACGGCGGCCACAGCCGCAAGTCCTCCAAGCAGATCGAATAAATGAATGAAACGGAAACGGTTGAGCAAAGACGGATGGAAGGGCAGTGGGAATATAAATCTCTTTTCTAGGAAGAAACTAATCTGCAAAGGAAGTTGAACCATGCGATGCGGGGGACAGACAGCAAGACAGGGTTTCCCTGTCATGTCAAGATATCTAAAGCAGGCAAGGGGAACGGGAAGCATGAGGTATGCCAGGACAGCTAAGCCGCTGAGTAAATCTCACCGGGAGTCGCACGACCAAGGCATCTTGGCATATAATTTGATCTCTTCTAAACTTCAAACTATAGACGCGGTCCAGATGAGAGAGAATAGAGCTTAACCATTCTGGATTTAGACTACGCAATAGCTGTGTCAAAGAAGAAAAAAGTGGAACTTGTTGAACCCGAGGGGCAAGGAACAAACAGCCGGATCAACGGGCAATTGTTATTGATTGACGGCGGTTTTAATGAGTACACTGGACGTTGTGGGATGCCAAACGTTGGGCGCCGATGCCGGACCAAGCACATCCACTCTGCGAAAGAAGCAAGCATTTTTGGTTTTTGTGGAAGGCAAAGAGCGGCGATAAGGACATGCGCGCCAAATCAGGTGACATCATAGAGTGTCTCTTCCGGTGAGCTATTCGTCAAGTCTCGGCTTGGTGACACGAGATGGACGTGTTTGGCGGGACGTGGTCGCACTGCACGGCAGATGGACCGACGTCGCTGCTCGTTCGAGAAGGGGGGACGGTATTCGCTCTTATGTGGTGGAACAAGAACATTCCCCTGAGGGATCAAAGGATGGTATCCATTTTGGTGCTGTGTTCGGCGGCTTGATGGCGGACTCTGATGGACTGGCAAACTGGCATTTTTTTTCTCCCGGATTTTACAAGGGCAGTCTCCGGTGGTGGAGAATGACTCGGGTGGCATCCACTTTGCGTTTTACGGAGTCGAGGATCGGGGACCGCATTGAGGGATTGATGGGGGTCGAGGGGCTTGTTTTCTTTTTTTTTTCGTCATGTTTCACCCGCTGGAGTTATACTGAGAGGGGTTGCTTGTCAAGTTTTCCTGTTGGGTGTTGCTGGCTTAGGGAAGGGTAGGGAAGGAAAAGTCGAGGAGGAGAGCTGGTACGTAGTTCGAGGGACGGAGTATGTATTATGGAAGGGAAATGGCCTAGGCTTGTGGTTGTGGGCACAAAGGTTCGGCATTTACGTCTGGGGACGGCCAGTATTGACTGGTACTGCATGGTCTCGTATAGTGGAAGCGGGGGGGGGGGGGGTGAAGCCATTTGAGTCGAGTCGAGTTTCGAGTGCCGGTCAACTGGGCGGCTGGGCGGCCGCGCCCGTGCGTATTGTGTACTGCGTACTGATTTCATCGAGGGGGATTCGGAAAGGGCCCTTAACCTTGTCGAGCGGAAGACACGGACAGGAGGGGGAAACGCGCGGATTCGGATCTGCATCGCATACGGTCAAGCCTCAGACGCAATTCGCAGCCGCCCGTTTGGGGGGTTGCTGGCACTAGCATCAGTTGATTCCAGTCCCAGGTCGTGGAGAATACCAATCGTCTCATACTAGGACTACTCGGGTGGGCAATAAGGAGAAGGGTCGAGACGGTCGAGGGCGCAAGCCATGGATAGAACGAGAACGGGACGATGATGTTGTGTGTGCTGGTGCCAAAGAGAATCAGCCTTGGCGGTAGCCCCAATCTCGATTCGGAACTGCAGTCGAGGTTATCAATGGACTAGTTATTACCCTGGGATATACTTCATCTAAGTACTAACTACTACGTATTCACACTTGGCAGGCAGTTGGTGCCAAGGGCCGACAAGTAGTACGTAGATGCATGCACATGTACCTGTACCTGCGCACATACATGCCTTTACATGTGTATGGATTCTGCTCGGGTACCGAGTCGGTACGGGTTTGGTCGGCAAAGGGCCAATGGTGTGGCTGGCGTGCCCTTGCACGTACAGCGTGAGAACACCCAGTAAATAGCGGACTCTGACGCCTAGTCAACACCGGAACACAGCATCGTTGGCAGCACAAAGCATGGCACTAACGGCCTACTTACTGAAGTAGGTACCGTACATGTACCCATGTACACTTGCCATGCACCAACGCCGGGGTCATTTTCCCATCCCACCACTTGACCACGCCAGACACCGGCGACCACGGCCTCGCCTCAACGTTGACTGCAGCTCTTCCATTGCCCTATCGTCTTGTCTTCCCTGGAATTTCGCCACCATCGTGCATCGGAGTCTTCATCTTTTCCTGTTCATCTGTTTCTCGTCTTCTTCGCTTGCTTTTGCGTTTGCTCCCTTTGCCGCCGGCCGACCGAGGATGGGCACTGAATCTGGGTTTGCCTCGTCGACCGCATGTCTGAGCCATTGACTTCCTGACCGCCGTCCCTTTTCCACGGAACCACGGCCGCTACGGACTGTCGCAGTAATTCCCGCCTGCTTCCCTCCCACGGCGAAGCTGCTATTATTCAAATCCCGCTGCCCTGTACCATGGACGGCGCCGTCTTGGTGCCCGACGATGTCCTCGACTCGCGGCCGCCTCCGCCACCTCGACTGTTTGAGCGGCTTCGCCAAATAGCTGGCTACACCTGGGACGAATCCAAGGAGCCTATACACTCGAGCTATGATTTATGGTACGTCCCCTAGTCGCCGCATTGATACTCGACACCGTCCTCCCACGGGGTGCCGTGCGCGCAAACGCCGCACACACATACATCTGCCTGTGTACATCTTGGCGGAAGCTTTTGGCTCTGGCGCCAAGTGATAAAGCGGGTGACTCGATGCTGACAATGGCGACACTGGTCGAAAAAAAACAAAATAGGCTCGTTTTTGGAACTCGATTTGTATCTTCAAAGCCATCGCCTCCGGGCTCGGGGCACAACGAGTCCAGCCTCGGATCCATCACCACGCTACAGTCTGGCCGGCCGTCCTCCTCCGAACATAGTAATAATCATGTCCCGTCCTCGGACACGCATAGCACCGAAACCTCCAGCACGCCACTTCCACATCGTCCGTCAACGCCCATCTCGTCGCCGCCATCCGCCGATGGCACCCCCCCAATAGTCGAAGAGTCGGTCGTCGCGCGCGTGTCGTTACACAATCTTCGAGAAGAGCGGGCTTTTCAAATCGCCAAGAATGTTGTGGGCACCGCTGACCCCCTCGGCGAGCACATTGCCAAGCCCATCGATCTTCTTCGACTGAATCCTGGCCCTGGAGATCGCAAGCACATCACCGTCGCCATCTATCATTACCCGGGTGCCAACTACTTGAGCAAAGTCTTGGACTTCGGGCCGGCTTATTACAAGGCGCGCAAGGAAGGGGACAGGTACGTCTCGTACCGTCCTTCGGTTTTGAGTCGTCTACAACCTCCCATAAACCTCGAGTACTTTCTAGATTTCGCCATTGGTGCTGTACAGTGTCTGGAGATTATTCACCATGGGCAGGGTATAATCCACGGTGAGATCAGAGGGGATGCCTTTCACTTCAATGCCGACGAGAACAAGGTTAGGATTGTGGCTTTTGGCTCCGGGCTGAGGTCATTTGAGCATGGGTTGACCAGTACCGGCTGGTTGACGCTCTCAAAGGAGCTCGGCGTCAAGAATAAGCTCCTGTACATTAGTCCTGAACAGACTGGCCGGATGCCTGCGGAGCCGGACACCCGGACGGACATCTACTCGCTGGGCATTTTGATGTGGACTCTACTGACGCAACAGCCCGTGTACACCGGGGAGACTCCTATGGACATCATCCAGGGCGTGCTTGGCCGGAGAGTGCCCAATGTGGCTACGGTGCGGATGGACATCCCGGATGTCATTGGGCGTATCATTCAGAGGTGCACAGCCAAGAACGTTGCGGACCGCTATCACTCGGCGAGCGGGCTACGCCATGACCTTGTCAAGGTTCAGCAGCTGCTTTCCGATGGCGACTCGACGGCTCTCAAGGACCTGGAGATTGGCACCAAGGACATCTCGTCCTTCTTTATACTCCCAACAAACATGATCGGTCGGACTGCGGAGCACAACGAACTCATCAAGGCGATTGACCGTGTCTCGCGCAGTCACTTTCTCGGCAGCAACCGAAGCCGCTTCCCTGACGCATCTGGCCTGGCCAACGAACTCGTCGTCACCGACGACGTCTCCAGCGAAGGGGGGGCAAGCTCTGTAGAGGGCACGAATAGAAGGAGTGGCTCCTTCAACATGGGCGGCGGCGGATCGTCAGAATACAAATTCCCCAGAAATAGCTTCCACCCGTCCATCTTGTCTGACACGCAGACCGTATCGAATGAGACTGTATCCTCGAACCAGTCTGGCCCCCAGCTCCGACCGACGAGACCGTGGGAGCGACACCACTCAATATCGCTAGACACAGCGAGCGCTGCAGAGAGCGCTAGCGGCCCGGAGGGTAGCCGGATGGGCATGACCGAGTCTAGCGGCTCGAGCTTGTCGCGACAGTTGGGTGCCGCCAAGTTCCGACGGCGTGGGCAGTGCGAGGTCGTCACCATTGAGGGAGCCGGTGGGCTTGGAAAGAGCTTTCTGGTCCAAAGCGTTCTCGGCGAAGCCAGGCGGCGCGGCTATTGCGCCACCGCCAAGTTTGACACGGCCCGGAGGACAGCATTTGGGCCCTTGCTCAAGCTGCTTTCGTCGTTGTTTAGGCAAGTCTGGGGGGAGACCAACACAGAGACGCCTTTCCACCAGGTCCTCAAGCATTACGTGCGGCCTGTCTGGCCAATGCTGCACAGGGTGCTCGGCCTGCCCGAGTTTCTTCTGGGACCGCCCGACTCGGCGAGCTCCCTAGTCCGCACATCGACGAACAACTCACAACAGCAGGCCTGCGGCCCGCGAAGTGGCGGAAAGTTTAATGGCAAACGGCGCGGGTCGTCGCCGGGAAGCTCACCAGGGCCGCTGAGCCGCCAGGTCGCCGCCAGTGCCGCCGGCTGCCAGAGTTCTCAAGACTATCTTTGCGCGGGCACGTCGACAAAGACGACGCGCCTCATGAATACCTGTTTGGATATTCTTCGGGTCTTCACCACGCACAAATTCATCTGTTTTTGTCTCGACGACCTTCACTTTGCCGATGACGAGTCTCTGGAACTAATTACCCAAATCATCGGCGCTAAGATGAAGATGCTGATTATCATGACGTATAGACCCGAAGAACTCCCCAGGGAGAGAATGGATCGGATAATATACCCCGCCCAACTAGAAGAGAAGCACCGGGGTAGCCGGCCCAGAGTCACAAGGGTCAGTCTCGCGCCGCTGACAGAGGCCGAGATACTCGAGTATGTTTCCGCCACCCTGTCCAGACCAAAGGAGGAGATCCTGTCGCTTGCCCTCGTAATTCAGGCGAAGACCGCCGGCAACCCCTTTTACATGCGGGAGGTGCTCAGCGCCTGCTATCGCAAAAAGTGCATCTGGTATGACTATCGCGACAGTATATGGCACTTCGATCTCGACCGGTTATTTGCGCAGTTTCAGAGCGAGAAAGACTATGACGTGCTAGACACGGGATTTGTTACAAGAAGGCTGGACGAACTGCCGTCTGCGGCCAGGGCCGTTTTGTCGTGGGCTGCTCTGCTGGGCAGCTCGTTTTCTTTCGAGATTATAAACCGCCTGATGAAGGGCGAGTTCGACTACGAGGACGACGACATTCCAAACTGCTGCCCCGACCTCTCAAAACGCTCGTATACCGAGGCGGAAGCCGTTGCTGGCCTCCAAGCAGCCATACAGGCGAACATCATCGTGCCGAGCGAGACTGACGACCGATTCCGCTTCGCACACGACCGGTACGTTAATGCCTCGTCTGCACTGAAGGAGTGCAATGCCCGTCGCATGCACTTTGTTATTTCCCAGACACTTCTCAAGTACTACGTGGTGGAGGCCAGACAGCGAGATAGTACCGCTTGCCACATTTGCGAAGCCGTCTCCATCATCAAGATGCGAGTCCCCGTGCGGCAGCAATTCCGCAAGCTGCTGATTGACTGCGCCCAAGCCGCGACGGAGAACGGAGCCAGACCGACCGCCGCCAAGTACTATGGAGCGGCGATACAGCTATTGCAGGAAAACCCGTGGTCGGGCGATGCCGACGATGTATCCTACGAGGAGACGATGCAGCTGTACCTGCGCGCCGCGGAATGCCACTTGTTCATGGGACAGCTTTCGCTAGCAAACGATTTGCTCTCGACCATCTTTGCCAGTGCAAAGTCAGCAATGGACAAGGCGCCTGCATACGTGCTGCAGTCGAGGATATTTGCCCAGAACGGCAACGCGCTCGCCGCCTTCATCTCCCTCAAGGAATGCCTGGCCGCGCTGGGGGTGCCTCTCGAGGACGAGCCCACGTACGAGAACTGCGACAGAAAGTTCCACAAGCTGGCGAAGCAGGTCCAGGGCATGGACCGCCAAGCTCTCATCAACCCCAGGGAGAATGCCGCGCCGGTGACTGCTTCTATTGGAGCTGTGCTATCGGAGACGGCCTCTGCCGCATGGTGGAGTGACTGCCTGCAGTTCTACAACCTCACTCTCGTCATGCTGGAGATGCACCTCACGCGCGGAGCCTTTCCTCAGTCCGGCATGGCTTTCCTTCAACTTGGACTCGTCGGCCTGGCCCGCTTCAACATGACGCAGTTTGCCGTTGACATGGGCACCATCTGCCAGGACCTGCTCTACTCTGCGCGAGACGCCTTCTCCATGGGTCGCGGCCAAATGCTGCATTCGTGCTTCATTGGCCACGTCCAGTACTCCATGTCGCTGTCCACGTCCCAGATGGACGATGCCATGGAGCTGGCTTCCGTTGGCGGGGATCGCCTTTCCACCATCCTCAGCTACGGACTCTCTGCTATGACCAAGTTCTTTGCCAGCGAGAACCTCCTCGACTTGGAAGCGTTTTGCCACTATGGCTGCGAGGACATTGTGAACTGGTCACTCGACACCCGCGGTGGCTCGCTCCTTGTGGGCGTCAGGCAGCTCTGCCGCGCCCTACAAGGCAAGACGTGCACCCACGAGCCGTTCCGGGTCATGACGGACGACCAGCACGACCCGGTCGCGTACAAGAGCTGGCTCACGAGCCAGACGCAGGACAGCAACCGTTCGTCCCTCTTCTACGAAAGCCTGGAGCTGTGTGCCCTGTTCCTGTATGGTCACTACGAACGCGCCGTCGATATCGGCCGGAGATGCGTAGAAAAGCTTCCGATGCTGTGGTCGGCGCGGAACAGCAGGCTGATTCTGCTCTTTTACGGGCTGGCGCGCGCTGGCCAGCTATTGAGACTCATGAAAGACCCCCGTTCGCAGACGGAAGACTTTACCGCCCAGACCGACGAGATTGTCAACGAGCTGGCCGGCTTCGTCAAGATGATGGAGGACTGGTCCGTTGTGTCCGACGTCAACTACCGATCCTGGTCACGGCTCCTGAACGCCCAGGTCGCGGAGCTGCTGCAACACCACGGCCAGGCCATTCAGCACTACGAGGAGGCGCTGGACCACGCCGCCGAGCACGACTTCACATTTGAGGAGGCCCTGGGCAACTACGTCATGGCTGGGTTTTTTATTAGACAGCGAGCGAGACGGTCTGCCCGGGCCGCGCTTCAGGACGCCGTGGGCCTCTATCGACAAATAGCCGCCACTGGCGTCGCTTCTGTCATTGAGGAGGAGCATTGCCTTTTGCTCCACGGGCCCACTCGGAACCATCGAACCGCCGAGGTCGGCATCCAGACCGACTTTGCTGTCGACCCCCCGCCCGCGCAGTACCGCTCTGTCGATGGAGTGGACGGCGACGAGCTGGCACAGGCTCCTTCCAATGCCATGTCTGAGCTCAGGGGAGAGAGCATCGGCGCCTGGCGCGGTTCTATGCGGATGCCCACCGAGGACGGCGCCGGCCTCCCTGCCCTGGACATGATTGATTTGCACGCGATCCTGGTGTCGTCGCAGGTCATTTCATCCGTCTTGCAGGTCAACGAGCTGCTCAAGACAATGTGTGATGTCATCCTGCAAACCTGTGGCGGGTCTGCCACTCGAGCAGCCATCATTATCCAGGACAACGACGCGGAATCGTGGTGTGTGGCGGCCAGCGGAGATCCCGAGAGGGGAGCGTCTGCGCATGAGCCGGGCCTGCCTCTGTCGGGATCAACGCTCATTGCCGAAAACGTGGTCCTTTACTGCACGCGCTTCAGGGAGTCTGTGTTTATCCCCGACCTCTTCGCGGACGAACGCTTCGGCAATGTCAACGAGGGCTGGCTGCAACGGTACCCAGGGGGCAAGGCAATCATTTCCATTCCCATCTTGCATGGCACGAAGCCGCTCCTTGGCGTCTTGTACCTCGAAGGCGAGCCCGGGGCCTTTACGGATCGCAACGTCGCGGTGTTGCAGCTCCTGGTCAACCAAATCGGCATCAGCTACTCCAACGCGCTGTCAATGAAGAACGTCGAGAAGATCTCGGCCGAGAACCGCGGCATGGTGTCGGTGCAGAAGCGAGCCCTGGCCAAGGCCCTGGAGGCGGAGACCAAGGCGAAACATGCCGAGGCGGAGGCCAAGCGAAACGTCAAGCTGGCCGAGGAGGCTGCCAAGGCAAAAGCCATATTCCTCGCCAACGTCTCGCACGAGCTGCGGACGCCGCTCAACGGCGTCATTGGCAACTCGGAGCTGCTGCGGGACAGCAACCTCAACAGGGAGCAGCTCGAGATGGCTGATTCGATCCGCGTTTCTGCAGATTTGCTGCTGACGGTGATCAATGACATTTTGGACTTTTCCAAGATGGAAGCTGACAAGATGAAACTGTACATCATCGCCTTCAACCCCGAAGAAATGGTCCGCGAGGTCGTCCGAGCGGCTTCGTACAGCAACCGGGAGAAGACGTCGAAGAAGAATGTCATGATCATTCAGGACATCAACCTCCCGTCCATGCTCATCTATGGAGACCCCATTCGACTTCACCAAGTCCTCGGGAACCTCATCGGAAACAGCCTCAAGTTCACAGAAGATGGCTCCGTCACCATTGGGGCACGACTGGACTCGGAGACCGAGGACAGCGCAACGCTCACGTTCTGGGTCCGAGATACTGGCATCGGCATTCCGGCCCAGCAACTTGCCAAGTTGTTCCAGCCCTTTAGCCAGGCCGACGCCAGCACGGCGCGAAAGTACGGCGGAAGTGGTCTCGGGCTGAGCATCTGCAAATCCCTGATTGAGATCATGATGAAGGGCACGATTCAGCTCGAGAGCGAAGAGAGCGAGGGCACAACCGCCTGGTTCACCGTCACTTTTGAAAAGGCCAAGGCGGATGTGTCTGCCGGAGACGCGCTCGGCAAGGCGTCGCCGCCGATTGACAGGTATTCGCTCATGACGTCGCCCTTTGACCGGGTGGCTTCGCCGAACCCATTCATGGACCTCTCCCAGGTTTCCAAGGAAGACGTCCGCATCTGCGTGGCTGAAGACAACCCCATCAACCAGAAGATTGCTATCCAGTACGCTCACCGGCTGGGCTATCCCAATGTCGTTGCCTATGGAAACGGGCTCAAGGCCATCGAGGGACTGCGCAACAAGGCCGCCGAGGGCGAGCCGTACCACATTGTGCTCATGGATGTTCAGATGCCCGTGTTGGACGGCTACGAGGCCACAAAGCTCATCAGGAAGGACCCGATAGAGGCTGTCCGCAAGGTTCTGGTGATCGCCATGACGGCATCGGCGATCCAGGGGGACAGGGAAAAGTGTTTGGCGGCCGGCATGAACGATTACCTGGCCAAGCCGGTCCGTTCCGAAGTGTTGAAAAGGAAACTGGACGCCTATGTCGGCGTTTCGGTAAGGGAATCCTCCACCCCTCCCCCTTTTTCCCCCCTTGGCGGACAGGAAGGAGGCGGCGTTGATGACGAGGACGTGCACGTATCTGTGTGTGTGTGTACTGACGTTGATCAGAAGGCCGGCAATGCCCACACTATTCAATCACCCATCAGTCCCATTTCTCCCACGACTCCCAACGACCTAGAAGCTAACGGCACCTCCTGGGAATCGATTGCTTCGAACAACACGGTGTTCAGGGACGCCCGAGCCACCAGCAACTCCGTCGTCGACGACCCAATGCAGGAAGATGCCGTGTACAATATGCCCCTGGACTCGACGAGCCTCCAGGCAGCCGACGACCCTGTGCTCAGCGCAAACGGCGCCGCTCAAAAGACGCTGGCGATCCGTGTGCCTGAGCTTACTCCCACGCACAAGTCTCCCAACCATTCCGACGGCCAAGTGCCCACCGGGGACGCCGTTGCTTCACAGCCCAAGACTCAACCGCGGAAATTGACCCAGGGCCGAGGCAACAGCGATGTGCATTGGGATGCCGATGCGAAGTCCACCGACAAGGACAGGGAGAAGCACAAGGGCGTCTTGAGCAAGAAGCCGCTTCTTGTGAATAACCACAAGGATGATGCTTGTTGAGCGTGGCCAGATTTTGCCGAAAAGAAAAAAAAAACATCACTGGAAAACTACTGCTACTATTACTACCACCACTACCAACACTGCTGCGGCTTGCAGGAGTGGGCGTCCGCAGGCCGATGTACTCGACCTGTGGCCTTGTTTGTTCCTGCCACGGAATCCAGAATAACCGCGTCAATATATACGATTTTAACGTCTAACGGCCGACCTCCTCTTTTTATCATCCATCACATCTAAGTCTCTTTATCACGTCTAGGAAGAAAAAAGTTTACTGTATACTCACTCCAATCTCGTTTCTGGTGTTGTCACAAGATCCCTCTCCTCGTGGTGCAGGAGCCGTTCTCCTAACGCCCCGTTTTTTCTTCTTCTTTAAGGGGAGCCTAGGGTTAATGTCAAGTGTCTGGTTGTAAGCTGGTCATGCTTACGGTGCACGCGGAGATATATAGAAGATTTTACCGATTTCAACGCAACGACTCTTGATCTCTGTCGTGTGTGACCAGTGTGCTGTGAGTTGACGGATTCGAATCTTGTTGCGAGCATTTGTGCTGCTTGGGCCCGGTCTTGGATCTCTATGGAACATGTTTGCCGGGAGGTAGCTGTGTGTGTATGCATACGGCACGCCCGGAGGCCTAGATGTTGTAGTTCCCCGGCCCAGGGCCCGAAGGCCGCGAAGCGGTGGCCGGACAATTTCGAACAGTAACGCCGCCTCAGCTATAGGCCGCGGCACTGACTCTGCGCGTGGTCGTTTGGACACGGCACCGCTTGGCGTTGTGCGTGTGCGTGGTCGTGGTGCTGGCACGCCATTGTATGCATGGCACACACCTGGACGGTAGCGTCGGCCGACTTTGCGTGCGATGCGGCACTTTGTAGACGATGCTACCGAGTACCACTGCACTGATTGGCACTTTGGGGCGGTAGTGTCACGTCGTAGTCCTTACAGACTTTGGCATTCGGGGGCGCATGGGTATTTGGTTTTGTAACTTTCCCCGAAAGCTTGTGATGGCGACCCTCGTATGGGGAATTGTTGCGCCGAGAACCCCGTCGTATACGTCTCGCAAATATAGATGAGCACGACGCAAAGCAACGCTGCCCTCATCTGGTATTACCTGGCGCCTTGATAGCGCTGCTCCGAGGGCGAAGCCGGGGGGGGGGGGGGTTATGTAGGAATAGGACAACAGCCAGATATGATGGTAATAGCTTATGCCTTGCGTTATTCTCTCTCGCTCTCTCGGTTACGCATACTGTAGCTGGGAGCTGGGAGCTGGGAGCTGCCATGTCTGGATACACACCGAAAGTTTTGTGCTCCGGTGCCATATAATACGCATGGCATATTAGTAATTACTCCGCATGACGCCTTGATATGCATACTGGATCGGATCGTCTCTGGCCAAATGGAATCGGTGGCTGGGACGAGCCCACCGTTTCGAATCGTGTTTTTTTTTTTTTGCAATAAAATGCGCGGTGCTGTAACGGGCGTCGAGGTGATTGCTCCAACTCGGACAAAGATGCTGCCGTCTGGGTTGCGTGGTACGGAGTACATGATAATGATAAATGACCAACTAGCACATGACATGTGAATCATCAATAGCCGGTGCCCACGGGAACAAGGGGCAGACCAGGTACATGACTGTAAATGGAGACGAGTTATTGTCCAATGTTGATGAGGGGACCGCTTTGGTACCAGCCATGTTTTTAATCTTGATGCTTCTTGAGCGCCCCCGATAATAGCGTGTGCAGGGCGGCTCATTGGCGACGCCATTGACCTCGTACTATTGGCTGTGAAGGGATGTGAGCGTTGAGCAGTCCCCTATTATAGTTACCAACAGGATCAATATAGATGAGGAGAGGGGTGGTGTCCTCGCGGAGTCTGGGCGGACGCGGGTTGTTGTTCCTTTCCTCGTCCCCGTTGGTTGCGGTTGCTCGCCGTTCGAAAAGGCTCTGCACTGCAGGGTGACGACGGCGTGTGCAAAGCCCTTGTCTACCTACTTGTCCGCCGGATGAATGGACCATTTGCCTGAAAGGGGATCCAAGAGGAGGAACTGAGCCCCTCCTCCAACCAAGCAAATCCCTCCTCCAACAAAGCAAATCCACACACGCACATAGACTTCCAGGCGAGAATGCCAGAAGACGTATGGAAACTGGACTGGTACGGCAGTGTGGCCAAATGCGAGGTCGCCGGACATTGAAGACTCCGTAATGAGGAAAAAGTCGCGCAGAACGGAGACGCCAGGTTGGCCCTGCAACGGGTAGGCCGCCGCCTGAGACCCATGAGAGCGGAACAGAACGAGAGAATGTGGCAAGCTTGTGCCGTCTCGGTTCCAGAGGGGAACGTGAACAGGGGAATCTGGTCGAACCACTCGAGAGCCAAGAGGTGTAGGTACGCACGCAGCACTCCGTAGCGGTCAGCTACTCCCGAGTCCGTACCTTTGCTCAATCTATCCTTGGCCCATCTCGCCCGAATCGGATTGACAAACGGAAAAGAGACCTGACGGCCGAGAGGCTGCTCACGCCTTCTCATTTCGGCTCTTGAAGCGGTGCCTGGGGCCCCGAGTTGGTGTTGTCAACGGTACGGTTACGTACGCCCTCGCCGCCCATGCCCCCTCCGTACCCGTCTTCGTCGTCCTCTTGCCCCTCTTTTTCGCCTCTGTTTTTTTCTTTTTCTTCTTTCCTTGCCCCAGATGTCGCCCACGGGAACGTGGCAGACCCTGGAGCTGGTGAAACAAGCCCTGGTAGACGCCAACGTGGATCCTCTTGGTTAGTTAATCGGTAACCATCGTCTGTTTGGAGCCGCAACGGAAACATGACCAGCAACAGCTGGGAACAAGCTCGGGCGCCACCATGGCACCATGTTGATGCTGCCTCATTGTTGGAACGCCACAGCCAAGGATGTCATCCGGTCCCCTCTCCCGCCCATCTAACTAAACAGGGCACATGCGTCAGACAATGGATCCACTCCCATCGCCTTCTCAAAAAGGGTTCCTGTGCTCCTGTGCTGGGGTGTGTGCAGAGAAGCAAGGGCCACGAGCAACTGAGAGATGCAAAAGCGCTCCCGAGAGTAAACCCGCCTTTGAGAGGGGGGGCTGGCCCGACACCAAGGCCTGGCTGGATAGCTGCCGCGTTCGTGGCGACGACGTGGTTGATCATCTTGTTGCTGTGACCAAAGGCTAAATTGCGAAAAGTTGCGCCTTGTAATCGACACTAGTAAATGGCGCGGAGACTTTGAAACTACAGTTCTGGGCCCTCCGTGCCTTAATCGCAGCGACATCTTGCTGGCTGGCTGTCGATCTGCTGCCGCTTTCGTTCGTCCATAGGCCGCCAAGCGCGAGGCAGGGCGACAGTGTTGTCTGCACAGCAGGAGACAAGTCATCTGCAAAGAGACAAAGAGCGGTTCATAACGGTCCGGGCGATATTCTGTATGGTTGTCCCCCCATCTACGGCTCAATGCTGCATGTGCATGAGTCACTACATGGATAGGACATGCAAGTGTGTCGTGCTTTGCAGAAAAGGAAGGAAAACAGCGCTCACGGAGGATGACCTATTGCATGTAATGAGATGACTTGGCGATGCTTCGCAATCGACATTGAGCCCTTGTTCGCCCTTGGATTCTCACTTATATCTAGTATTGGCCTGTGGTGCTCCGAGAAAACTAGGCGGAGAGTCTCGGTGACACCCACGTACAGAGTACAACAACGAGAACAGAAAAGGCAGCGTCAACCAAATGATGAGCCTCATTCACTCGTTCCTGTCCGGAGAGGAATGCGTGACATTTCGCTGACACTAGAGTGTAAGCGAATGTGAGAATGGAATTCGAAAGTTTGGGAGAGGAAGTGTATTATGCCTGGTCTTGTCGGGTCTGCACACCGGCTGATGGAAAGGGCCCGTGTTGCAAACCGTCTCCATGTGTCCATGCGAGCGGAGAAGTAGATGTCTAAGACGTTTATTATTAACACCGTCGCTCGTGCTTCTTCAACATGGATGCTCGGAAATATCTCAATGCGACAAGGAAGCCTAACGACACTGGGTTAGCCTGGCCGCATGAACTCGGCATCCTTTTCAGACACGCCGAATGGAGATGAAACGGAATTCGACCCGTGTGCTGTAATCGTCCATGTACAGCCGGCGATCCGGATTTGGGGGTCGCTTCGCTGCGTGTACTGTCTTGACTGGCTGCGCTGCGTATGTATGCCTGTATGAAAACAATAGTTCTTTGGTTATGCTTCTGGAATCCTTTGCGAATTTCCCTCATTTTGGGTGCTGAGAAAAAGGGACGTCTGCATCGGGACTCCCTGTGCTGCGTCGAAAGGGCCCGGGTCAACTGAATCGTCCCACGTCGATGGCCATCATGACACCCACAGAATTGAAACCTGTGACTCGTTAGCATGCTGCAAATTCGCGCCGCCTCCACAATGACATGGTACGATGAATCAGCAGCCATCACGGGCGAGCTCAGGTCCTTTCTTGCAGGGTTTAGCTACATATTGAGAGATTTTGTAATGACCACAAGCTCAAGGTTTCAAGCGAGGACCCTCTCATTCAATCGAGGGCGGAGTGTTTCATAAACGGCTCGCCTCCGACAGGGGCCGCTCAAACAGCTTCGATCCCTACCTCACCCATGTTCAGCTAGCCTCAAAAGGGACGCAGTTTCACGGATAGCTTGGCCGGGTCACGCGAATTGTCTTACTTTGGTCGATGCTCCGGCGAACCATATTCGCGTATTTGTTGTGCCACACGACTCCGTGTTTCGCAGGCCGTCCAGAGCAACAACAGAATGATGGCCAATAACTGATTCTTGTTGTAGAAAGTGGTATGATGGGATTTGTCCCGAGACGGCTTAATCAATGTCGTTTGGAAGACAGGACTTGGGCGGATGAATTCGGCAGACTTTGGTCTGATTGTCCCGAGTTGCTGGCAGCATACGTGGATCTATTTTAAGATGGTCACATATCTTGCCGTGCACTTCACAAACACCGAGGATAGCTGCATGTTGTGCCGACTTCGTATGT